GATTATTAGTAGCAAGAAAAATAAGACAAATACTGAGAAATCAAGGCCTTTAGGCCTAGGAAAGCATGCAGTTTCCTTTGCTTGCACACTCAAAACCAAGTCTTAGTTACTAGGCTGCATGACAGTTGCAGAATTTGCAGAGATGTATGGCAGGTGCAGATATTTCTTTGCTCAAATTCTCACCTTTGTGCAAAGTCTTCCCTGTGAGGGTGGTGAGGCCCTGGCACAGGTTGCTCAGATATGCTGTGGCTGCTGCATCCCTGGCAGTGCTCAAGGCCAGGCTGGATGGGGCTTTGAGCAACCTGGTCTAGTTGAAGTTGTCCCTGCCTATGGAAGGGGTGTTGGAACTGGAGGATCTTTAAGGTCCCTTCCAACCCAAACCATTCTAGCATTCTATGATTCAATCAACGTTGCCAACTTAAATGCCACACAGATTCAGCACTGAGCTCCTTACCCCAGATGCTTTTAACACTTGCAAACCCACTGAGGCTCCCTAAATTGGGAGAATGCCCCCTTAGCTATTTCAGTCCTGCTACTGATTGGTACCTTTGCACCTGACTTCATCAAGTCCACTTGGGATCTATAAGCCAGGTACAGTCAAGCCTGTACAGGGTCTGAATGTGATAAATGTTGGGTTTTTTTTTAAATACAAGGTAATGGTCTACTACAGTGTTCATGCAGGCATTAAACTGTGCTGGCATTGGTAGCACACATACTTGTGCCTTGATGTGATTACCACAGTTTGTAATAGGTGATGGTTCATCTCTACCTGCTTAGGAAGACACAATAAATACTGGATAACAACAAGCCCTTGCAAGAACAGCACAGTGAGGGAAAACCCTTACCTAACTCCCCTTTTCACTCCCTTTTTCATTAGTGGAGTTTTTATGACTCACATTTTCTACACCTGTTTCTCGTCATTTGGATCCCTAGAGTGCAAATACAAATATAGGTTGTGCGCCTCCTGACAGAGGCTGGTAAGAGCTTATCTAACAAGAAATACTTTATTTTTAGGGCTCTGAAGCTTGTGTTGTGCTCTTCAGTTAAAACTTTCCTCCCAGACTAAACAGCTTTCATGTTTAAGGCTTCTTGGTTGTTACCGCTTTTTTCTGTCTTGCAGGTTGTATATATACATTGTACATTTCACACCTTATAGTCTACAGTGCATTTTTAGATTTCTGATGGAGACTGCACTCTAAAGGGAAGTTTTGGACACACAATTAACTTCAGTGAGAGCCTCATAAATGCTAAAAAAAATACAAGATTGTTTTCTAATTTCTTATTTTCTTTTCCTGTGCAAAATCTTGTAGGCAGAAAGGAAATGGCAAAAACAATGAGATGTAACTTACTAATGGGAGCTAAAAAATGACACAATGACACAAATATGTATGAAAATGTCTTTTTTCAATGATACAATGCTTGTTAAGTGCGGGTGATCCATGATTACCTCAGGAGGTTAAATATAGTACCCATGGTGTCAGTAAGTTTATTCATCCAAAGGGCAAGACACAGAGAAGCCTGTGTAATTTTCAGTAAAACAGAGGCAAGGATGGATAAAAGTCTCTTGAATCTTGAAGTTGTCTTCAAGAGGTAATTGGAGGCTTGCAGTTCAGTGATATGTACTAGCTGGGTTTCATGATGTGGGATGTGGCCTTGGCTTATTAAAATTCTTCTGAATTCTACCTTGGGATCTAGAGAGGGATGCACTATGAAAGAAATGTAAGGGAAACAATGACCAAGCCAATACACAAATGTCACTAGCTAGCAGGGAGGGTGGGGAAAGCTAGAATTTCTGTCTTTTGGGACAATTGGGTTACAGAGTGGCTGTCCGATGGTCCTTGCTCCTCTACTGATCAGGCTCAAGGATTAGTTTATGTATTTTTCATAGCTGAAAGACTCCTTCCCAAAACAAGCCAAAGGCAGTTCTAGAAAAACAACCAAACCAAAACCACATGAGTTTTTGTATGTGAATGCTGCGTGGGTTGGGAGAATGAGTATTTGTAGGCTGTTATTTTGTAGTCCTAGTATTATATACCTTCTAAACAAATCTAGAGAAGGTCATGTGTTATTTCCTTCCTTTCCCCCTGGCCCAAGTGGTTACTCTTTGGTAGAGTAAGACTGAACATATTTAATATTTTAGAAAGTTAAGTACAGAAAAATATTTTCTCCTTTAAAATTTTGGGCCATTTGGATGCAAAACAACATCTTCCTCTACCTTAGTCACCTCGCAGCATTCTGTCTTTTTAGTTCAAAACCAGTGAGTGCATGCATATTTATGTATTGCGGATAAAGCAGTCTGGTCTGGTGTGCTAACCTGTACCAGAACCAGGCTGTCGCCTACAGCAGAATTTTCCTAATGCCTTTAAAACATTTGTCTCCCAGAAAATCGAATTGGTATTCCTAGAGTATTCCCTCAGAGTGACTTGAAATGCAAGTCACAGACACAAATTTTCATAATAAAGCAATTTTAAAAGATATGAAGGGAATATTAACCACTAGTACTCCATTCCTCATGCATATTCTACTTCAGCATGCAATACTTGCTGATTTTTTTTATGAATATGTAACACTGACATCTTAATTGTCCAGATAAAGTGAATGATACGAAATGAAACAATGAGCATAATAGTTTACTTCCACAGTGAAGACCAGTGTATGTCTATACATATGTAAAGATTGGTGTGCATGTGTTTAGGTATTATATATAAATATATATAAATATTTATTGGTATGTGTTGCATGTATATAAAAGCACTTAAGGAGGTGAACACCAAAGTTTCACCAATAAAAGTCAATTGTGGACTTGAGTAGAAATCACAGTATATGTAGTGGATTGTTTTGGTTTTGGGGGGGTTCTTTTTCAGTTTTAAACAAAACTGAAACTAGCAGTGGTAGTTTTGTGAGAGTTGTTCTCAGAGATTTGGAGCTGAAAGAGCATATGTAAGAACTGAAAGATTTGCTAGCAGCTGTAGGTGACCTAAGAGCACTCTCCTACCTTCTTCATGTTCTGATGTCAGGGCATAAATCTTATGTTTGTCCAACCTTTCATTTAGGCAATAATACCTTTGGTTCTTAAACCCCTAATTTTGATGGTTTATTCCATGCTTCATTTCCAGCCCTGAACTGCAGCCCTGGCTGCTGCTAAAGATCTGCCATGTTTCACACCAAAGACAGCTGCATTTCAATAGCAGAAAAAGTGGTACTTGCATTTTGCATGTAATTTTGGCCTTCTTTAGTATCTTTCTAAATAAGATGTACCAAATGGCACTATAAAAGAGTCTGAAGGGGATGCTATAGTAACCTAGAAGTTGCAGAGTGTATCAGTAAGGGAGCGATTATTTTCAGGAACTTGCAAGAAAAACTTGTAGAGAAAATTGCATCCTGTTTGAAAATGCTTGCTGGTTTTGCCAGAATAACCACCAGGAGAGAGGAATATAAGCTTCTGTTGATAGAGTAATTTAAATCAGGTAGTTGGAATGAGGCATAACAACATTCAATATTGTAGCACTAACCATGGGGGAATGCCACTTATAGGAAGAGCAATGTAAAGTACAACTGTTGAGTCTGAAAAAGAGGCCATGAACCCAGAATCAAGGGGGATAGTGAGTCACTGGCCATGGCACTAACTTTGGCATTAACTGATATTTGAGCTGGAAATTATAATAATGAATTACATTTTTAATAAAAAAAATGTGGCCATTCACTACATAAAGGTTTGTCATCACTTATGTAGATGTCAGATTATGCATCTAATCAATTGAAAGCAGTACTTGGAGAAAAAATGACTTTGTTATTACTGGAATGCACACACATGAGATCTGGATCACAGAGCAGAAGGTTAAGCTGGCATTGCTCTTGTAAGACTCCATTAATATGCTATATTCACTTCTGAACATCTTCAGAAGAAGGTGCTACGAAACTGAAGGACTTTTAAATAAACAGAAATAAGTTTAAAAGGGAAGGATTGCCTAGTGAAGCAAAATGTTAAGTAATTGCAAGCATATAGATTGCCTAAAAGAAAAAGGGAAGGATCTACAGCTCTGTGTCTGTGCAAAGTATAAAATTCTTGGCAGTAGTGAATGAGATATGATATTTCATCTGGATATAAATATTAACTTGTAGAAAGTGTTTGGGAACAAGAAGATGTCTCTCAAGGTCTCCTCACAGTCATTTACTGAATTATGTGATACAGTGCATGAAAAGAGAGTATTGTTGATACTGGCTTTTAAATGGACCTTCTTGAAGAACTAAAGCCAATCCTATAATGTGAGACAACTAGATGGCCTAAGAGGTCACTTCTGTTATCATTACTGCGATTCTACTCCATCCATGATATAATTCTTGACCTTCTGAAATACTTTGTGCATTGGAGTTCCTCCCTTGTTACTTACTCTGTTTATCATGTATTCTTAGTCTTTCTTCACCAGGCACATTGAATGTTAATTGCGTTCCTTGAAAGTTTTTTCTTTGCAAGTAGTCAGTTTTCACATGTTCCTGCGTCCATGTGTTCAGCGATGTAACATTTCATAAGAAGTGATAACACTATCGACACACGATTTCAACTTCACTTCTAGTTAAGTTGATAAAGCACTTCAGGTATACTTAAGGGATGAAATTAAGGACAGACTGATACTAAAAATTTCATTTGAAGTCTAGACTCCTCTCTCTCTGAAGTTCAGAGATTCTTGAATTCAGGTATTTTTGATTCAGGTGCAATATATGAATGAAATTATCTCTGTTAATTCAAATTAATTATTATTATCAATGCTGAAAGAAGAAAATGTGCATGGTTTTCCATTACAGTGCTCCCTTGGATTTGCCTAGGGATCCATTTCAGAGGAGATGTGGTGAAGTGCAGTCAAGCTCTGGTGTGTTTTGGGTTTCCTCGGGAGCACAGAAGTGCCCAGCTTCTTTTTCCTTCATGTTGCTGAGAACAGGTGGCCTCCTCTGGGGTCACCAAGTATATTTAGGGCTGAAACTTGAGCAGACTGGAGCCAGATTGGCTGTGCTATTCACATACGTAATTAGGAGCTGATGCTCTATCAGGCTTGCTCTTGCCCAGTGCTGCTCAGGAGGGAGGACTGGAGAGGCTTTGCTCCTAAGGATATTTACTAGATGTTGCTGGTAAGAACATTTTAATCACACTTCACTTGTTTTCCTTAGAACAGGATCTTGAGCTGTTTACCAGTTCTGTAGTTTTTTGGGTATTGTCGTCGTGCCATGCCCATAGAAGTCAGATTTTCTGTCTGGATGACTAGTAGCAAATTGCAGTAAGAGGAAAGGACCCAAAACTGTGTTTTGGAAGTGTAACTGGAGGTTACAGTAGTGACTGTATAGATTGTATCCTTATATGCAATTCTGCTTCTTGGGTGTATTCATAAACTTTGGCCTACTTGTTCATACAACATACCACTTTCTGAGTTATTCTTCATGTATTTTAATAGTTAAGAATCTGGTTTAACTATTTTTTTTTTTGTTGGTAATTTTTCTCAACACATTGAAACTAAAAAGGGACAGTATTTTAGGTTCCTATATTTAACCTGATTACTAGACTTCACTTGCCCCAGAAGGAATTGCAGTTTAGCCAGCTAAACAAAACCACCCTGTCATTTGGTAGTATTAGCTTACACGGCAAATATCTTTGGACTCAGGAACAGCTGTTCCAAAGCTTCATCCCCTACCAGCATTAGAAACAGAGCTGTACTCTCTGGTGGAAAATTGTAGCTTTGCCTCACAGCAAATTCGCTGTGTTAATTAATTTGTGTAAAGGTTTTGACAGTCATCTGTACTTTGTAGTTTAGCCAACTGTATGGATTTCCATATTTTCCAGGTCTGAAGAAACAGAGAGAAAAAAGTCACAAGAGCTAAACAAAAGAACAACCCAGACCATCTATGTAGGATAATGCTGGGAAGACAAAAATTGTCTCATTAACCTATAGTCCCTTAAAATATTTACAAACTTTTTCCATATTATGCTTTTACTTATGAATTAATATAGTAGAATATATAGATAAAGCTCCCATTCAAACAGGAGCTTGAATAATGTCATGAAATAGTATAAAATAGTCACAGGAAAATTCTTCAAATAATCTTATTGTAATAAACCCAAACCAGACTTCAAGAATTCTCTTCCTCTGTTTTTTAATTTCTTTTATGGTTTAACTGAATTCCAGTATTGGTGTTACAACTATTAGAATAAAGTATTTGTCCAAAAATTGTAACATATTAGTATATTTGCAATTTAATCCAATACTTTCCCACAACAGTCAAAGTAATGCCAGATCTCAACTTTATCTCTGTTGTTCAAGTTCTTTCACTAAGTAGCCAACAACATTGTAATAATCTGACTAGTTCCTAACCATGACCTCAGGCATTTTATGAACTTTACTAGTTCATCATATTTTCAGTCTTGGGCTAATGCTGTTTTCATACTTTCATTTGCTGCATGACTAGTGAGTGGGGGAGAGACAGAAGAATACCCTCAAAATGGAGGAAGAAGAATATGAGGAAGTTGTGGAGGTAAGAAGAAAATCTAAGAGTAGAAATATTTGTTTTCTGCCTTGTGAATGAATATATTAATCACTTTAACGAGGCACTTGCTCTGAGCATAGATGGTTGCTTGCTGTTTGCTCTCTGAAGAATAGGGTACGATTAGATATCTATTAAATGATTTAATAAGTAAACAACAACAGCAACAACAAAGTTGCTCTCAGTGGAGCAAAGTCTCCCTGGTTCCTGTCATAGCTGTTCTGTTTAAATAAGGATTGTGACCAACCCACACCTACATTGCAAGCTTTTGTAATTACTCTTCTATGTAATTATAGATGCAGTGGGCCATCTCTTTTCCCTTCTAGCTTGCCCTCTGTCAACCAATCCATGCTATAGAGGATGACTTTGGAAGCCACTTTCTAGCCTCACCTCTGGGCCCACTGAAATGAAGAAATGCAGCAGTTTTATGCCACCATTAACCAATATAACTTTGGAAGCCACAGAGATGGGGCTAGATTTAAACCTGTAGATGTCTGTGGAGTTGCATCAGGGACTGATTTGCCAATAGGGCATTTAAACTAACAGTTTCATGTATATAATGGACTGTTAATTTCAGGCCATGTGACAGCATTGAGTCCTGACTGCAGATTTTGTACATTTCACGTACTGAATGCAGTCAAGTCAAATGGTTTACCAGTTAAATTAGTTTAATGTGTTTTGGAAAATAAGCGTTACTCTTCATAAAGTCCATTTTAAAGACCTAGCTACAAAGATACCAGTCCTTCATTAAGTTTCCTAATACCATGTTACTTGTAATTGCCTTTATGCTTCCTGAGCATAATGTGCTTTCTGTAACATAATGTATATTTATTTGCTATCCATGTTTATTTGTTGCTGCTGGAATTATGGTATGTTGGACTTTTTGTCTACACAGCTCTGTTTCATTCTTTGGTTTTACTTTTTAATCACCACCTTCCTGTAACCACATCCCTAGGGCACACTGAGATAGTACTGCTTTAGTAGCTTCCCTTGAGATAGTCATAGCGAAAAGTTATGGAAAACAGAACAATAGCATCTGGTACAATTTTAAGGTAGCTTCAGCCTTCCCAAAGTTTTCTTAGCTAGAATTACACTTCTGTATGAACCGCCTATTTTAAACCAGTAGGTGTACTATCAGAAATTAAGCTTCCAAAAGAGTAGAAAATCGTTGCTGAATAATTACTGGATGAGAAAACGTTGAGACTTTAAAGACACTACTTTCCATCTCTCTGGAGTTATTAGGCTGCACTGAACACTGTAGGTATATGTGGTGTGCAACGCCCCACAGTGAATGACCCAAACCTTTGCGGCTGAGTTACTCGAGGCTTTGTGAAAAGTGGGTCAAACACAGTGTAGGGCCAGCGAACAGTAATTGCCTCAAAACAACCCTTGCAAGGTTGAAACCTTGAAACCAAGCTTGAAAAGTATGGACTAGTTACGTGATCCTAACGTCGAGGAACAATTAATGTGATTTTTTTGTTTTAGGGCTTAATTCAAAGGGGATTTTGTTCCCCCAGTTTTGGCATGTGACCCTGAGCAAACCATTGTCGAGTAGATCGTCAAAGATAAAAATCTCCATTTTACGCTTTCTCCTTTCTGGAAGCCAGCGGCAAGACAAGCACCTTCCGACTAAACCAGCTGCTGCTTACGAGAGCGGCCGGCGCAAGTGGGTTTCTGTTCATTAAGCAGCGAGGGGCGCCCCGGCTCTCCTCAGCGGCGGGACGACGCCATCGTGAGGCCGCCATGTGCTGTGTGGCCGCGGCTTGCGGCGAGCGGGGCGGCAGCGAGTGCCGTGATTGCGCCGCTGCTTCTCTCCGAGCTGACTCTGCCTCCTCCGGCTCCCGGTCGCTGCGGGGCACGGCAAGCTGCCAGCGGGGAGCGAACCCCACAGAGGAACAAGACACAGCCCTTGTTGCCTCTTCTGGGGAAGATGTGTTCTGGTCGGGTCAGCTGCACTGCCGGTTCCAGGAGGAAGGGGTGAGCGTGCTTTGCACCGTAATGGAAGTGAGGAAGAGTTTGTTGGTAGCACTTTCATGAAAAGCAAGAGGCAGAGCCACACGTGGCAAGGACGGAGCGCCAGTTGGAGACGGTGGTTAAATGGGTGATGGATGGTGGCCATCAGAATGGACAAAGCAGGAAGCTCATGTTTTGTGGCAACAGGAGGAAGGTTCGTGCTCCACGTGAAGATCTGCCACTTCAGAGTAGATGTAGCACCCTGGGAACTTCTTTAGGCAGCTGGAGAAAGGCTCACAGGCACAGCTCTTGTGTTTAAGGGTGGCTTTAACCACTGCAGGTTCTCCTGGGAAGGCCTGTGGCTGGGCATGAGCGACCTAGAGGATTCTGGGAAAGTACTGTGAAGGTGAATTCCTTAGTACAGTTGATTAATGAACTAGGAGAGATGCTCTGCTGGACATGCTGTTCACAAACAGGGAAGAACTGGTGGAAGATGCAAAGGTCAAGGGCAGCCAAGGCCACAGCGACCATGAGACTGTGGAGTTGAAGATTCAGAGAGTGAGCAAGATAAACAGAATTACAAGGAACAGACAAAATGCTGAGGTACTTGAAGCCCGTTTTGCCTCAGGTTTGATAAGGCTTGTCCTATGGTCTTCCACGTCTTTGACCTTCCTAGCAGAGATATAGGAATGAAGTAGTAGCCACAGCAGAGGAAGACAGTTAGGGCTGACAACATGGGGATATACACAGCTCAATAGGACCAGAGGACATGAATCCATGGGTGCTGAAGGAATGGGCTGGTGACATTGCAAGGCTGCTATCATCTTTGAGAGCTCTTAGTCATGCAAGAATGTCTCTGCTGACTGGAAAAAGATGTCATACCCATCTTCAAGAAAGTCAAGAAAGAAGATCCAGGGGATTACAGGCTGGTCAACCTCACATCAGACCTTAGGAAGGCTATGGAGCAAATACTTTTAGGAGCTATTTCTAAACACATGAAAGACATGAAGGTCATGGGGAGCGGTGAACATTGATTTATCAAAGGCACATCATGGGTGACCAAACTCATTGCTTTTTATAATGAGTTCACTGCTGTTACGGAGAAGGGGAGACCAGTGGATGTTGCACACTTTGACTACTTTAGGTTTCCTGAAACAGTCTCCTGTAGTCTTCTTATCACCAAATTTCTGAGATGTGGAATGGGCAAGTGATCAATAAATTGGGTGGAAAATTGGCTGAGCTGCTGAGCTCAGAATTGTGATCAGTACTACAAAGTCTAGCTGGTAGTACAAAGTCCAGCAGCCACTAATTACTGGTGTTCTTCAAGGATCTGTAGGCAGGAAAAACTCTGAGGACAGCATTAGAGAGATAAACCTACCACAGTCCTCTCAGTGTATTACAAAGGACTTGGAAGCTCCTGGGGTTTTGCATGTTTCTTTTAATGCAGTCATCATTGTCTTCCCTCTTGTAGTTAAAATAGTGATCCTTTATTAATTACTTGGAAGGAATGTATGGAAAAAATCCAATCATTAATGAAAAAAAACCCAACAAACAGATGTTCGGAATTACCAGCGATGCAAATGTGACCACATAGGTACCTATGAACTACAGTCCTATTTCCCCAGAAGTGTGTTTTTAAAACAGCTTAACGGAAGCTACAATTTGCTATTCTGATCATCTGACCTAACAATGATTTTTTTTTCCCCCTCTTTTTAATAGTATTACATTGAAGAGACAACTATTGAAGAGGGTGAGCCATATGAGGTAAAGGTTCCTGTAATGTTGCATGTGGTTTATATATGCATGAAATTACAAAGTAATGCTAAATTTTGTATTCCGTGGACTAATTTTTCATATTAAATACACAAATATCAGTGAACAGTTGCTTCTTAAAACTTTATTTCCCTTTCAAGACTGTTGTGGGATGATCTGGAGGACTCCTAGCTTGTTGAGTATCCTATCTGCCACTCATTGGTTTCCTTTAGAGGGAGCTGTGGCTGTGTCCATCAGAAAAGGACTGTCCTGATTTCTGTCCCACCCTGTGTCTTCCATTTGCTTCTGCCCAGTTTGCAGAAGAGCTAACAAAATGAAGCAACAGGTTGTGTTAATAATAGGAAACACAGGCAGCTAAGTTATTTGGGTAACATATTGACAAAATCCAATCTTTAATGTTAAAAATGAACAGAATTATCAAGGGCAGAGTTAATTTTCTTCCTGGTAGCTGGTACAGTGCTGTGTTTTGGCTTTAGTCTGAGAACAATGCTGATAACACACCAATGCTTCAGTTGTTGCTAAGTATCATTTACCCTGTTCAAAGACTTTTCAGTCTCTCATGTTCTGCCAGTGAGGAGGGGCACAAGAAACTGGGAGGAAGCAGAGACAGGACACCTGACCCAAACTAGCCAAAGGGGTATTCCATACCACAGCATGTAATGCCCAGTATAGAAACTGGGGGGAGTTACCTGGAAGGGACTGATTGCTGCTTGGGTCAGGCTGGGTATCGGTCAGTGGGTGGTGAGCGATTGTGTTGTGCATCACTGGTGTTTAGTGGGAGTTTTTGTTGGTTTTCTCTGTTGTTTTGTTGTTGTTGCTGTTGGTTTTGTTTTTTCTTTGCAGTGTTTATTTTTTTTCTTTTGTTTTGTCTCCCTTTCTGTTATTCCCATCATTAGTATTAGTATTATATTGTACTTGATTTTAGGTATTAAACTGTTCTCATCTCAACCTGTGGGTTTTACATTCTTCCAATCTTCCTCCCCGTCCTACCTGGGGAGGGAAGAAGCTGGGGAGTGAGCGAGCGGCTGCATGAAACTGAGTTACTGGCAGTGTGTAAACTATGACAGATACTTAGAAATATATTACAGCTTTTTATAACACATAGCTTCACGTTTTGTTATGCGTATAGAACAGAGGCAGCAGGAGCCCCACTCTTCCAGTGCCTCTGGAGAATTACATGAATTTGATACGGAGACCAGTCAGTCAGTTAATTCCTTGTGGTTTTTTTTTTTAGGTTGGGTGATGCGTAGTCAGCATACTTTGCCCAACAGGAAAAGTGTCTCTGATTTTCTGTCTTGCAGGTGGTTCCTGGAGCATCCTGAGGACTGAGCATCCTTTTACTAGCTAGGGGAGATGAAAAATGCTTTTCTTATTAAACTTTTATAGCTGTAAAGCAAGTAATTGTGTTTTTCTTTATTCCCAGGTGGTCACTGAGATCACTGAGACTGTTAGTACAGACTTCACAGGTCCTAAAACTACTACCTATACTGTTGAACGTGAAAAATCTGTTGAACATGACAAATCTGTTGAACATGAAAAATCTGTTGAAGATGCAGCACCTCCAGTCAGAAAGAAGACAATACGGACAAAAGTGGACCCATCTAAGTTTTTGACACCTTACCTGCAACACAGTAATAAAATGAAGGACCTGTTCAGTGAAGTAAGTTGTCCCATGTCTTTTATTTTTGAGGAACACCAACTTTAAAAATATTTAATGGGGATTATTGCAAACCTTCATGATACTATTTTGTCTCCTGTACTTTGTTTCATCATGTGTATAAATGTTACTTGCCTGAAGTGGGAAATTTCCTTCTCTGAATTAGCCCATCTTGCCTGTTTCCTGCTTAAGTGCATTAGGTAATCCCTAAGCACAAGAAATGGCTAAAGATTGGCAGAGATGTCAGTTAATAGGACTCCTGCACTCTCTGACTTGGATATTTGAGTGAATGATGATAACAATGACTAGTGTCTATTGAACAGCAAACCTCATTGAATATACTACTCAATGTATATTCTCAATATAGAGAGAAATATACTATTATATACTGTACTATAAATATACGATTATATATGTACTATTTGATACTATATTTCTCTATCCCTCTACCTATATCCAAGAAAAATCCTTGTGCACAGTGTATAGGAATGATAACAAGCCTAAATTCCTGGTACAGGATACCAAAGTCCAGTTGACTAATACTGTATGATGTCTTTACGATGTTGTGAAGAGTGGAAAACGACTACTGTGGCCTGACGTAGATGGTGTCAGATCCCTTTTCCTAAATTTTAATGTATGTTACCTACCATCGTTTGCTGTTAAAGGATTATGTGAGATCATAGATCTAGGACTTCTACCTTCACCCACATATTTTCTGTATCTTTGCTCACTGAACCAAATAACTGTAAATTTATCAATACTAAGCTCCCGAGGAGAATATAATCAGAGGTGATCTAAACCATTTCTAAATTTAGAAATCGATATTTTGCTGTTGTGGATGTAAGATGGAAGAAAGTCAGTTGGCTAAAATAAGCATAACTCTGCAAATGTGATTGTGTAATGCTAATTGGTATTATTAAATAATCTGCCCCAAATTCCTATACTAACCAGGTAAATAAGTCAGTAATTGCTGCACACATTTCTTCCAGGGCTTCAGGATATGTCTTAGTTACGTTTGTCAATATTTTCTTTCAGAACAAGTATAAAGAAAAATTTAGAAAAGAAAGAGGAAAGCCATATGCTTCCACAGTTGATACTCCAGAAATTCGGAGAATAAAGAAAGTGCAAGACCAGCTCAGTGAGGTAGGTAACAATTGTGTAAGAAAAAATGTTAGTGAGTATTAAAGAAGCAAATTAAGTCACAATTTTAAATGTTAGATAAGAAGTGATACATTTTTGTTGACATTGCAATAAGGCAGTCTGAATGTTTAGCAGAAACTTTATCAGATTTCAAGAGCAAGGAATACAGAGTATATGACAAGTTTGAGTTCTGTGATGTGGGTTGGAATTTAGGCCTTTCAGGAAGGGAGATGTGATGTTTCCTTTCTAGCTGAATAATAACCCTGCTCCATTGTGCCTAAAGAGGTTTAAAAATTTCTGTTTGGAAGTTACAGGCATGGGAGATGATGGGAATGTCTGTATCACAGAATTTGAAGATTCCACACCCAATGTCCTGCAGTAATCATGAATGATGTGCCTGGTGAATTTTTGTTGAGGTTAAGTTGTGCACTGGGTAAATAGCCCTAGAATTTTTCATTATACAGGGTGGAAGTACTCTTAGAACAAACTCTGTGATTACAGAAGGGCACTACCTCTAACTTGGTTTCACATCTCTTGAAACTTTCTCAATGTTGCATTTCTTTGTCAGTCAATTCACAAAATCCATTTGTTTCCATGAGCTTAATTTTGAAGAAACAACTAGTTCTAAATGCTTTCCTGAATTCATGTTTTGGGTTTTTACAATAGTAAGTGTCAAAATGTTAATATTCTGCTTTTTTTAAAAAAAAGTGTCAGTTTTTGCTTTAAGAATAAATGCATGTGGTTGTGCATTAACCTAGGTTAAATACCGCATGGCTGGTGAAGTTGCTAAAACTATTTGCCATGTTGATGAAAAGGCCATGGATATAGAACATGCAAAGAAGGTGTCACAGCAAGTGAGCAAGGTAAGCGAGTTCTGATTTCTGATTTTCTGAAAGGGTTGTGAACCTTAGTGGATTGTGAGGTTACTGATATGAATAAAGTTTTGAGCTCAGGGCACTAAAGAAATGTTTATACAACAATTTAGAAGCACAGGGAGAGATAGCAGAGAAGCTGATAATGCAAGTATAGATATAATATTAAATGTTTCCAGTTGATGTCTTCAGGCATCACTGGTTTGAAACTTTCACTTTGAAAAAAAGATGTTTAGAGCAGGTAGTTTATTCACTAAAGTAAATATTTTTTCCTAATGATAGAATAACTGATGTGCTGATCTTTCTTTCCAGGTATTATACAAACAGAACTGGGAGGAGAATAAAGACAAGTACCTGCTTCCCCCTGATGCTCCAGAACTTGTGAATGCAATAAAAAACACAGCAATGTTCAGCAAGGTAAGTAAAAAATATGCCAGGCCTAGGCAGCTGAAGGGCAAGAAGCATTCCCAGTCAGAGATTAGTTCATAATAAGTATTCTGGCATTTCTCTGGTTTTTAGAAACTCTATACTGAAGACTGGGAAGGAGACAAAACATTATTCTATCCATACAATGACAGTCCAGAGCTCAGGAGGGTGGCTCAGGCTCAGAAGACTCTGAGTGATGTACGTATTAAAGCCTGGTTGACACTTGGGTGACTGCTACGGCGTAACTTGGTAGGCTTGGTGGGTGACTTGGGCTAAATATAAACTTCATAATGGAACAGAAAACAAAAATGTGTAGGTGTGCACTGATAGGTCTGATAGCAGTGCTATTTCAATAGAAAAATATGTATTCTATATTAGAGTATAAATCTGTTGGCAATTTGGTGTTGGATTATGAATTAATTGAATAATTAATCATTAAAGATTTTCTGAGGTAATCCATAAGAAGACTTTTGAGTATCTTTCAAAAGTGTGGACAAACTCTCAGGTTTGGCTGTGAGCCCAGTTCATTGTTATGGGTCTACAAATCTGTCTCTGTTAAGAAAAGTCAGGAATTCGTGAGGCTATGTGATTTGCTGATGCTTGGATACATAGAACTCTTTAACCGAGGATCTCGGGTCTCAAAGATTTTGGTGAATTTTGCAGATGTTTGCAAGTTCACTATTCCGTGTTTATCAGAAACAGAGTAATATACCTGAAAACTTTTCCAGGGAACCGATTCTTTTCCATTGTCCCTTCTCAAAAGGCTTCTCAATAGTCTTCCAGAATACACTGATTGAAAGAGCTTGTGCTGCAGTAGCTGTGGACAGAAGTGCTTTCGTTAATAGTGGTGTTAGCGAAGTCAAGGGTATATGTCCTGATGCTTAGTTACTGTTTAATTCTTTCATATTTTCAGATTGTCTACAAAAAAGGGCATGATGAACGAAAATCTAAATATACTCCTCTGGCAGATCCACCTGATGTGGAACAAGCCAAGAAAGTGACAAGGCAGCTGAGTGATGTGAGTAGAATGCAGTGCTCTTCTTTCTCACTTTTGGAATTAGAGAGGCAAAAAGGTACCTAGAGACAGGGAAAGCAAAAGAAAAGACCAGAGCTGACGTGCGACGACCCCACTAAGTTGCATAATCTTGTAAATAGGATTTTAACTCAGTTCAGAATTCAGCTATTATGAAGAAGCCATGCATAATTTTATTGCTATATGTTGAAAGTGATTTGCTGTTTAAGATTAGAGAGTTAAAGTATTCACTTACGGTTTCAAAACCACTAAGAAAATATTGTAGTGAACCCATCTGGAAGGGGAAGAAATTTCATTTAGAGAAAATTTCTTTAGTCTTATTCTTCCATAGCTTAAAAGCTAAATTGTCATCAAAAAAATTTCTAGAAGTGTGAAAAGCAAGATCATTATTGTAATTCTTTGAAATGAATAAAATAGTAAGCTATATAGGTATCTCCAAAATAATAAAATGTAGAACTTTTAAAGGTTATTTTTGGCATATATGGTCTTTATCAATGTGGTAACAATCAAAAAGGCACTGGAGAAATTGTATTTTTTATGATAAGCAGCTGTGGCTGAAAATGTGTTTGGAAAACTGAGTCAAAACAGGAGCTGTCTGTTTAAACAGTTGCTGCTTGATTTCCGTCTGTTTGAATCTTGTCTACTAGAAATCACATACATCAGGCAATTCGTATGTTAAAGAGTTTGCTTACAACAAGTTTCAGCAGCAGTAACAATGAATTCTGGTTTAACCATGGGCAATACTATGCCCCAGTGTTATGTGACCAATGAGAAAACTGAACTAAGTGAATATATTAGTGATATCTCATGGAGAGATTTTCTATTAATAACTGTCTTCTATAAGAGGGGACTTATTTCACCTATTTATCCTTTTTTTGGTCAGGCAAGGTACTAAGTGAAATAACTGAATATTGAATTGAATAGGCCAGATCATATTTAAGGTGCTTTTAACAATAACTGATGAAGTGATTGTAAGGCAGATATAAAATGTGAAGCAACTTTAAAAAGAAGACTTTTAAAAACAAATCTGTCAAGTGAAAATTGAACTGTATCTTAGGCGTTAATTTTTTTTTTTTTTGTGGTAGATTATTTACCATGAGGACTATAAAAACAAGATCAAAGGCAAATGGACTCAAACTCCATGCTATGATGTTGCAATTGCAAAAATGAACGCAGAAAATCTAAGCATGGTAAGTGAATTCTTCAGAAAATCTTGACGTGAACAGCTTTATCCGCTCTTTATGTTAACCTAGAAAATACTGATGACTTTTGCCTGCTCCATTCGTAGCATTTCTCTTTTCCTAAATAAGCAACTTCATGGATGTCTGATTTATAATGTAAGTGCATTGTTATCTGCTCATCTCTGTTCCTAACAGAGAAAATACCAAGAAGACTTTGAAAACATGAAAGACCAAATCTACTTTATGCAGACTGAAACTCCAGAATACGAAGCTAATAAGCGAGTTTCAAACAACGTCAGTAAGGTATGTCATCTGTTTAGCTTGAGCGTAAAGCCAAAGTCAGGCCAGTTTCTGCTGAAACTGTTTTGTCAGTGTCAGAAAGTATTTTCTTACAAGCAAAACAGGTATTCTTGTGTGCTTTCCCTCAGGAAGCTCCTAGGCATGCTTATGGTCTTCCACAGTAGTACCCATGAAATAGAATTTTCTTCCAGTGAAGTAGAATTTGCTTCATTATTTGTTCTAATGATGTTATGTGCCTAACTTTTAGCTGGAACAAATTCATACTGTTAACCAAGACCAACTTAAGCTAGCTGAATTTGGCTCAGAATTTTAATATTTATTCATCCTTGCTCAGTGTATTTCAGTGACACTGTGCTTTATTCAAAGTACAAAATTTGGCTTCTGCATTTTTTGCAATAGTATATGCATCAGCAAAGACAATCTTATGTCATTACTTGTAAAAATATGACTATTCTGAGATGTCAGCTGATATTTGAAAAATTACAATGTCTGGAGAGGTGCTTAGAGGTGGGGACGTCTACTGAATAGCTTTCACTTATGTTGTGACCCTGCCTCACATCTTATCATCCATGCCCTCCTGTGATCTGAGTACCTTTCATGGTCCTTTGCCATCATGAATCATATGTCAAAAACCAGGGGAAATTTTCCTGAAAACTTCAACATAGTACAGGTTTGTGAGCATTTGGCTTTTATTACTGATTTCTAAAACCTCACCCTTTTTACTTTTTAAAGGTAAAATACAGAGCAGACTATGAAAAGAACAAAGCTATTGCAGATTATAACGTGCTTCCTGCTACAGAGAACCCATTGCTGAAGCAATTAAAAGCTGCAGGAAATGCGCTGAGTGATGTAAGTATTATCAAAGTACAGCTGGATGATTTTTAGTCATGTACAATAAGTCTTCATTTCTTCACAAGGCTTCTCCTTTGGATCTCTTGGTATTTCTAGTTTTATACATCAATATTTATCATGAAATCCCACCCAAAAGGGCAGTATAGGTAAGGAGTAATTTCTTCAAAGCAGAATGGAACAATAGCTGTAACATGTTTTGGGGATAGCTAATTACTGAATAGTTCACTTAGATCTCTATGGAAAATGAATCACTAAATGACAGCTCTTCCCTTACTGTTTTAAGGAGCTTCAACTGATGGCAATAATGATAAAATATGTGGTACCTATCTATAATATTGTATTCTGGTTACTCACTGTAATGGCCTTCTCTGTCTCTTCTTGCCGTTTGCATCTGTATGGAAGTAGACTGCTTATTTCTAAGTGTCAGAAGTTCAAAACCCCTTAGTCAGGCCTTTCTATCTTCTATTACAGGCCTAATAGCAACCAAAAAAAGTTTTTTTTTTAAAATCATTGGGAAAAAGTGCCGTCTGTTTTTTAGTTTTCTGGGAAAACTTTTCTTTGCAATAATTTCACTCTTTTGTAATTTTTAATGTGTTGTGAGTGAGTTGCAGTGAAATATACTTCACTATCTGACATTGTTTTCTTCTGCAGAAATTATACAAAGAAGCCTATGAACAATCAAAAGGAACCAGCATTAATTACTGTGACACACCAAAGTTCCAGACTGATAGTGTTCTGAAGAATTTTAGTGACGTAAGCATTTGATTTATGTTGTGTTGTTCAGTACTGGCACTCCTGATATTACTTTTGTTTATCAGCTCTTGACTATTCTGTGATTCTGTGATTTTTCCAGGTAAAATACAAAGATGCATATCAAAAAAATATTTTAGGACACTATGTGGGCAGCTTTGAGGACCCACATCAGATACACTGCATGAAAGTTGAAGCTATGAAGAGCGATGTAAGTGTGGCTGTCATTCTGTTTTCACCACCATGTTGTCATGTCAGAGAAAGCTCATGACATACAGAAGTAAGTGGATTCTTACTGAATGTTGATTTTATTCCTAGAAAAATTACAAAGCAGAGTATGAAGAGGAAAAGACAAGATGCTACTTCCCTCAGACCATAACTCAGGAGTATGAAGCAATTAAGAAGTTAGAGCAGTGTAAGGATGTAAGTACGGCATAGTAATGGTTATCAAGTAGCCAACTACATGCAGGGTATCTGTGCCTTGGGCACGCAGAAACTTACAGAGTGATTCTTCTTAACTTTGATGATTTTTAATTTAGTCTTATTAGCACATATGACTTGTAAAAACCATGTTCAGCTGTATTTTAGAGCCTTTTCTGACATCTAGTGATCAAGACAGATACAGCATAATCTTTTTTTTCTAACAAGTAAAACCATAAAATTGGAGTAGTACCAAACTGAATTAATGATCCTCAGGATTTACCTGCTGAAGTCAATGTATTTTTCCATTAATACATTAAAGGTACTTTATTAATACCAATTTTATTTACTTTGTCAATACTTGGAAAATGCTTTATATATTTGTATATAATATACTAAAATGAATAGGCTATAATATTTATAATGTATTATCATTTATGCCATACATTATAATATTTATATAGCTATTGAAATATTTTATATTAATACTTTAAAAAATTATTTGCTCTTTGATCATGCTAAAAAGTAACATGAGAACCATTGTGCAGGACAGTGCTTATCTGCATACATGCCACAACTGTTAACTATCCTAAGTAATGCAAGATTGGTATGTCTTATAAGATAGTTTTGCTTATTTGCGTTTTCTGTAAATATGTTTATTATATTCCTTCAGCACACCTACAAAAAGCATCCTGATCAAACCAAATTTACTCAAGTGACTGACTCTCCAGTACAGAAGCAAGCAGAGATCAATAGCAAACAGCTGAGTGATGTAAGTAATCTTACGAAATATGTTGCTGCACTCTGACATTATCAGTTTCTGCACTCTTGACTAGCTTTACTTTATCATCCAGTTTCAAGAGAACTCCTGAAATGAATGCGTAGGTGAATGTGTGCACGTATACACACACGCACAAGCACGAAAACGTTCATGCGTATTCGCAGTTATGTTCCAGTGGGAGATCAGCTGGAAATCAGGGTTTTTTTCAGTTTTTCAGTTGGCTGTTCATGTCAATTTTTAGTATGTATATCTATAACTTCTTGTCCATCATTCTCAATGTGTTCACACCAGTTAAGTCAGTGGGGTTTATACCACTCACTTGGCAAGGACTAGGATTTCATCTGTATGTCTTTGTGAGTGAGTAACATGAGATCCTAGAATCATAGAATCATAGAACAGTTCTTTAAGCTGTATCACTCTGCATTATTAAGCATTTGCAATCTCTAAATATTGTGTTGCTGAATTTCTGTCATTGTTTTTCTTTGTAGATAATATATAAATCCAAAGGTGAAGAAATTATTCATAAGTACCACCTCCCTCCAGATGTGCCCCAGTTTATACAGGCTAAAGTTAATGCCTACAATATTAGTGATGTGAGTATATTTTGAATCTAAAGTTATTAATTCAATTTACAAGATAAGGTTTCTGTTAGCTAGTAGCTGCTTATTAAAAATTCACCTTTTCTCCTAGAACTATTACAAAATGGGATTGGAAGAATTAAAATCAAAGGGATATGATCTAAAAAGTGATGCTATTCCTATCCAAGCTGCCAAGGCTGCTAGGCAGGCTGTCAGTGATGTAAGTATATCCTTCCTGAAGGAACTGCTTAACTCACAAGAGTTTATACTTAAACAGAATTTGCAATTCTGTTTATTAAGGACACATAGGATAACTTCTTTATTGCTTTTTTTGGGCATGTTATTGGATGTATTTAACACAGTAATATTTGCATGGTGTTTCATTGTTTCAATACATATTTGTATAATTACATTTAGAAAAGGCTTTTACATTATCTAATTCTCGTGAATAAGTTGGCTCTTGTGCTCCAGTATGGTTAAGGTAAATCATGACGAGTAGGTCAGTAATGACAGCTCTATGAGCAATGGACCCCTGAATTCTCCCTGTCATGAATTATAGGCCGAATCATAAATTAGATGGAAGACTCTAGGTCATCACTGGATTTTGGTAGATTTTTGGGGATGGTCTTGCAGAGGTCCCTTAGTGTTTTAGACTTCTCTCTCTTATAATCAGTACAAGTGAGACAGTACTACTTTGAAAGCTAGCTAACTGATTTGTTTGTCACTGAATTTTGAAGAGATACATGCCTGGATTTATTAAGATGTGTGGTATACTCTTTGTAGAAAACAAAGGGTAGCCTTTGCTTTTAATTACTTATTGCTAAGTTACTTAGATGATATTTTCCTTGTTCTGTTATATTCTAACAGGTTAACTATAAAAAAGCCTATGAACTTGCCAAGGGTAAACTTGTTGGCTTCAGGAGCATCCAAGATGATCCCAAACTCGTTCATTCTATGAAGGTAGCCAAGATGCAGTCTGAGCGAGAGTACAAGAAGGATTATGAGAAGACAAAAACTAAGTACAACATTCCATTGGATATGGTCAATGTTGTTGGTGCCAAGAAGGCTCAAGAGATTGCCAGCAACACTAATTACAAGAACCTCCTCCACCATTATACTTACTTACCAGATGCAATGAATGTGGAGCTTTCCAAGAATATGATGGAGATTCAGAGTGATGTAAGTAAAGCCTCATGTGAACAGAATTTTTTTGAGATGCCTTAAGCAAAAACTGTGAAGACTCAGGATAGGTCCCTGAATTGTTTTTCATACTTCCTAACTTTTAAAACATTGTTTTCACTCCTTTATTAGAATGTGTACAAAGCTGATTATAATAACTGGATGAAAGGCATTGGTTGGGTCCCCATTGGATCACTAGAAGTAGAAAAAGCTAAAAAAGCTGGAGATGCCTTGAATGAAAAGAAATACCGCCAGCATCCGGACACCATTAAATTTACAAGTGTGGTGGACTCTCCAGTAATGGTCCAAGCCAAACAGAATTCCGTTCAACTCAATGATGTAAGTAGAGAAATAAATGGGTGTTAAGGTAAAGATATTGTAAAGATGTATCTACTGAAAAGCTGGGAATTGTCTGTAAAATATTTTAAAGTATTGTTAGCCTGAAAGTGTTGCCCTGTGTTGTCATTGTTTTGTGCTCTGATTTGCTTGGGATTAAGGTCTGTATAGGTCTGTAAATCTCTCTGAAATCATGTGGCTTTTTAAGTTCACATGGGTTGATTCCGCCCATTTGTATTCTAAGTACATTTGAAATACATTTTATTTAAGAAATGTGAAATTTCCAGGTTGTTTATTCATGTTTTACCACCTGCAATAATAAATTAACTACAGAATGTTTGACAAATCATAGTATGTCAATCACTATAACCAGGAAGCTTTGTTTTGTGTTACTCTTTATTATCCTGTTCCTTCATAAATGTGGCTTTATGTCCATTAAAGGCCTTCATTTTATTGAGTAAAGACTGCATGAAGCTTTTAGGATGCATTACTCAGTAAGATTAACAACTCTGTGTGAAAAGTGCAGCCTCAATCTTTATGAAATAGGTGGCAATGTACATCTATTTGCAAAATCAAACATAAACCCTCAGTTAATTTACAGTAACCTAAACAAGGAAAGGATTTATTTCTGTATCATATATTTTACAGAAACTATATAGATCTTCTGGAGAGGAAGTTAAACATAAATATACTCTAAGCCCGGATATTCCACAGTTTATCCAAGCTAGATACAATGCAGCTAATATCAGTGACGTAAGTGACTTCTTTACAACATTTTTTATGCATCGTTAATGAATTTTTGAGTAATATGTTAGAGATTGCAGGTTCCTTTCACAGATAAGCAGTTCTATATAGTCAACTTCTATCAGTGTAATTTTTCATTCTTTGTGTTACTTGGATTTCCAACCAGATATCATTTAATTAATGTAATTAATAGATAAATCTGTTCTTATAAATGAAGACCAAGGGTTGTATATGATCCCCACTGCACCTGCTTCTAAAGAATTACCTGGAGTAGCTTAGGAGTAGCTTTGACTTGCATATAGGTCATGTGATTACTAAATTCTCTGGAATAATATGGATTTTCTTTTTTAGGCTTATTATAAACAAGGCTACCATGATCTAATAGCTAAAGGGAACAAGGTTTCTCTTGATGCTATTCCAATTACTCTAGCCAAGGCTTCGAGAAACATCGCTAGTGATGTAAGTATCTACTCCAGGTATGCTATCCTACATTTAGTAGAATGTTGCCCCTTCCAGGCTGTCTGGTAGACCTCATGTGTTGCACAAGTCTCAACTAGAGTCAGCATTATGAGAAGGCGATTCTTAGTCTTTCCCAAAGGCCTAGTTTGCACAGAACTTATTTTATGCTCATCTTGTTTGCTTTAGATAGGCAAATGCTTTTATACTGTGTTTCTTAACCTGCTTGACACAGCAGAAATTAAATCGGTAGTTCTTGCAATCATTCTATGACAAATTTCCAGAAACACACTGCATTGGCACCTATTTACAGACAACAACATGTGTTCAGGGTGCTTTTGGTTATACAGTGGAGCATGGCTTATACATGAGTTGGAGGGCCATGTAGTACAAATTTTGTAAGGTGGGATATGTACTATTGGTTTTGTATAACTAGAGGCAGCTCTCCAGTCATATGCCATTTGTTTGCTTTTGCTTTCAAATGACTGAGAAGGATTGTCTCAATTATTCTGATATTTTTCATACACCTTTCTGCGCAGGAATGCTTAGGAAATGTTTTCCCTTACTTAAAAGAAAAGCTAATACTGATAGATCTTATAGTGGTGCACATAACCTGTAGTGTACAGGCTTAGATGGTGCAGCAAGAAAAGCTCGTGTTTGTGCCAATTAGGAGAGTTTATCTTTCTGAGCTGCTTGCAGCTGCTTTTTCCAATTAGAGCTTTTCTTTTGCGTTAGCGTGGACATAAGTAGCCATACAACTCTCTTTCCTCTGTTTCTAGTATAAATATAAAGAATCATATGAGAAGGCTAAAGGAAAACAGGTTGGTTTCAGAAGCCTGCAAGATGACCCTAAGCTTGTTCACTACATGAATGTAGCAAAGATTCAGTCTGAACGCGAGTACAAGAAAGACTATGAGAAGACCAAGACTAACTATCATGCAACTCCTGACATGTACAGTATCCAGGCGGCTAAACAGTCTCAGGACGTAGCTTCTAATGCTCATTACAAAAACCTGATCCATCACTACACTTACCTGCCAGATGCCATGGATGTTGAGCTTGCGAAGAACATGATGCAAATTCAGAGTGATGTAAGTATTTCATTGATAGCAATTTCATGGATGTTTTCCTGCATACTGTGAAGATAAAATATGAGTTTATATTCCATTGAAATTGCCATTACTGTATTGGAATGGTCTGTTTTTCTTATGTCTTGGAGAAGATGTAAGTTTTATCAGCTGGTGGCATTTAGAAATAACCAAATTGCAGGTGTGTTCTTATCAACAGGGCAGGGTTTTGATGTTGGCATATCAGTATAGAGCTGAATTCTGGAATGCTGAATTCAAGCTAACTTCCCCCCCCCCGAAACTTTATTTTGCAACTAACTAATGTAATTTTGTTTTATTCCTTAAGACTTCTTTTAAGTTGTCTTGCTTTTTTATTACAGGAGATAGATAGGGTAGTGTAGGGGGTCTATTGTTAATCACTTAAGATGAAGGAGTGGACAAAATGGAGCTATTGATATTGTTGGAAATACATGCTGGAGATCTCTAGTATAGGAGATACCTCTTAGGAGCTGCTTGGTCCTCGCAGATAGTTTCAGATGGTTGACTGGGCATACATAGTTGCACTCCGCACCTCTGTATATACTGCAGAATTTGACTCTGTGGATCTCTGTGGAGGACCACTCATTTTAGAGTTAGAACATGGAATAGTCTTAAGAAAAGAGTGTACACAATATCCTTGCATTCAGAACTTTGTCTGAATGTTTATATGGGATAACCTTCTGCATATTTTGTAGCCATGATAAATTTTTCACTTGCAGTCTGTGGACTCTCCATAATTTACTGTAGGAGGAACTATAAGAAAAAAAACAAAAATTGAGACTCTGTGGAACCTCTGTACAAGGCCAAGTCTCATAGAGTCTGCTGAAACACAGAACAAATTAAACAGTCACTATATCGTAGTTTAGAAGTTACTAAGAATTGAAGGTTGGTGAAATTTTTCACATAGGTAAAAGAAAAGGATGGTTAGTAAATACTGGGTTCATGAATCATGAATCAAAAATACACTTGTTTTTCTTCTTTATAAAATTAGAGAAGCATAAAAAGAACGTGCTGTTCCCTTCAGGAATTTATAAATATTTCCTGCTCATGTAGAATATGCTAGCTGGGCTATGTGATTATTGCTTTAAACAGAATTATTACAATTCTGTGGGAAAATCTTGATCCATGTTGGTTTTTTCTCCTTCAGAATGCGTACAAACAGGATTATAACAGCTGGTTCAAGGGTATTGGCTGGAGTCCTCTTGGTTCTCTGGATGTTGAAAAAGCTAAAAAGGCTGGGGAGGCATTAAATGAAAAGAAATACCGTCAGCACCCAGACACCATCAAATTTACAAGTATACCAGATTCAATGCCAATGGTTTTAGCTCAGCACAACACGAAGCAGCTGAGTGATGTAAGGAATTTTTCGTTATTAATGCAATATAGTGATTTAAATTTTTGCCATATTTATGATTTCTTTGTTACTGTTTGACATTCCATCCAAAAAAAAGAAGTTACATTTTAAAAATGGTAAAAATAGTAAGATTGCCATTTGTTGGTAAGAATGAAGCATTGTTACCTTGTCTCTATTTGTTAACACTAATATTACCTGCTTTCCAAGAAGTATTTGTTTATTTTTCCTTGCAGGTAACATACAAACAAGAAGGCGAAAAACTGAAACACAAATATACGCTGGATCCTGATGTTCCTCAGTTTATTCAAGCCAGAGTTAATGCCTACAATTTGAGTGATGTAAGCATACAGCCAATAGTCTGATCAATAATATATTGATTTGTAATTTTCTTAATAGAAGAAATAACTTCGTTTGTGCTACGATACTGAATATAGAAATGCACAAGCTCTGAATTCAGCTAAACTCTTACTTCTAGAAGACAGTGAGTTTTGTGCTGGTAAAGTAAATTTTGAAACTGACTGAGCATTCATGAACATAAACACATTGTAATGTTTTATTGCCAAAATACTTGGGTAGACTGAATGAGAAAATTACTCAGATTCCTGTAGGTTTGGAGATTTATGTCGTCTACTTTTGTATGAAATACACCACAGAGGCAAGCAGTGCAAGTTCTCTTTATGTTGCTACCTCCTTCTGAGCTTTCAAAGGAAATTAACTCATCCTGTGTCAAGATAATAATGCCTTTTTTCTGCTGTTCAGCTACTAATCTGTCTCCTTTTCATCACTTCTTCCATCCATCCAACACCACAGGGATTTCCATTATTAGTATCAAATTTATTCCCTTTGTGATATTAAGGGTTATGGTGACATTATCAGGCCTCCAAGAAACAGGTAAAATCTCCTTTAATAGCCTTGAAATACTAATAGTCTGTCCAGATGTTAACTGCTAACAAAAAACCAGACAGACTGCTTTCTTCAGTTCGTTAAGATCACAAGGCCTGATTTTTAAGCTAACAGGAAAAAATTTCTGAAGGTTTAGTCAAATAAGAAAGGGTTTGCTTTCAAAGCAAGGGCAAAAATGCCTTACAATAGGGTTATTCAGCATAAAAATTGCAGGAAATGCTTACAGAGTTAGTGGTTTGTCTACGTGTGTTAAACTGATTGTCTTGAAGGACTCTCCCATCTTTGTATCAATGCATTTATCAGAATATAGCTGTAGTTTCTGTGCAGGTCAACATTTTTCCTTACAATTGCACAGACTAAACTGAGTATTTTGATTCCCATAACTATAATAAAAATATGGGCTTAAACAGCTGTGTTAAAATTGTTACTTGTACCTTTGCGAACTCATACCGTTTTTTCCCTATAAGGCTAACTACAAAGCAGACTGGAAAAAGACCATAGCAAAAGGATATGATCTGAAACCAGATGCCATTCCTATCATTGCTGCTAAGGCTTCTCGGAATATTGCAAGTGATGTAAGTATAATTCACATGAAGTGAAATAAATGCATCTACTGTGTTACAGCTTTCTGTAGCATAGCATGCTATAGAATGTATGCTATATATGTATAATGGTATAGAGACAGTTAACCCTGAGAACTGGAACTCTTATGATACTTCAAAATAAGAAGTAAATTCAGATGTTTACATGAATGTCTGAAAAAACCTCTTGCTTTGGAAATGCATCATAATGTGTGTGAGTGCTGGTGAGGTGGGGCTGGTTGTTTTATGTGCTTCATGTATTCACTAGCTTATTTGGAATTTTCTTTGTTATAATTTGCCTGAGCTGTATTCTTAATTGCTGGAGAACTGTATTTCTACTTGACTGGCATTCATGAGTAGTACAGAAATGTGGCTGTGTTCATGCAGCTACATTAATTGGCAATAGTAAAACTTGGTGTGCCATCCGACACAAGCTGTGAAAGGGGATTTGGAACACAGAAATAATTTTACTAACTTTAAAATGGCTAGAATGACTTCCATTGCCCACTTAAAAACTACCTCCCTCCAGTAGCTGAATATTGGGACGTCTAATTGTCTGGTAGTCTTAGGCTTTTTAATAATGAAAAGATGAACATTCCTGGGAGTTAGAAGTCTATGGCAGTAAAATATAATGTGGCAGAGGCAATGTCGAGGGACGGCATGTAACTGCATATCTAGGTTTAGATCTGTACCAGCAGTCAAAAAAGCAGAGAAATCTAGCAATCCTGTTCTATTTTTTTCCTGAAAAATTTTAGTAAGAATGAATGGCAATTGTTAAAATGCTGAGTATCACAGTATTAAAATTATCAAAAGCATGTTTTGTCTTTCTGAAGTGGGTGAAGGCTTTCTTTTCTTTTGTCTCTAGTACAAGTACAAGGAATCATATGAGAAAGGTAAAGGCAAACAGGTTGGATACCGTAGCCTGCAGGATGATCCTAAACTTGTTCATTACATGAACGTGGCCAAAATGCAATCAGATCGTGAATATAAAAAGGATTATGAAGTCACCAAGACCAAATATCATACTCCATTGGATATGTTCAGTGTGACGGCTGCCAAGAAAGCCCAGGAAGTGATTACAAATACTGGCTATAAGCAGCCAATTCACAATTATACACTCTTGCCTGATTCTGTGAATCTGGAGCTATCAAGAAATGTGATGCAGCTTCAGAGTGATGTATGTAATAATTAATCTCTTTTTTTTTTTCTTCTCATAATGACTGTGTTATACTGTTAATGTTTTAAGGATAAAAATTTAACTGTATTGGATTAACAGTAGACAGATGTAAATATCTGGTCTGGAGCCCTGTGTTTTCAAAAATTACCAGAATTATGTATAGCTGATAAGGGACTTCACTAGCAAGTAACAACTTCCTGTGTTATATCTCTACATATTTGACTAATGAACGTGTTTTTCTAATTAATGTTTTTTGTAGTTGAATTTGAATTTGTTGTTACTGTGATTATTATTTGTATTGTCTGATTGTAGGTTATATATAGTCTAAATTCTGACTATATTTTATTCAAGTTTTCAAAAAATGTGCATTATGTACATTTGTATTATATCTAGGGATTTGAGATTATTTTATTTTGTTCACTTTTCCTTTCTGCTTTTGTCCTCCCACAGATGCATATGCCACTTATGATAAAGATTCCTAAAATAGCTTTGTAGTTTGCATAGTTTCCATTAAGTTCTGTGACTCATTTCCTTTTTTTTTTTTTTTTCTTTTTCCCTGTAGTGTAATTTCAGGCACTGCTTCTTTACCCAAAAATATTTAGTTTAATCTGCTTTATTTAACAGTCCTCTGACAAATTTGAAGTTCTTCAAAATGTTAGTAATCTGATTGGAAGTGTTCTTCAGATTCTAAGTATTGTTTGGAGAGGATCATGTGCATGTTCCCATTGACCAACAGACAGAGGATCCAACCCTTAGACACTGTTCTTTTCGAATACAGAAATTTGCATCTCAAGTTTTTTTCTTCCCTGTTGTATTTTTACCTGACCTTACTGTGTTGGCTGAGCTTGCTTGGCTGTCTCAGATGTTTGCAAGCAGAGAAGTGTATTATATGAGGACAAATTTTGCCCTGTATACACATGCTGTGAAAGTATGTAGTCTTTCTCTCAGACTCTGATATTCTCCTTGTTAATCCTAACTCTGCAGTTCAGGAACAGGTTTTTGTTGCAGTATTTTTGTATCTTTATCTGTTCTGAAGTATGATTAAGTAGGAATGGTGTCTACTCAAGATTGTGCAGAACAAGGCAATTAAGAGAAGTTGTTGAAACAATTTCTCTAAATCAATTCTACTGCAAACTGAGTCGCCAACAAACAAGAGTGTCAGTTAAGAAAAGTATTTTATTTTTGACAGAATTTTGTATTTATCACTCAAAATTTGTTTTAAGGTCTGTGCATTTGGTTTGTAGTGAGAGTTCTACACACTGGTTTAGTGAAAAGAATTTCTGTATCCCTAACACATGCATAGTTGTTAATGTATGCTAAGAATATGGAAACCAGTAAGTTATAACAGGCTTGTCTAAATTTTCCTGAAAAAATTAATAACCAGGAGAAGTTTTAAGGCCTTACCTGTGTTTATTTATGTATGTATTTTCCTTGTCTCACTGTTTCTTTGTCTATTTTTTAAAAGAATGTTTACAAATCAGACTTTAATAACTGGTTGAGAGGAGTTGGCTGGGTACCAATTCAGTCACTGGATGTAGAAAAGGCCAAAAAAGCTACAGAGATTCTCAGTGAGAAGAAGTACCGCCAGCACCCAGACAAGCTGAAGTACTCCATTACAATGGATGCCATGGAGCAAGTGCTAGCTAAGCAAAATGCCAAGACCATGAATAAGGTGAGAATTTGTGCAGGTGATCATGAGTCGGAGGTTGGGTTGTTGTCTTGCAAAATTGTGGAGCTGGTGCATTGACACAGAAGTCACTAGATTTCAATGAGTACAATGATTTGCTTCATTAGGACTGGCCACTAAGAGATGCTGGAAGCCTCAGACTATTCGTAATTAAGGGGTTTTATTTTCTGTTTAAAAAGATTAAAAAATTCTCTTCTGTGTATGTGAGTAAAGATGTCTTCTCCAGATTTATAGTGCTTTGGTAACCTTCATTCTTTTTCTGCAGGAAGTAGTATTCATAATCAGTGAGTTGAAAAACCTCTGGAATTCTTTTAGTTATGTACAACTTGCCTTGAAAAGTGGAGTTCTTTAAATTTGCCCCACATTGCTTCTGACGCCACTGATCCCACATTCCATGTTTGCTGTGGAGAGGGGGTGTGTAGAAAAAAAAGAAAATTATGCTTTGCATTAAAGCGGGAAAAATGCAGACAGAAATATTCCATTTAAATATTTACTAGTTCTGAAAACATACTTTGCAAATTTCTCAAATAGAGTACTAACCGAAGAGGAGAAATATAATATTGCCACTCAGCTGTTGTATTTGTGAAGATTATTTATAGTGCTTATGACACTAAAATGTTATTTATTGCAAATGAACATAACAACAGAAAGCTCTTATTTTATGAGTGCAATGTTTTTTCAGTGCTAAATATTACTTTTTAATTGCAGAGACTCTACACTGATAAATGGAATAAAGAGAAGACCAGCATTCATGTTATGCCAGATACTCCAGAAATTCTGCAGTCTAGAGTGAACCAGATCACAATGAGTAATGTGAGTTGCCATGCTCACATGGGCTTTCAGTGTCTGTTGCAAAAATTTGTGTCATTTTTATGTGTTTTAAGTTTATGTCTAAGCTTCAGTACTTCTGCCTTCATAATAGAGAACATATTTTCCTTTACTTTTTAAATTAGAAACTTTACAAAGCTGGGTGGGAGGAAGACAAGAAGAAAGGTTATGACTTGCAGCCAGACGCCATTCCAATAAAAGCAGCCAAAGCCTCCAGAGACATTGCAAGTGATGTAAGTTTGATTGTATGATACTCCTCAGAGTAACTACAAAGACAGTAAGAGAGCATTTTCAAGGTGTTCTGTTATGCACAAATGATTTTTTTCAAACATCTTGAGTTGTTTAGATTTCAGTTGTATGCCTGATGGTATAAACATTTGCAATATTTGCTCTCCAGTGGAAAAATATTGAATTGTGCTTTTTTGCTCTTTGTTCAGCAAGCTGCTGAGCTCCATGTGCCTGTGCCATGGGCTGTTACATAAGGCTATGTTTAAATGACAAAACCTGAGATCTTGTCATACCCCCCCCCCCCCCCCGATACTTTCTTGTTTTCAGGGATATGATTGAGCTTAATAGCACATTTTTAAAGATTTAATTTTTTGCTGTTCTTCCTCTTTCCTGCTGTCAGTATAAATACAAACTAGCCTATGAAAAAGCAAAAGGAAAGCATATTGGATTCCGCAGCCTTGAAGACGACCCCAAGTTGGTGCACTTCATGCAGGTCGCTAAGATGCAATCTGATCGTGAATACAAAAAAGACTATGAGAAAGCAAAGACTAATTTCCATACTCCAGTTGACATGTTCAGTGTTGTGGCAGCCAAAAAAGCACAGGAAGTGGCTACAAATGTAAACTACAAAAACTTGATTCATACCTACAGTGTTCTGCCTGATGCTATGAGTCTTGAATTAGCCAAAACCATGATGCAGATACAGAGTGATGTAAGTGAGAGATTCTTCACCCTTTGCATTATGAATACAATGATGCATGGTTTATGAAAGCATATTGTAAGATAAATAGTACTATTTTCCTAGTGAAATCAGTTATGTACTAAAATGTGGCAAATGGAACAAAACCTTCAGCAGTGATAGCCATTGTATTTTTGTAAGACTTGAAGTATTAAATTACACCTATTGCTAAAGAATTTGGGCTCAGAAACAAATAATTTTATGTATTAAGTGAAATGGATATTTATTGCTTACATGTCCTGTTGAATCTCCAGGAGCAATATTTGTGTGCAGGCCGAGGCAGAAAAAGCTTTTTTCGTTAACAGTTTTATACTGTACCTCCAATAAGATCTTTTCAGAAGAAAGGGAAACCACCTAAATAGCCATATTCTCAGATTTTTCTGGGATTTTTAACCTCTATAGAGGAGGGCCTTTTTTCTTGGTAGAGTGGTTCAAGATGATCTCCTTCTTCAATGGGACTTGAGTATATAATCTCATGTGAGCAATTTATATACATCATAAGGAGGATCTGCACATTGTATAAAGGGCAGAGTAGTAAAATACAGACACCACTAACAAATGTGTTTCTGATTAAACCTTGATTACACCTTGATACTGTGCTTCTTTTTAGAATAAGTGCATTAAAAATCTAACATTCATTAAACACAGAAATAAGTGTCATGATTTGCAAACTTTTTTGTAAATCTGATTCTTTTCTTTTTCTGCCTCCAGAACCAATACCGAGCAGAATATGATGAAAGTATGAAGGGTGTTGGATGGGTACCACTGGGCTCCCTGGAAGCTGAAAAGAATAAGAAAGCAATGGAAATTCTTAGTGAAAAGAAGTATCGCCAGCATCCAGACAAGCTGAAGTATTCTGTTCCTCTAGATTCCATGAACATGGCCTTAGCTTTAAATAATGCTAAAATCATGGATGAGGTAAGAAAGCATTAATCAAAATTCATTTAAGTTTGCAGAAGTAAGAAACAAACTATACCTGATGTAATAGTCAATCCTACTATGTGAACCCCTTCAGTAATTGTCAATTTTGGCAGCTAATGAATATGCTTGACTGTAATTGTATTTCATCTTAATAGAACTTTGATATACCTGAAATCAAAGCATGACCCTAGTATTTCTAAGAAATACATACGAAGACGGAGCAGGGTATATGTGTGTGTGTGTCATTTTATTAATGAAGTTTGCCCAAGATAACTGATTTTAGCCTTTTAGCAGTTTAAATTTTGGGGTTAAAAATACTGGAGTGAGCCCTTTCAGAAACAAGGTTTAAGCTTTTAAATGTATAGTCCATTTCATCTGATGCCTGTTACATTAATATGAAATTACTACATGATATGAATGCTGTTACACTGAGATATTTATTTTCTAGCTCTCCTGCTGAACTAATGTAATCTGCTGGTGTTCCTTAGAAATATCTAGGCTTCACGTGTGTTGTAGTTACAGAGACCATCAGAATCTTATGTGTACTTCCGTTAGCTCTGTTTCCTCTAAGAAAAGCTTTATTGCCTCTCTCAACTGACACTTACTTTCTTGGAGATAAACTAATAATCTTCCACCTGTAACTTATTTTTTTTCTTATACCTTCTGTCTTGGCTTTTAGCCATGGGTTGACCCCGGTAGGCAGCTAAGCACCACGTAGCCACTTGCTCACTTCCTCCCTTAGAGTGGGATGGGGAAAAGGAAGGGCAGAGTAAAAGTAAAAAAAAACCCTTGTGGGTCAAGATAATAATTGTTTAATAAGCAAAGGAGAAGTGGAAGAAGATAGAAAACAAGTGATGCAAAAGCAGTCGCTTGCCACCTCCCACAGGAAGGCTGATGTCCAGCCAGTTCCCAAGCAAAACACTCTCTGCCCCTTTTTATTTGCTGAGCATGCCATTATGTGGCATGGCATACCTCTTTGGTTAGCTGGGTTCATCTACCTGGTTATATCCCCTCCCAACCTCTTGCACATCCCCAGTGTGTTCACTGTGGGGGCACAGAGGAGCAGTGAAGGCCTTGATACTATGCACACACTGTTCAGCAAAAGCTGAACATTGGTGTGTTACCAGCGTTATTTTAGTTGCAAATCTAAAATAAAGCGTGGTTAGAGCTGCTGTGAAGAGGATTAACTCCATTCCATCCAGACCCAGTATGTTCTGAAACCTGTTGTTTTCTGCTGTTCGATGTGCTTGAATACACTGCTGGACAAAAGAGAAGCAATAAAATAATCTAGCAAAACTGAAAATTGAAATAAATTATTTGATTAAAAACTGAAATAAAAATTCTTTTATTTCAGCCTCACACAATGAAATTCGTAAGAGCTATTCCTGATATACACTGCTTTTAATTGCTAAAATAAAAAGACAAATGCTCCTACCATGTTAGTAGTTGCATCATTGTAAAGAGAGATTGTATTTCAAATAGGAAATATTCTTTTAAACTGTTTCATGTAGTTTTTATATGTTGACATTTTAAAATTTTTTTTTATTCTTCCAGCACAAGTACAAACAAGCATGGGAAGAAGACAAAAGGAAAGTTCACATCACACCAGATATTCCACAGATTGCTTTGGCAAAAGTTAATGCATTTAATCTAAGTGATGTGAGTACTGTTCTTTATTTTTTTAATTTTTTTTTTTTTAATAAAGAATAAGTGAGAAGACAGCATACGACAGTATCCCTCATTCTCACTTTGAAAACCTGTAGTAATTTCACAAAGAGCGATTCATTTTCCTTTTCCCACATTCCCCCAAATTAAATACTGAAATTTAACCCATGGTATATGTAGTTAGATTATGAAGTGTTTAGGTAGGTCATTAAAATAGAATAGTTACTGACAAAATAGTAAGAGTAGAATTTGAGTACTGTCCGTGTTTGTTACTGTAGTTATTGTATTATTTCCCTGTGCCCAATGTTCTGTACAGGATTCAAAATTCTTACAAATTGAACCTATTCTTTCAGTAATAGATGGTATTTGAGAATTTTTTGGTAGCCAGTTGTTAAGGCTGTGTATGCTAAATAGAATAGTGTTTGTAATTGTGCACATCTTCAGTGTGCATAGAAATAGACATATTTATGTTGTTTTTTTAAAGGTGGCATCCTTATATGTGTAAACTCTTCACCAATATCTTCACACATGGAAAACTAATGCAATTTCTTGCTCTTTTATTATATGGTATAGCCACTGATTATAGTTCAGTCCATCTGCATTGATGTATGAATACTAGGGTTGGTGTTAATTTTGGGTGGATATTTGTAGCTCTGTCCCTTGAGTGCCTTAAAGAACTGTTCAAGGAATGTTAAATATAGGAATAGTCTGTGTTTCATGTTATTGTATTAAATTACTAGAGCTTTATTTAAGTGATTGTGGTATGTTTTGCCCTTTTAAAGGATGTTTCTTTTCTTTTTTTCACAGAAAATGTACAGACTTTCTTTTGAAGAATCTAGGAAAAAAGGATATGACCTTAGAGCTGATGCTATCCCTATTAAAGCTGCCAAAGCTTCTAGGGATATTGCTAGTGATGTAAGTTCTTGAAAGAAAACATGATCCATTTCAGATGTTGTAATGAATTCATTTCTTGACACAATTCAATTTTATATGCCAAATATATGAAATGTTTTTATTTTTTTGCTTGTAAATAGTTCTGAAATATACAATATACATTCTAATACATTTTCTAGAAGGGTTAAAGAACAATTTCTTAATTAGAAAGGTAAGGAGATGTATGAGGTATTTCCAGGGAAAAATAATAAGGCAGTTTATTCCTCAGTGTGATGGTTCTTGAATAGTTTATAAATGTATGTCTTGTAGTTTAGACAGAATGATCAAAGTTTGTTCTTAGAAATACTCAAAAAGAACAGATACAGACTAAAATTATGTTTACTGCTGTGGTACAGTTATCTTTATTCCTTTGGTGAAAGTCTCATAACATTTCTTGGTGCAGAGAATACCAGTTTCTGGAATCCTTTGTGTATTCCTTTGTGTATCCTTTGTGTATTACTTTGTGTATCCTTTGTGTATTCCTTTCTGTATCCTTTGTGTATTCCTTTGTGTATCAGTGATGAGGGACTTGCTGTGGCAGGACAAATCCAGCCTGAGAGGAGCGTGAAGACATTTTATTTAGCCCACCATTTTTTATTTTTTTTTTACAACCAAGCCAACACCTCTGTCTGCTTTGTGATGGTTTTTTAATAATGCAAAAATTAATCTAAGTTTGGGGGATTTTTCATCACATGGTAGATATTGTGTATTAAACAAGCGAAGTAGAATTAAAGTCTCTGTCTCTGTTCTCTTTACAGTACAAATACAAATTAGGTTATGAACAAGACAAGGGAAAACTTGTAGGCTTCCGCAGCCTTCAGGATGATCCCAAACTTGTCCATTACATGCAAGTAGCTAAGATGCAGTCGGATCGCGAGTACAAGAAAGGTTATGAGGCGAGCAAGACACATTACCATACGCCTTCTGATACGCTCAGCATTGTAGCAGCTAAGGAGGCACAAGATCGCATAACCAATACTAACTACAAACGACTGATTCACAAATATATGCTGCTACCAGATGCAATGAGTTTAGAACTGTACAGAAACATGAATCAGATACAAAGTGATGTAAGTTTCTCTTTTGTCTTTCTTTCGTTCATGGTTGTGACCTTTTTTCCGTGCTTTTTTCATTACGGCTGTGTTTTTAAAGCAACAGATTATTTTATATGAGCCATTTGTATATTGTAAACTTTCCTTTTATATTCTGTTTGGCAGAACGAGTACAAGCAGGAATATAATGAGTACTTCAAGGGTATTGGTTGGAGTCCTGCTGGCTCCCTCGATGTGGAGAAATCTAAGAAAGCCATGGAAATTGCAAGTGATCAGAAATACCGCCAGCATCCCAGCATGTTCCACTTTACAAAACAGAACGATTCCATGGACATGGTCCTTGCAAAGCAGAATGCAAATATAATGAACAAAGTGAGTATCTAAGGGGAAAATTAGGCAGACATTCACATCTAATCCATTTCAAGAAACAGTTGTCTCTGTTACAGCCTTTATGTAGCAGTGTTTCCCTGGGCTGGGAAAAGCAACTGCCACAGGTGCCCTTCTTTTTTTTTTTTTTGCTTTCCCTTGATAAATTACTCAGTTACTGATAGATAACATTGGTTAAATAAATCTTCCCTCATTTTTCTCATTGCTACCTCTCCAACCTCTGTTCTTCTCATTCCCGTATTACTGGCCCTGAAAATCTTGATAGCTGGACTTAATTAGAAGCAAGGCTGGATCCTAATCCAGGTGATCCTGGATTGGGTCATTATGCACTAAGATAAATCTGAGTCATTACCTTCATCTTTTTACCCATCCATATCCAAAGTGCACAGATGGAAAGGTGAAAACCCCAAAAGAGCCATGCTTTGTCATGTATTTTGACATACCTGATGTTACTTTTTTCAATAGCATGCTTATACTGAAGCGTGGGAGAAGGATAAAATTCAGGTTCATGTGATGCCAGATACGCCAGATATTCTACAGGCAAAACAGAACAAGGCGAACTACAGTCAGGTAGGGTTTTTTGATACTTCCTATTACATTTTTAATTAATATCTACTTTATTCAAATTTAAAGGTGTCTCCCATTTCAAAATAAATAATTAATTTGTGTTAAATTAGAAAAAATGGAGTGGATGATTTAGGACAGAGGCAAGAATTTTTACATGAGTAGTATTTTCAGAGTAGCAATAATACCATCTTCAGCCTAGCAAAGTAGCAGCCTAAATTACATTTTATTGTATGGAAAAGATAAATTCCTATTTTGAAATCTGGATATGAATGATCCATACTCTATGCTTGCCATAGAAATCAATTATGTTAAAAATTTCTTACTACAAAATGAGAATTTTGTTGTGTATATGTTTAACACCTTGGAAAAAGGAATACATGCAGTGATTCTAACTTTTCTGTCAGCTTTCAAATATAAGAAAGTAACAATTGTGCTGGTATAAAATACTTAGATTTTGCTTTGCATGATTGCGTAGAGGCAAAATTTTGACTTGCAACTGCTGGTACTTAAAAACAACCGCACACAAACTTATCTGACTATTAAATGGCTATATTACAGCCTTATTAGTTACAATTTTGTTCAGCCATCTGAAAAGTTTTCAGTTATCCTGGATGTATATATTTCAAATTCCCTGCATATGTTTCAAATCTTCTGGATAAGACATAGTAGGAAGCTGCTGTAGTAAAGAAAAAACTATTTAGTCACTAGCCTAAGACTTGGAAGACTTGCATTCCTTGCTTATTCTCAGTTTCTGTTCTGCAGCCTAAGAGGTGATCAGAATTCGGTATTATGGCTCATTAGCGGATCTAAATAGAAGGTGACTTACATATTAATGAGACTTTTAAATTAATACTGGTTTAAATTTTAGAAACTCTACAGGCTTGGCTGGGAGCAGATGATAAAGAAAGGCTATGACCTCACACCTGAAGCCATTTCAGTGAAAACTGCCAAAGCTTCAAGGGACATTGCAAGTGACGTAAGCAGTATTTCTAATTTAATATGACAGACACTTTATCTAGTTGCTATAACCTACAGAGTTGCACTAGATTGAGATACACCTCTTCGCTAAGGTGTGGCCTGGAGTAAAAAGCAAAATTGCTGGCAAAACTCTTTCCTGATCTGTTCTTGTCAGTGGAGAAAATTTAAGAAGGGTTGCTCTGGCATCTTGACAATACCAAAGATTGTGGTCTACCCATGGAGTGGCTAGTCATACAAGGTTAGCAGTTGTCTGCTCTTCTGGGTGTTGCATTCTGAAAGCAGCAGCAAATTTAGTCCAGTTAGCTGATCTCAGTGCCTATACTGAGAAATCCCTTTTAAAACTCTGAAATAGATGTGGTGACACACATTGCTGTTACATAACTTGGTATGAATATAAGTCCTGCATTTATGGAAGAGATTTTATATCAATCATTAGGAAATGTTTCCAGTGATTAAGCATCTGCAGTTTTCATTGCTGATTATTGTATTCATCAGAATAGTTCAATATGTTGGCCTTTGGGAGTTCTGAAGAGTATGACTGTATGAATTAAATGGCACAGGAGACCATTCTTGTAGCCATGCACTCTTCCTCTCCAGGGACTGTCTTCCTTCCAAGGGACAGTGTTCACTGACACCAAACGATCCACATTAATCAAGGGACTACTAAAAATTTACATGAGAAGCCATAACAGGTTGCTCATTTCATTGCTAATGAGAAACATTGAACTGAGATAATATATTTATGTTTTGCTTATATATTTTACCATTGTCTGTTTCTTACTGTAATTTCAGTAATGCAATCTTTGTCATTTTAGTACAAGTACAAAGAAGGTTACCGCAAGCAGCAGGGACATCACATTGGATTCCGCAGCTTACAGGATGATCCTAAGATGCTGTGGTCTATGCAAGTTGCGAAGATGCAGAGTGAGAGGGAATACAAGAAAGATTTTGAAAAGTGGAAGACAAAGTTTAATATGCCCGTGGATATGCTCGGCTTCCTTCTGGCTAAGAAATGTCAGGAATTGGTTAGTGATGTAGACTACAAAAGAGTGCTACACCGCTGGACTTGTCTGCCAGACCAGATTGATGTCGAGCAGGCAAAGAGGGTCTATGAACTACAGAGTGATGTAAGCTTCCTCAGAATTAAATTAATTTTTTTTATAGGAGATATACTACTTATTGAAAAATATTTTTAATAACTAGTTTGTGATGCCCATGTAGATCAGATTGCAGCTAAAATGCCGGTTTCACCGCTTGGAACGTTTTGCACAGTACAAACCACACTGCCACAGGGACCCCTACCACTAGATCAGGATGCTCAAAGCCCCATCCAACCTGACCTCAAACACTTCCAGGCACAGGTAATCCAGTACCTGTACCAGTGCCTCCCCACCCTCACAGGGAAGAATTTCTCCCTAATATGTAATCTGAATTTCTCCTCTCTCAGCTTAAAGACATTCTCCCTGTAAACTGTTGAAAAGAAATAAACAACTGGCTGTAGTTGTGTATGGCAGGGGGAAGGCAACAGAATCAAATATTTTCCTCTGAAGGGCCATCAGTGGTCAAAGGCATGCCAGGTGTGCAGAGGCAAATGGTACGAAGAGTGTTAGGTGATGAGGTGTAAGGCTTCCCTGATGGCTCTGCCAGCTGGAGATGGCCAAGTGTGGCAGTTGGTTCCCAGGGAGATGAGGAGGATGGAGGTGGAAGGTATGTGGATGGCTTGGCACTAGCTCCTGCTGCTGTCGGGGTGGGCAGGCAGGCTATGTGGATCTGAGCTTAATGGGAGTCCCTTTTCTGGTGGTAAGTGGTTTACCCGGGGAATGTGTTTTGGTCGGCAGAGCTTCCCTTGGCAGGAGGAATGGTTGCATGGCGTAAGGAGGATGCTGAGCAGCTTTGTGTCCTTGCCTGTCCTTTCAGAATGTATACAAGTCTGACCTTACATGGCTGAGGGGCATTGGCTGGTCCCCGATTGGTTCGCTGGACAACGAGAAGAATAAGAGGGCGAGCCTCATCCTGAGTGACAAGAAGTATCGGCAACACCCGGACACCATCAAATTCACGAGTCTTCCCGACTCAATGCCCATGGTTCTGGCAAAGCACAACTCTGAAATCATGAACCAGGTGAGCTTTGCTTGTGTTTTGAACCTGAGGGGAGTAGGTGCATGGCCCAAGATGCTGTGTTCTCTCCTTCCGAGGCCTGGGTTTCTTAATGGGGATATTGCCTCTTCTTGCATGGGGTCTTTGTTTTTGTTGTTTGTGATCAAATTCTCTTATGTGTTAATGGGCGCAGGGTAAAAAAGAAAAAGGGTGTATTTTTAGAATGTTTTGGGTCAAGAAGAGGTGTTCCTGAGGCACTGCAAAGTGGAGTCCTCCTGGCTTCAGTTCCTTGATCCAGTTTGCTGTTTGAGTTTGTTGCTCTGTGCTAGCTTGGCCTTCTTTCACGTTGGACTTGTTCTTTTCAGCGTGCGTACACGTCAGCCTGGGAGAAAGATAAAACCAGCATTCACATTATGCCGGATACACCTGGTATTTTGCTGGCCCAGCAGAACAAAGTGAACTACAGTGAGGTAGGTGGCTGAGCTGGGGTTAAGCGTCCATCCCTGGACGCTGCTGTGGCCTGGGAAGCAGTGTTGTTTGAGGGGAGTGGTTGTTTCTGTTCCAGAAACTGTACCGACTTGCGATGGAGGAAGATAAGAAAAAGGGCTATGACATGCGAGCAGATGCCATTCCCATCACATCTGCTAAAGCTTCCAGAGACATTGCAAGTGATGTAAGTACAGGGGAGCCCCTGTCGGCCCCCCCTTTCAAAGAGTTTCTGGGTGCTTGTAATTGAATGCAGGGCTTCTGACCTGAGCCAAATGGAGCCAAAACAGCTCTTACATGTCATAACCAGGCAGCCAGTCCATAAGTATTTTGATTCTGGAGGGTCTGCATGTAGCTGGCCCTGCATGCTGTTGGTGTGCAGTGTTGTTAGGGAATTTGCAGATGGTGTGGGGAGAGTATGTGTGCGATCTGTGCGATGGACGTAATCCAAAGCAATGCCCCTGCGGGGCTTGTGGCAGCATCACCTTGAGCATTCGGGCTGGACTTGTGACATGTGTTTCTGCCGCCAGTATGGCGGGTCTGTATGCCCTGACATTACAGCAATGCAGTTGAGATGGACAACTGGATCGAAAAATCAAGCCAGATTTTGTGTAATGACTGGGCAGTTATCTTTTCTGTCCAGGGGTGGGTGGAGTCACTGGAGGCCAGTCATTGCAGTGCCAGAGAGTATCTTTTCAGGTCTCAGCTCTGCAAGATCCGAATTTAATCTCTCATGTGATATTCAGTAGTTAAAGGCTCCTTTGTTGACTGGAAGGAAATGAGTTTGATCTCTTCGGAGTCTTACGTGAGGTTTCACTGAGAGGCAAGGGAAAGAGTGCTTTGTCACTTGTTACTTTCTTGTCACTTCCCACTCAGTGGCTGTAAACCTGCACCTCAGTGCACACACTGGGCTGGGAGGATAAGACTCCTGAGCACTGGGCAGGAGAGCCTGGAGCAGTGCAGTATGCCAGCTGCTATGGGCTGTTATGGGTGAGTACCGGTAGGACTGTGCAGATGGAAGCCCAGGTTGCCTGCTGGAGCAGTCTAGTGGTTTTCCCTGACTTTTCCATCCCAGCTGCTGAGCAGGCCTCTCAGTGGCCTGACTGGGGATGTTTTAGGTTGTGTGCAGAGCCTGTCTTTTGGTATGCAGACCTCCTGGTTCCTGAGCTAGCTGTGTTGCAGTTCTTGTCTGGGCTCCATGCACCTCCTGTGTCCCAGTGTAGACATGGCACGGGATGGAAGTGTGTAGGACACAGTCAGGCTATGAGGCACTTAGTCGCCTCTTCAGGTGGTGATCTTGCCAGACACCATTAGAAAAGTGCATGCTCAGAGATGCTGCTACAGACCAGTGTCACAAGGGAGAAGAGCTGTCCTAAAACTGACTTGAGCTTCTTCAATCCTGCAGTACAAGTACAAGGAAGGCTATCGCAAGCAGCTTGGCCACCATATTGGAGCCCGTAACATAGAGGACGATCCAAAGATGATGTGGTCGATGCACGTAGCCAAGATCCAGAGCGACAGGGAGTACAAGAAAGCCTTTGAGAAGACAAAGACACACTTCAGTAGCCCAGTGGATATGCTGGGAATCGTGTTGGCCAAGAAATGTCAGGAGCTGGTCAGTGATGTTGATTACAAGCACCCTCTGCATCGGTGGACCTGTCTGCCGGACCAGAATGACGTTGTGCAAGCCAGGAAAGTGTACGACCTCCAGAGTGATGTAAGTTGTTCCTCGCTGTCCATGTGAAAACCAGGAAACAACGTTGGTCAGTAGTATTCCTTTCTTGGAGCAAGTCCAGATGGGGAGCATAAGTGTATGCTTCTTCTGTGGGACTGAGACTGTGTGGTGTAGGTAAATTCTTGCTGAATCCTAGAATGGTTTGGGGTTGGAAGGGACCTCAATGATCTCCACTTCCCATGACTTCTACAGTACGAACCAGTCTTCCACTAGACCCGGTTGCTTAAAGCCCTGAATACTTGCAGGCACTGGGCATCCAGATGTTCTCCTGGCACCCTGTGGCAGTGCTCACCACCCTCACAAGGAAGAACTTCTTCCTAATACCTAATCTTAGTCTCTCCTCTGACAGTTTAGTGCCATTCCCCCTGTATTTCTATTGAAAAGAAACGTACAGTTTCAGCCTTTCTCTTCCGGGTCTCATTAGTTTCTGATTTGACAGTTCAGGAGAGGTCGCAGCAGTCGAGCTTTATTTTTGCTGAGATTTGTCAGGAATGGCCAGTGCTGGTGTTAGTGTGTGGTCATACGTGATGGTCACAGAAGAGCCCTGTCTTGCCTTGAGCATTCTGGGGAAGGGTTGTTGCAGGTGTCTGTAGGTGTGTATGGCAGGGGGAGGGCAACAGAGTCAAATGTTTTCCTCTGCAGGACTGTCAGTGGTCAAAGGCATGCCAGGTGTGCAGAGGCAAATGGTACGAAGAGTGTTAGGTGATGAGGTGTAAGGCTTCTCTGATGGCTCTGCCAGCTGGAGATGGCCAAGTGTGGCAGTTGGTTCCCAGGGAGATGAGGAAGATGGAGGAGGAAGGTATGCGGATGGCTTGGCACTAGCTCTTGCTGCTGTAGGTGTGAGAAGGCAGGCTGTGTGGATCTGAGCTTAATGGGAGTCCCTTTTCTGGTGGTAAGTGGTTTCCCCGGGGAATGTGTTTTGGTTGGCAGAGCTTCCCTTGGCAGGAGGAGTGGTTGCATGGTGTGAGGAGGATGCTGAGCAGCTTTGTTGTCCTTGCCTGTCCTTTCAGAATGTGTACAAGTCTGACCTTACATGGCTGAGGGGCATTGGCTGGTCCCCGATTGGTTCGCTGGACGACGAGAAGAATAAGAGGGCGAGCCTCATCCTGAGTGACAAGAAGTATCGGCAACACCCAGACACCATCAAATTCACGAGTCTTCCCGACTCAATGCCCATGGTTCTGGCAAAGCACAACTCTGAAATCATGAACCAGGTGAGCTTTGCTTGTGTTTTGAACCTGAGGGGAGTAGGTGCATGGCCCAAGATGCTGTGTTCTCTCCTTCCGAGGCCCGGGTTTCTTAATTGGGGTATTTCCTCCTCTTGCATGGGGTCTTTGTTTTTGTTGTTTGTGATCAAATTCTCTTATGTGTTAATGGGCGCAGGGTAAAAAAGAAAAAGGGTGTATTTTTAGAATGTTTTGGGACGAGAAGAGGTGTTCCTGAGGCATTGCAAAGTGGTGTCCTCCTGGCTTCAGTTCCTTGATCCAGTTTGCTGTTTGAGTTTGTTGCTCTGTGCTAGCTTGGCCTTCTTTCACGTTGGACTTGTTCTTTTCAGCGTGCGTACACGTCAGCCTGGGAGAAAGATAAAACCAGCATTCACATTATGCCGGATACACCTGGTATTTTGCTGGCCCAGCAGAACAAAGTGAACTACAGTGAGGTAGGTGGCTGAGCTGGGGTTAAGCGTCCATCCCTGGACGCTGCTGTGGCCTGGGAAGCAGTGTTGTTTGAGGGGAGTGGTTGTTTCTGTTCCAGAAACTGTACCGACTTGCGATGGAGGAAGATAAGAAAAAGGGCTATGACATGCGAGCAGATGCCATTCCTATCACATCTGCTAAAGCTTCCAGAGACATTGCAAGTGATGTAAGTACAATGGAGCCCTTCTTGGAACACCTTTCTCAGTCTTTCTTTACATTTCATGAAAAGGCTTGGGAAAAAAATCTTAGAATCCTAGGGTGGTTTGTGTTGGAACAACCTTAAAAATCATGTTGTTGCTACCCCCCTGCCACAGGCAGGAATACCTCCCTCATTAGACCAGGCTACTCCAAGTCCTGTCCCAGCTGGCCTTTGACATTTCCAGGTATGGGGCAGCCTCAGCTTCTCTGTGTAACCTTTTGTAGTGCCTCACTGCTATCATTCCGAAGACATTCTTCCTACTGTCTAATCTGAGTCTATCCTCTTTCTATTTAAAACCATTTTCCTCTGACCTGTTACTATATTCCCTGATAAAGAGTCCCTCCCTATCTTTCCTGTAGTCCCTCTTTAGGTATTGGAAAGCTTTTATAAGGTGTTCCTAGAGTCTTTTCTTCCCCAGGCTGCAGAACTCCATGTCTCTCTACTAGTCTCCATTGGAGAGGTGCTCTGGCTCTTAGAGCATCTTTTTTTTTGGCTTCCTGTGGACTTGCTCCAACAGGTCCATGTCTTTCTTACACTTTGTGCCCCAGAGCTGATCTCAGTGTTCCAAGTGGGGTGTCATGAGGGTAGAGCAGATAGTATCTCCTCCCTTGACCTGCTGGCCAAACTTCTTTTGATGCAGCCCAGGATATGATTGGCTTTCTGTGCTAATCAGTTTTTAATCCACCAATACCCCCAAGTCCTTGTCCACAGGCTGTTTTCAGTCAATTTATATGTCTGTGACTGTGTCTGGGAGTGCCTTGACCCACATACAGGCCTTTGCACTTGCCTTGTTGAAACTCATGAGGTTCACCCAGTTTCACCTCTCATACGTGTCAAGGTCCTGCTGGATGGCATCTCTTCCCTCTGATATATCAATCACACTACTCAGCCTGGTGACATCCACAAGCTTGCTGAGGGTGCACTCAGTCCCACTGTCCATGTTCCCAGCAATGCCATTATATAATACTGGTCCAAGTACAGACCTCTGAGGGACACAACTCATCACTGGTTTCTACCCAGACATCAAGTTATTGACCACAACTCTTTGAGTGTGACCATCTAGCCAATTCATTGTCTGCTGAGTGATCCACCCATCAAGTATATTTGTCTCCATTATATAAATGAAAATGTTGCATGGAACAGTATCAAATGCTTCACACAAGTCCAGGTAGATGTTGTCAATCCCTCTTCCTTTATGCACCAATGTTGTAGCCCCATGGTAGAAGGCCACCACGTTTGTCAGTCATGATTTGCCCATAGTGAAGCCATGTTTGGTGTCACCAGTCAGTTCTGTTTAATGTGTGCCTTAGCGTAGGTTCCTGGAGGATCCTCTCCATGATCTTGCCAGGCACCAAGGTGAGACTAACCAGCCTGCAGGTCCCCAGGCCTTTCTTTTTTGCCTTTTTACATAGGCTATGTTTCCCCTTTTCCAGTCAGTGGGAATTTCACCAGATTGCCATGACATCTCAAATAGGATAGATAATGGCTTGGCCACTTTACCTGCCAGTTACCTCAGAACCCACAGATGCATCTCATCGGGTCCCATGGAGTTGTGCACCTTCAGGTTCCTTAGATGATCTTGAACCTGATCTTCTCAGGTCGTGGGCAGTACTTTGTTCTCCCAGTCCCTGCTTTTGCCTTGTGTGACTTTGGTGGTGTGGCTGGAGCACTTGCTGGTGAAGACGGAGGAAAAATTTTGTTGAGTACCTCAGCTTTCTCCATGTCAGTTGTAGCCATGTCTCCCATTTCATTCATCGCAGGGGTACAGTTTCTTTCATCTTCCTTTGTTGTCCTATCTACCCAAAGAAACCTTCCTTGTTGTTTTTTACATCCCTAGCCAAGTTCAGCTCCAACTGTGCTTTAGCTTTCCTGATCCACTCGATGATCTCCTTGACCATATCTCTATAATTTCTTCAGGATGTGTGTCCCATTGCCTATGGATTTTGGTTTTGGTTTGGTTTTGCCTCTATTGCCTATGCATTTGAGTTTGGCTAATAGGTCTTCACTTAGTCAAGCTGGTGTCCTACCTCTCCTGCCTGACTTCCTAAATACTGGGATGGAGAACTCTTGTGCCCTGAGAATGTCTTTAAGTAGAATCATAGAATCATAGAATAGTTAGGGTTGGAAAGTACCTTAAGATCATCTAGTTCCAACCCCCCTGCCATGGGCAGGGACACCTCACACTCCAGCTCTCGTTTATTCCTGTATTTCTGAGGAGACTATCCCCAGGTATCCCACTCACTAGCACCCTAACCAACTGAAAGTTTGCCTTTCTGAGGTTTAGGGTACTGACTGTACTTTTTACTTGTCCTGTATCCTTGTTATTGAGAAATCTACCAGAGCGCAATTGCAACAGCCGAGGCTCTCTCCAATAATGACCTCTTCAGTAAATTCTTTCACATGAGTGAGCAACAGCTCCAGCAATGCTTCTCTGCTGGTCAGGACTCAATCACCTATGTTAGGAAGCTCTTACAATGCACTCCAGAAGTCTCCTGGACTGCTTGCTGTTTGCTGTATGGTTTTTCCAACACATGTCCACATGGTGAAAATCCCCTGTCAGGACGAGGGACTCGAAGTGTAATGCTCCCTCCAGGTGAACAAAGAACTATTCCTCAGCGTCTTGCTCCTAATTGGGTTGACTTTAGTAGACAGCAGCCACAAAGATTCGTTTCTTTGCTTCATCTCTAATTTTCATCTAAAAGTTCTCAATATGTACATTTTTGAAAAAGTATTGTGTTGCCCCTTGCCGTTTCTCACTCAGTGGCTGTAAACCTGCACCTCAGTGCACACACTGGGCTGGGAGGATTCGAGTCTTGAGCACTGGGCAGGAGAGCCTGGAGCAGTGCAGTATGCCAGCTGCTATGGGCTGTTCTGGGTGAGTACCGGTAGGACTGTGCAGATGGAAGCCCAGGTTGCCTGCTGGAGCAGTCTAGTGGTTTTCCCTGACTTTTCCATCCCAGCTGCTGAGCAGGCCTCTCAGTGGCCTGACTGGGGATGTTTTAGGTTGTGTGCAGAGCCTGTCTTTTGGTATGCAGACCTCCTGGTTCCTGAGCTAGCTGTGTTACAGTTCTTGTCTGGGCTCCATGCACCTCCTGTGTCCCAGTGTAGACATGGCACGGGATGGAAGTTTGTAGGACACAGTCAGGCTATGAGGCACTTAGTCGCCTCTTCAGGTGGTGATCTTGCCAGACACCATTAGAAAAGTGCATGCTCAGAGATGCTGCTACAGACCAGTGTCAGAAGGGAGAAGAGCTGTCCTAAAACTGACTTGAGCTTCTTCAATCCTGCAGTACAAGTACAAGGAAGGCTATCGCAAGCAGCTTGGCCACCATATTGGAGCCCGTAACATAGAGGACGATCCAAAGATGATGTGGTCGATGCACGTAGCCAAGATCCAGAGCGACAGGGAGTACAAGAAAGCCTTTGAGAAGACAAAGACACACTTCAGTAGCCCAGTGGATATGCTGGGAATCGTGTTGGCCAAGAAATGTCAGGAGCTGGTCAGTGATGTTGATTACAAGCACCCTCTGCATCGGTGGACCTGTCTGCCGGACCAGAATGACGTTGTGCAAGCCAGGAAAGTGTACGACCTCCAGAGTGATGTAAGTTGTTCCTCGCTGTCCATGTGAAAACCAGGAAACAACGTTGGTCAGTAGTATTCCTTTCTTGGAGCAAGTCCAGATGGGGAGCATAAGTGTATGCTTCTTCTGTGGGACTGAGACTGTGTGGTGTAGGTAAATTCTTGCTGAATCCTAGAATGGTTTGGGGTTGGAAGGGACCTCAATGATCTCCACTTCCCATGACTTCTACAGTACGAACCAGTCTTCCACTAGACCCGGTTGCTTAAAGCCCTGAATACTTGCAGGCACTGGGCACCCAGATGTTCTCCTGGCACCCTGTGGCAGTGCTCACCACCCTCACAAGGAAGAACTTCTTCCTAATACCTAATCTTAGTCTCTCCTCTGACGGTTTAGTGCCATTCCCCCTGTATTTCTATTGAAAAGAAACGTACAGTTTCAGCCTTTCTCTTCCGGGTCTCATTAGTTTCTGATTTGACAGTTCAGGAGAGGTCGCAGCAGTCGAGCTTTATTTTTGCTGAGATTTGTCAGGAATGGCCAGTGCTGGTGTTAGTGTGTGGTCATACGTGATGGTCACAGAAGAGCCCTGTCTTGCCTTGAGCATTCTGGGGAAGGGTTGTTGCAGGTGTCTGTAGTTGTGTATGGCAGGGGGAGGGCAACAGAGTCAAATGTTTTCCTCTGCAGGACTGTCAGTGGTCAAAGGCATGCCAGGTGTGCAGAGGCAAATGGTACGAAGAGTGTTAGGTGATGAGGTGTAAGGCTTCTCTGATGGCTCTGCCAGCTGGAGATGGCCAAGTGTGGCAGTTGGTTCCCAGGGAGATGAGGAAGATGGAGGTGGAAGGTATGTGGATGGCTTGGCACTAGCTCTTGCTGCTGTAGGTGTGGGAAGGCAGGCTGTGTGGATCTGAGCTTAATGGGAGTCCCTTTTCTGGTGGTAAGTGGTTTACCCGGGGAATGTGTTTTGGTTGGCAGAGCTTCCCTTGGCAGGAGGAGTGGTTGCATGGCGTGAGGAGGACGCTGAGCAGCTTTGTTGTCCTTGCCTGTCCTTTCAGAATGTGTACAAGTCTGACCTTACATGGCTGAGGGGCATTGGCTGGTCCCCGATTGGTTCGCTGGACGACGAGAAGAATAAGAGGGCGAGCCTCATCCTGAGTGACAAGAAGTATCGGCAACACCCGGACACCATCAAATTCACGAGTCTTCCCGACTCAATGCCCATGGTTCTGGCAAAGCACAACTCTGAAATCATGAACCAGGTGAGCTTTGTTTGTGTTTTCAACCTGAGGGGAGTAGGTGCATGGCCCAAGATGCTGTGTTCTCTCCTTCTGAGGCCTGGGTTTCTTAATGGGGATATTGCCTCTTCTTGCATGGGGTCTTTGTTTTTGTTGTTTGTGATCAATTCTCTTACGTGTTAATGGGCGCAGGGTAAAAAAGAAAAAGGGTGTATTTTTAGAATGTTTTGGGACAAGAAGAGGTGTTCCTGAGGCATTGCAAAGTGGAGTCCTCCTGGCTTCAATTCCTTGATCCAGTTTGCTGTTTGAGTTTGTTGCTCTGTGCTAGCTTGGCCTTCTTTCACGTTGGACTTGTTCTTTTCAGCGTGCGTACACGTCAGCCTGGGAGAAAGATAAAACCAGCATTCACATTATGCCGGATACACCTGGTATTTTGCTGGCCCAGCAGAACAAAGTGAACTACAGTGAGGTAGGTGGCTGAGCTGGGGTTAAGCGTCCATCCCTGGACGCTGCTGTGGCCTGGGAAGCAGTGTTGTTTGAGGGGAGTGGTTGTTTCTGTTCCAGAAACTGTACCGACTTGCGATGGAGGAAGATAAGAAAAAGGGCTATGACATGCGAGCAGATGCCATTCCCATCACATCTGCTAAAGCTTCCAGAGACATTGCAAGTGATGTAAGTACAGGGGAGCCCCTGTCGGCCCCCCCTTTCAAAGAGTTTCTGGGTGCTTGTAATTGAATGCAGGGCTTCTGACCTGAGCCAAATGGAGCCAAAACAGCTCTTACATGTCATAACCAGGCAGCCAGTCCATAAGTATTTTGATTCTGGAGGGTCTGCATGTAGCTGGCCCTGCATGCTGTCGGTGTGCAGTGTTGTTAGGGAATTTGCAGATGGTGTGGGGAGAGTATGTGTGCGATCTGTGCGATGGACGTAATCCAAAGCAATGCCCCTGCGGGGCTTGTGGCAGCATCACCTTGAGCATTCGGGCTGGACTTGTGACATGTGTTTCTGCCGCCAGTATGGCGGGTCTGTATGCCCTGACATTACAGCAATGCAGTTGAGATGGACAACTGGATCGAAAAATCAAGCCAGATTTTGTGTAATGACTGGGCAGTTATCTTTTCTGTCCAGGGGTGGGTGGAGTCACTGGAGGCCAGTCATTGCAGTGCCAGAGAGTATCTTTTCAGGTCTCAGCTCTGCAAGATCCGAATTTAATCTCTCATGTGATATTCAGTAGTTAAAGGCTCCTTTGTTGACTGGAAGGAAATGAGTTTGATCTCTTCGGAGTCTTACGTGAGGTTTCACTGAGAGGCAAGGGAAAGAGTGCTTTGTCACTTGTTACTTTCTTGTCACTTCCCACTCAGTGGCTGTAAACCTGCACCTCAGTGCACACACTGGGCTGGGAGGATAAGACTCCTGAGCACTGGGCAGGAGAGCCTGGAGCAGTGCAGTATGCCAGCTGCTATGGGCTGTTATGGGTGAGTACCGGTAGGACTGTGCAGATGGAAGCCCAGGTTGCCTGCTGGAGCAGTCTAGTGGTTTTCCCTGACTTTTCCATCCCAGCTGCTGAGCAGGCCTCTCAGTGGCCTGACTGGGGATGTTTTAGGTTGTGTGCAGAGCCTGTCTTTTGGTATGCAGACCTCCTGGTTCCTGAGCTAGCTGTGTTGCAGTTCTTGTCTGGGCTCCATGCACCTCCTGTGTCCCAGTGTAGACATGGCACGGGATGGAAGTGTGTAGGACACAGTCAGGCTATGAGGCACTTAGTCGCCTCTTCAGGTGGTGATCTTGCCAGACACCATTAGAAAAGTGCATGCTCAGAGATGCTGCTACAGACCAGTGTCAGAAGGGAGAAGAGCTGTCCTAAAACTGACTTGAGCTTCTTCAATCCTGCAGTACAAGTACAAGGAAGGCTATCGCAAGCAGCTTGGCCACCATATTGGAGCCCGTAACATAGAGGACGATCCAAAGATGATGTGGTCGATGCACGTAGCCAAGATCCAGAGCGACAGGGAGTACAAGAAAGCCTTTGAGAAGACAAAGACACACTTCAGTAGCCCAGTGGATATGCTGGGAATCGTGTTGGCCAAGAAATGTCAGGAGCTGGTCAGTGATGTTGATTACAAGCACCCTCTGCATCGGTGGACCTGTCTGCCGGACCAGAATGACGTTGTGCAAGCCAGGAAAGTGTACGACCTCCAGAGTGATGTAAGTTGTTCCTCGCTGTCCATGTGAAAACCAGGAAACAACGTTGGTCAGTAGTATTCCTTTCTTGGAGCAAGTCCAGATGGGGAGCATAAGTGTATGCTTCTTCTGTGGGACTGAGACTGTATGGTGTAGGTAAATTCTTGCTGAATCCTAGAATGGTTTGGGGTTGGAAGGGACCTCAATGATCTCCACTTCCCACGACTTCTACAGCATGAACCGGTCTTCCACTAGACCCGGTTGCTTAAAGCCCTGAATACTTGCAGGCATTGGGCACCCAGATGTTCTCCTGGCACCCTGTGGCAGTGCTCACCACCCTCACAAGGAAGAACTTCTTCCTAATACCTAATCTTAGTCTCTCCTCTGACAGTTTAGTGCCATTCCCCCTGTATTTCTATTGAAAAGAAACGTACAGTTTCAGCCTTTCTCTTCCGGGTCTCATTAGTTTCTGATTTGACAGTTCAGGAGAGGTCGCAGCAGTCGAGCTTTATTTTTGCTGAGATTTGTCAGGAATGGCCAGTGCTGGTGTTAGTGTGTGGTCATACGTGATGGTCACAGAAGAGCCCTGTCTTGCCTTGAGCATTCTGGGGAAGGGTTGTTGCAGGTGTCTGTAGTTGTGTATGGCAGGGGGAGGGCAACAGAGTCAAATGTTTTCCTCTGCAGGACTGTCAGTGGTCAAAGGCATGCCAGGTGTGCAGAGGCAAATGGTACGAAGAGTGTTAGGTGATGAGGTGTAAGGCTTCTCTGATGGCTCTGCCAGCTGGAGATGGCCAAGTGTGGCAGTTGGTTCCCAGGGAGATGAGGAGGATGGAGGTGGAAGGTATGCGGATGGCTTGGCACTAGCTCTTGCTGCTGTAGGTGTGGGCAGGCAGGCTATGTGGATCTGAGCTTAATGGGAGTCCCTTTTTCTGGTGGCAAGTGGTTTACCCGGGGAATGTGTTTTGGTTGGCAGAGCTTCCCTTGGCAGGAGGAGTGGTTGCATGGTGTGAGGAGGATGCTGAGCAGCTTTGTTGTCCTTGCCTGTCCTTTCAGAATGTGTACAAGTCTGACCTTACATGGCTGAGGGGCATTGGCTGGTCCCCGATTGGTTCGCTGGACGACGAGAAGAATAAGAGGGCGAGCCTCATCCTGAGTGACAAGAAGTATCGGCAACACCCAGACACCATCAAGTTCACGAGTCTTCCCGACTCAATGCCCATGGTTCTGGCAAAGCACAACTCTGAAATCATGAACCAGGTGAGCTTTGCTTGTGTTTTGAACCTGAGGGGAGTAGGTGCATGGCCCAAGATGCTGTGTTCTCTCCTTCCGAGGCCTGGGTTTCTTAATGGGGATATTGCCTCTTCTTGCATGGGGTCTTTGTTTTTGTTGTTTGTGATCAAATTCTCTTATGTGTTAATGGGCGCAGGGTAAAAAAGAAAAAGGGTGTATTTTTAGAATGTTTTGGGTCAAGAAGAGGTGTTCCTGAGGCACTGCAAAGTGGAGTCCTCCTGGCTTCAGTTCCTTGATCCAGTTTGCTGTTTGAGTTTGTTGCTCTGTGCTAGCTTGGCCTTCTTTCACGTTGGACTTGTTCTTTTCAGCGTGCGTACACGTCAGCCTGGGAGAAAGATAAAACCAGCATTCACATTATGCCGGATACACCTGGTATTTTGCTGGCCCAGCAGAACAAAGTGAACTACAGTGAGGTAGGTGGCTGAGCTGGGGTTAAGCGTCCATCCCTGGACGCTGCTGTGGCCTGGGAAGCAGTGTTGTTTGAGGGGAGTGGTTGTTTCTGTTCCAGAAACTGTACCGACTTGCGATGGAGGAAGATAAGAAAAAGGGCTATGACATGCGAGCAGATGCCATTCCCATCACATCTGCTAAAGCTTCCAGAGACATTGCAAGTGATGTAAGTACAGGGGAGCCCCTGTCGGCCCCCCCTTTCAGAGAGTTTCCGGGTGCATGTAATTGAATGCAGGGCTTCTAACCTGAGCCACATGGATCCAACTTACGTGTCATAACCAGTCAGCCAGTCCATAAGTATTTTGATTCTGGAGGGTCTGCATGTAGCTGGCCCTGCATGCTGTCAGTGTGCAGTGTTGTTAGGGAATTTGCAGATGGTGGGGAGAGTATGTGTGCGATCTGTGCAATGGACGTAATCCAAAGCAATGCCCCTGCGGGGCTTGTGGCAGCATCACCTTGAGCATTCAGGGTGGATTTGTGAGGAGGAGTCCGGCCCTCACTGTGAGCACCCTGCATGCCCCTGGTAGTAGACACAGCTGAACTGCACAATGGTAGCAAAAAACCCCAACCTATTTTTAGTGTAGAAAATAAAGGCAGGGTAAAATAAAATATTTTTTCTGTTATTTTTATTTATTAATATAAATATTTATTTAATTTAACTACTGTCTACACTTAATCTTCCTATTCTGTCTTTATGTTCCTCATTTTTTATCTCCTAAATAGATATAATTGTAGTTTATTTGGGTGCTATCTTGGGGGTTACTAATTGATATTTCCTTTTAGTTTACTCATTGAGATTTGTGGCTCTTGTATTGCTGCCATTATGTTAAGACCTTTTTTACTCCCTGATCCTGAGTAGTATCTCCTAATTTACAGGCATGGAATGTCTGGAAAATGTGGAAGGCATATGAGGCAGATAATGTTATAAGAATCCTTTTGCAGCTGTACTCTGCAGTCCATCATCTTAAAACTTTCTTGCTTTTCACTGTCTCTGGTGTCAGATGCTAACTTGTAGAGAGTTTGAGGTTTAGGGGCTGCTATGGAGAGAAAGAAAACTTATCTAAAAGTCATTGAACTCCTTTTTGCTATAGTACAAGTACAAGGAAGGCTATCGGAAGCAGCTTGGCCACCATATTGGAGCCCGTAACATAGAGGATGATCCAAAGATGATGTGGTCGATGCACGTAGCCAAGATCCAGAGCGACAGGGAGTACAAGAAAGCCTTTGAGAAGACAAAGACACACTTCAGTAGCCCAGTGGATATGCTGGGAATCGTGTTGGCCAAGAAATGTCAGGAGCTGGTCAGTGATGTTGATTACAAGCACCCTCTGCATCGGTGGACCTGTCTGCCGGACCAGAATGACGTTGTGCAAGCCAGGAAAGTGTACGACCTCCAGAGTGATGTAAGTTGTTCCTTGCTGTCCATGTGAAAACCAGGAAACAACTTTGGTCAGTAGTATTCCTTTCTTGGAGCAAGTCCAGATGGGGAGCATAAGTGTATGCTTCTTCTGTGGGGCTGAGACTGTGTGGTGTAGGTAAATTCTTGCTGAATCCTAGAATGGTTTGGGGTTGGAAGGGACCTCAATGATCTCCACTTCCCACGACTTCTACAGTACGAACCAGTCTTCCACTAGACCTGGTTGCTTAAAGCCCTGAATACTTGCAGGCACTGGGCATCCAGATGTTCTCCTGGCACCCTGTGGCAGTGCTCACCACCCTCACAAGGAAGAACTTCTTCCTAATACCTAATCTTAGTCTCTCCTCTGACAGTTTAGTGCCATTCCCCCTGTATTTCTATTGAAAAGAAACGTACAGTTTCAGCCTTTCTCTTCCGGGTCTCATTAGTTTCTGATTTGACAGTTCAGGAGAGGTCGCAGCAGTCGAGCTTTATTTTTGCTGAGATTTGTCAGGAATGGCCAGTGCTGGTGTTAGTGTGTGGTCATACGTGATGGTCACAGAAGAGCCCTGTCTTGCCTTGAGCATTCTGGGGAAGGGTTGTTGCAGGTGTCTGTAGTTGTGTATGGCAGGGGGAGGGCAACAGAGTCAAATGTTTTCCTCTGCAGGACTGTCAGTGGTCAAAGGCATGCCAGGTGTGCAGAGGCAAATGGTACGAAGAGTGTTAGGTGATGAGGTGTAAGGCTTCTCTGATGGCTCTGCCAGCTGGAGATGGCCAAGTGTGGCAGTTGGTTCCCAGGGAGATGAGGAGGATGGAGGTGGAAGGTATGTGGATGGCTTGGCACTAGCTCTTGCTGCTGTAGGTGTGGGCAGGCAGGCTATGTGGATCTGAGCTTAATGGGAGTCCCTTTTCTGGTGGTAAGTGGTTTACCCGGGGAATGTGTTTTCGTCGGCAGAGCTTCCCTTGGCAGAAGGAGTGGTTGCATGGCGTGAGGAGGATGCTGAGCAGCTTTGTGTCCTTGCCTGTCCTTTCAGAATGTGTACAAGTCTGACCTTACATGGCTGAGGGGCATTGGCTGGTCCCCGATTGGTTCGCTGGACGACGAGAAGAATAAGAGGGCGAGCCTCATCCTGAGTGACAAGAAGTATCGGCAACACCCGGACACCATCAAATTCACGAGTCTTCCCGACTCAATGCCCATGGTTCTGGCAAAGCACAACTCTGAAATCATGAACCAGGTGAGCTTTGCTTGTGTTTTTATCCTGAGGAGAATAGGTGCATGGCCCAAGATGCTGTGTTCTCTCCTTCCGAGGCCTGGGTGTCTTAATGGGGATATTGCCTCCTCTTGCATGGGGTCTTTGTTTTTGTTGTTTGTGATCAAATTCTCTTACGTGTTATTGGGCGCAGGGTAAAAAAGAAAATGGTGTAGTTTTAGGAGGTTTTGGGTCAAGAAGAGGTGTTCCTGAGGTATTGCAAAGTGGAGTCCCCTGTCTTCAGTTCCTGGATCTACTTTGCTGTTTGAGTTTGTTGCCATGTGCTAGCTTGGCCTTCTTTCACGTTGGACTTGTTCTTTTCAGCGTGCGTACACGTCAGCCTGGGAGAAAGATAAAACCAGCATTCACATTATGCCGGATACACCTGATATTTTGCTGGCCCAGCAGAACAAAGTGAACTACAGTGAGGTAGGTGGCTGAGCTGGGGTTAAGCATCCATCCCTGGACACAGCTGTGGCCTGGAAAGCAGTGTTGTTTGAGGGGAGTGGTTGTTTCTGTTCCAGAAACTGTACCGACTTGCGATGGAGGAAGATAAGAAAAAGGGCTATGACATGCGAGCAGATGCCATTCCTATCACATCTGCTAAAGCTTCCAGAGACATTGCAAGTGATGTAAGTACAGCGGAGCCTTTATCGGCCCACCTTTTGCCGAGTTTCTGGGTGCTCGTAATTGAATGCAGGGCTTCTAACCTCTGTCATGAAATGAAAACTAATCTAAATCTCTCTGAACACTTTTTTGTCTGTAGTACAAGTACAAGGAAGGCTATCGCAAGCAGCTTGGCCACCATATTGGAGCCCGTAACATTGAGGATGATCCAAAGATGATGTGGTCGATGCACGTAGCCAAGATCCAGAGTGACAGGGAGTACAAGAAAGCCTTTGAGAAGACAAAGACACACTTCAGTAGCCCAGTGGACATGCTGGGAATCGTGTTGGCCAAGAAATGTCAGGGGCTGGTCAGCGACATTGATTACCGCCACTATCTGCATCAGTGGATCTGTCTACCAGACCAGAATGATGTTATCCATGCTAGGCAAGCCTATGATCTACAGAGTGATGTGAGTACTCAGCGATAAGTATTGGAGTTCTAAATTGTATGTCATTTTTTTTTTTTCTAAAATAGGGAAGCTGCTTGACGTGTCTGTGTCACATAATGGGTGTTTTTTTTTCACATTATGTTTTTTTATGTTTTTCTTTTCCATTCCTTGCATGGTCATTGGATTTTTTGGGCTGATTGAATCTCTGTGTGAGTTGCAGTATGTGTGAGTATTAGGGCAGTTTCTAAAGAGCTTATTAGTTAGCTGAACACTAGATCTATCTGCATATACTCCTTTGTAATAGTCAGTCTTTGCAGAGTTAACAGTATATAAATAGGAAATTGCCTAGGTTTTTTTTTATTATTATTTTAAATTTCAGCCTCTTTATTGGAAGGAATTACTTTGTTCTGTCTTGGAGAAGGTGTTTTACATTATGAGCTGTTGTTTTAAGTGGGTGACTATGCATTTATTGTGAACAAATATTACAGGAAAAGTTTCTGCTGACTTCCAGGGTTTTGTTATAATCTATTGCTCTTTGACCATTCTCCAGCATGTTTCTGGATGAAAAATACCTCTTGAACACAGATATGTGCCTTCACATGTCGTCACATATTACACATATGTGTTCTCAGTCTATCTTCCTAACAAAGATGGTTTTGCAGATTGAAGTAGGAGGAAGACAACATATAGAAAGTAATAATTAGTTGCATGGTATATGTAAAATGTTTAACTGGCAATATTAATGAGACAGCTGTATTTGTATTTGGTGGTAGAACTGCTATAAGTCTGACCTTCAGTGGTTACGAGGCATTGGTTGGGTCCCAATTGGTTCCCTGGAAGTTGAAAAAGCCAAAAAGGCAGGAGAGATCCTGAGTGATAAAGTATACCGTCAGCCTCCGGACACAATTAAGTTTACGAGCATCCCTGATTCTGTACCAATGGTCTTAGCCAAGCAGAATGCGGAGACAATGAATAAGGTGAGTGTCGATTCGATTAGGTAACCCATCAGCAGTCCCTGCGTAAACTCTAGACAGGACTAGGAATACAAATGTGTGATTGCTATATCAGATTACTGTGCAGCAAGGCTTTGAAAGTGTAAGTTACGTTTTTGGTAATTGTCAGGTAACTTATTTTCAGTAAGTTCTAATTAAACAATATCTTTTGAATTACTGATTTAAATTTGAATTATCAACTGTGAAGTTTCCACGCACTATACTGTGTATCTAGTAATATGTTACCTAACTTTAATTTTTAATATATCAATTTGTTTAATAAATCTAGATTTATTAAATAAATAAATACTTAATAAAGTACTTGTGTTAGGTCAGTCTTTAAAGCATTCCTATTTTAAACAATTCAGTGTAGTACTTAATGTAAGAGTTTTCTTAATCTGTGGCCCTGATCTCAACCCTGTTTATGTCAATGAAACCATTTCCTCTTCCAAGCATGGCTTGTCCTTAGCATTTAGATCTCTGTGTGTCTGATGAGTATTCTGTCCCTTTTCTTCTAAACACTGTTTTTTGAACAGAATTTTTTCTCCATTACTAATTCTCTAGATACTTAATATACAGGTTATAGAATGAATGTAAAATCTCATTGCTATATAAGGAATAAGGTGGGGTTTTGTTTTGGGTTTTCTTTTTTTTTTTTTAGGCTTTGAGTACAGGTCTTTAATTCTTCCTGTGTTTTAGGAGGTCTCCAAGTAGTCACCATTGTTCTTCCCCTTTAACATACATTATTTCTGCTACAGCGTTTATATACTGAGGCCTGGGATAAAGACAAGACACAAATCCATGTAATGCCTGACACACCTGAAATCATACTGGCAAAACAGAACATGCAAAACTACAGTGTGGTGAGTGTGTGAGCTCTCCAAATGTAACTGGTCTATTTAATGGCTGGGTCATTAGTGTTCTGATAAACCTTGTATTGATGATACCATCAATTTCTTTAAGAAACCCCCAATATTTATCCTCAAAATCATGACTTTAAAAACACAATTTTGATATTTATACAGTAGTGCATACATACAACAGTGAGCAGTATTGACAATAAATTCCATGGGAAGCTGTGTGTCTCCAGTGAATTTCTGGGAGTCCTTTCTGTCAGTGTGCATACTGTTAGGAAGGTACAAAATTAATTTCACCCTTGGAAATACCAAAAATGTAATTTTCAGCACAGTTCTGAAGAGCAGTAATCCCAATGTTTGGTGTTAGTTTAGGCAAATAAATTCACGTCAGTAAGAAGTGGTTTAAAAAGTAAGTTTTACTTCACTTTATAGAACAATAGTTTATCTGTAAATTGTAGTCCATGTTGTTTAAAGTAGTAAAAGAAAAAAAAAATTGTTAGCAAATGTATTTAGCAAAGTTTTTACTTTGTTATGAATTTGTATCACCTACTGATCTGGGGCTTTGAGTTGAGAAAGTTAGATAAAGCTATGTTGGAATAAATCCTAACACAATTTTAAAAATCTACTCACAAACAGTTTGTTTTGCATAGAATGCAATATATGGAATGAACTTACATAAATCTCACTGTTTAATTCTTCACCTAGAAACTCTACAAGCAGGCCATGGAAGAGGACAAAAAGAAAGGCTACGACTTGAGAAGTGATGCTATCCCCATCCAAGCTGCCAAAGCATCCAGGCAAATTGCCAGTGATGTAAGAAACTACTGTTTTGTTTTTTTGTGTGATGATATTTGATCTCTGCAACCTGAAACATATAGCTGGAATCTGAAAAAAGCATTTCAATTAAACTGTGATCCCAAATGATAAGATTTTGGGAAGCAAATTATTATATATGTTTAAAGATTTTATTGTAAAAAGTTTGAGAAGTTATAAGGAGAATATAGTGCCTCTCATCAATTTTATAGCTCATAACTGTATCCTTAATTAAATCTTAAGAACATGTATATTATTATATTTGATAAAGATCAAATGTTTAATAAGAGGTTTATTTCTCACTAATGTGAGTGAACAGTTTTTTTATCAAAAAGCTTACTTAAAAATCTCTAGGGTTCTAACTCAAATCTCAAAAATTTAATGTGAGAATTGATATTATTAGCCCCAGAATTGCTTTGACAGTTTGCGTTGTTTTGACTTTGGCTATGGAGTAATCTTAAGAGTTTATTATTAGAAATATTTAATATGAGTAACTGATATTAGTAGGTAATGCAGAAATATACTATCTTGATTTATATTTCAGTACAAGTACAAGGAAGGCTATCGGAAGCAGCTTGGCCACCATATTGGAGCCCGTAACATAGAGGATGATCCAAAGATGATGTGGTCAATGCACGTAGCCAAGATCCAGAGTGACAGGGAGTACAAGAAAGCCTTTGAGAAGACAAAGACACACTTCAGTAGCCCAGTGGACATGCTGGGAATTGTGTTAGCCAAGAAATGCCAGGGGCTGGTCAGTGACATTGATTACCGCCACTATCTGCATCAGTGGATCTGTCTACCAGACCAGAATGATGTTATCCATGCTAGGCAAGCCTATGATCTGCAGAGTGATGTAAGCTCTTTTTGATTTCATTTCTGTTGAGGAATGTATTTGATATTTTACATAGGTGGATCACATATCACTGTGGTAGAATGACATTTTCAAGATTAAATTTCATTGCTAATTTGAAACTTCTGTCTCCAATAGGATATTTTAACTAACTGATATTTAAATTCTTTAATTCCATAATTTGGGCTTTTTATCATCTGCCATTCTGTGAAATTTGGATAATGGTATCACTCTTAATGTATATGTGTGCAGTTATTTTTCCTAAAATTTTCTCTAGGATTTTGAATTTATTTGAATTAAAAGTTGATAGTGAGGTTGCTTAACTGTGAAAAGATGCACTATGTAAATTTCATTACGATTATTAGAATAACCTATGTATATTTTGGTAATAGAACTGCTACAAGTCTGACCTTCAGTGGTTACGAGGCATTGGTTGGGTCCCAATTGGTTCCCCAGAAGTTGAGAAAGCCAAAAAGGCGGCAGAGATCCTGAGTGATAAAGTATACCGTCAGCCGCCGGACACAATTAAGTTTACTAGCATCCCGGATTCTGTACCAATGGTCTTAGCCAAGCAGAATGCAGAGACAATGAATAAGGTGAGTGTCGATTCGATTAGGTAACGTGTCAGTAGTCCCTGCCTCACCTCTGGGTGCAGGACTAGAAATATAATGATCACAGGTAATGCTGAAGTTAAGAAATCATGTATTTTCAAGTAGTGTGTTCTGTTTATTTTAGTAAAAACTATCAAGACTTGTAATTGAAGCCTCAACTTTATAATATTCTGCATATTACATTTTAATCTTTTCTTTGACTTGTCTCTGCAGTGAGCAGTAATAATACTTCAGTTTACTCATTCTTAAGTAATGTGGCAGTTTTCTAAATGTTGTTGAATTTCCTCAGGTAAATCTCTTTTTAATAATGGTATCTCTACCTGATCAAATACCTAACTGTTTATTCATGCTATTTTTTCTATAATTTTACCTAGTGTGCTCTGTGATTTACCTGACTAATATTGACCTGTTTTGGAATGCAATCTTAATCACTTTCTTTATTCTTTCTTAGCATTTGTACACTGAAGCATGGAATAAAGATAAGACTATGATTCATGTCATGCCTGACACACCAGAAATCCTGCTAGCTAAACAAAACCAGATAAACTACAGTCAGGTAAGTAAAACTGAAGAGTTGTCAGAAATCCTTTTATTCTGTCAAGTACAATTTTGTCATCTCTGAGTTTGATTAATATTACAATACTGTTAAGTTGTCTAGTTTCACAAATTGCCAGCTCCACTGTTAGAATTGTTCTTTCACTAAAATGCTGGTGTCTAATTAGGCTTTTGAAATATATTACCTGCTATAAATGAGAAATCATTTCTATAGCAAGGTATGGAAATAAATAATTTAACTTACAGAATATTCCTTGCTTTGCCTTCCCTAAATTACTTAACATTTCCAGGCATTTACAATACAATTACAAAATCTGCATATTTTTATTTTCTAGAGAAGATAGAGCTGTTTTCAAATGTTTAAGTTGCCTGAACATTGACGGTATTGTTTAAGCACTTAATTTGTTTTATTACACATATGTGCTTAACTGAAGTGTGATTTTGGTTTTGAAAGAAAAATTTGAATATTTTTCTCACAGAAAATGTACAGACTAGCTTTAGAGGAGTCGAAGAAGAAGGGTCATGATTTGCGTTTTGATGCCATTCCTATTCAATCTGCCAAAGCATCCAGAGAGATTGCCAGTGACGTAAGCATGGTTTTTAATCATGTCTATATGGATTTGGTAATGGAAAAGAATCATTTGTTTGCTACTGTAATACCTTAGCTTTATAGAATAAATAAAATGGAAATCCAGTGATTCTACTGCATGCTTTTAGTGCATGAAAGGAATGGGTAGCCATTTACGCATGAGGTATATATCGCAATAATAAATAATTGTGAGGGTTATTTCTGTGCCCCCTGTGATAGTTCCATTGATATCCATGGATATTGAAATGAGATGATCAATAAGTTGTACGAGTCTATGCTAGTATTAGTCAAATTAATTTCTGATTAAAAATAGGAAATACTTTAAAATCTGTCCCCAAACCAGATATATTAGTAAATAAATTCTAAATAAATCTTATAAATTGCTGTCTTTTCCTCAGGGAAAAATATTACACTTCTGTTAAAATGTAATATTGAAATTCAAGATTGCTATGACAGGTTTTGCTTCTGGAATGAGGAAGCATCACTAACGGATGATAACAGTTTTTTGTGATCCTTGTTTTTTCTATCAAGATTGATACTTAAACTGTTAGTATTAACTACCTAAGACTATCTTCACTGGGGTTTTGTAATAAGCTTTTAAATAAGTTAATCTTTACATTTTAATCGTAATAGTTAAAGAATGTGGAATATCAACCTTGTTAACATGTGACATGAAATGTTAAGTTGAAGTGTGATATAGTTATGTAAAAAATCAGAGATAATGATATGGGTAATAAAAATAATTTTTATGTTAAAATTAATAAAACAGTAGCAGAACCTAAATAATATTTTTCTCTAAACAAAATACTAATGATTATATTAAACTGTGAATTATTTATTAATATATAATTATACCGTGTGAATATGAACTCAATTTCAGTACAAGTACAAGGAAGGCTATCGCAAGCAGCTTGGCCACCATATTGGAGCCCGTAACATTGAGGATGATCCAAAGATGATGTGGTCAATGCACGTAGCCAAGATCCAGAGTGACAGGGAGTACAAGAAAGCCTTTGAGAAGACAAAGACACACTTCAGTAGCCCAGTGGACATGCTGGGAATTGTGTTAGCCAAGAAATGCCAGGGGCTGGTCAGTGACATTGATTACCGCCACTATCTGCATCAGTGGATCTGTCTACCAGATCAGAATGATGTTATCCATGCTAAGAAAGCCTATGATCTACAGAGTGATGTGAGTAAATTTTTACATTTGTAAGTCATAATTACATATACAGGGTTTTGTACAATGTAATTTTAAAACATATATAATATGCTTGAGGCACTTGCATGAGACATGTTGATAGAAATGAAATGTTTACTATATCAGATCATTAAATTTGTTTAATTTTTAATCCTATTTTTTCAGTCCTTAGCCTGAGGTGTAAATTGTGTTTAACTCTGATATTTGTAGAGTTCTTAATAACTCATTTCTTTTTGTTATTTAATAATTATTTCACTAAACTTTCAGAAATAACACTTGTTTTCAAAACCATATCCTGCTGCTATGTGGAAATACACACAACTGTTTATATAGACTCAGATCTGCTCATTTGCAATTATTTTACTATTCAAGCAAAGTTGCACATATATAACTTTTGAACTTTCGAATTTTTTCAGGCGGTTTACAAATCAGACCTGGAATGGCTAAGAGGTATTGGATGGGTTCCTATTGGTTCCGTGGAAGTTGAAAAGGCCAAGAAAGCTGGGGAAATCCTGAGTGAAAGGAAGTATCGTCAGCCAGCAGACCAAATTAAATTTACTAGTGTGACAGATTCTTTGGCCATGGTCTTAGCCAAGCAAAATGCTGAGATAATGAACAAGGTGAGCTTGGGGTTTTTTGTTTGGTTGTTTTTTGGTCAAAAATCACTACTGTTAGTAGCTAGTGGAACTTATTCATTAGGTGAAAAATACAAAGTGCAAAGTAAGACTAAACACTTTCATTGTGGACTTAGAGAAAATAAATGTCTGAATTCAGCCTTTGCATGGAAAGGCTCTTGGCTCTCTCTAAACTGAACATGTAGTAAGAATGTCCAGAAAAAAAAAGTCACCTAAATCACGTACTTTTCAAGAGTAATTCTAATTTTTTTTTGCAAATTTCTCTCTTTTTCACATCAGCTGAAATCCTGTTTTTAAATGCTTGTTTAGTTTCTTTCTTCTATTTTGTTAATGCTACTTCACTATACAAAGCTTATCTCTGACAGAACAGGCAAAATTTTTTTGCAGTTCTTAGACAATAGTGTGAAATCTGCAGAAATAGTGTTTCAGCAAGGTATTGGATGTACTCTACAGTGCATCCAGAGCTGGCAGTGCCATGACCATGTTATAAGATAGGATGTAGCAGAATATTGTGGCTTCTACCGTAACTGCTATAATGATGTATTGTATCATGACCAAATGTCATACCGCATCATGAGCAAGTTATGAGGAAATAGCTTATGTACTCTGGAAGTGAAGCTTCTGCAATTTGTCTTAGACCTAGAGGGTGAAAGTCGCAAAATACCTACTCCTCTTTAATAAGAAACATCAATCAGACAACTCATACAGGTAGGGCAGAATAACAAATATAGTTTTCCTCCAGCAGTTTCCCAGCAATCCTAAATCAATCAGTTGTTGTGCCAACTTAACCTAAGATATAACAATGAAGGACAAAATTTTCTTGAGTTGTTCAGTGGGAAACTTTGAGATATCGGGATTTAAAGCTTACTTGAACTACTGCTCACAGTTTGTAAAATACGTTCTTTGATGAATGTAATAGTTTGCTTATATATATATATATCATATTCTGCTTCAAGGTTACTTTTCTTTTGTATTATGGATATACTTTTGATAGCTACTGCTTTCAAATTTGCAGTCTTTCCATTATACCACATGTAAAGAAACTTTCTAAAGGAATGTGGTTTTCTCTCTCCTAGCGTTTATACACAGAAGCTTGGGATGCAGACAAAACTTCAATTCATGTGATGCCTGACACACCATCAATTTTGTTAGCGAAGGCCAATGCAGCTAATGTTAGCCATGTAAGAGCATTTAAACATATACTAAACTAATGGAAATTCAGAAATTAAGTAAGCATTTATTTAACAATAAAGATATTTTAACATATTCATTCCTAAAAATTAAAAAAAAAAATTGTGAAATTTAGAAGTTCCATCGTTCAGAATATTGATAAGCCTTTTCTGTCTCCTTTTGTGTAGAAACTTTATATACAAGCCTGGGAAGATGCCAAAAAGAAGGGTTATGACATGAGAGCTGATGCAATTCCATTCCGAAGTGCAAAGGCCTCAAGAGATATCGCGAGTGACGTATGTTCTTCCTTTAGATTTATTTTCAGTTATCTTGAGAAACAAGAATGAAGTAATAAGCTTTGTACAACATAAAAATCCATGGTATATCAGGTTCATCCTGAAAGCCTACGGACAAAGGATTAAATTCAGAAAGAAAATTGACAACAGTTTTCAAAAGGAAGATAGAATTATAAATCCTGACATTAAGCAGATATTGGAAAGTAATAAAATATGATAACAATAACCAGAAGCTGTAGAGGAAAAATATATTAGGCATCTGTAAACTCTAAATGAGTATATTTCATAACAACAAAATATATTTGTGGTTAGTAGCAATGTGAAATTATGGGAAATTCACCCCAATTTCACTATTTGTTTTAATACTTCTTTTTGATTCCTTAGTACAAGTACAAAGAAACACATGAGAAGCAGAAAGGCCACTACATTGGGTGCAAAACTGCCCAGGAGGATCCCAAACTGTCGTGGGCTGCGCGTGCTATGCAGCTGCAGAATGACCGAATTTACAGGAAGGCGTACCATGATTCAAAGTCCCAGGTCCACATACCAGTTGATGCAATGTCAGTGCAGGCAGCCAAGGATTGCCAGACACTAGTCAGTGATATTGACTATCGTCAGTACCTTCACCAGTGGACGTGTCTGCCTGACCAGAATGATGTGATCCATGCCAGGAAGGCTTACGATCTACAGAGCGATGTGAGTGAGAATAATTGTAGGAAAACTTTATGGCAGGTGTGTGAGGCTTTGCTTATTTGTGACTGTGCAAATATACTTTCAAATGCACATTAATGAGCCTGCAGTCAGCCCTGGTATGTTTATTTTAATTTGTCTATATGGTCCTTTCCAAATCAGTCATGGTTTCAGCTTGGGGAACAGAAATAATCCAGGCAGTTTGTAAGGTGACCATATTTTTCTGGTACAATGTTTTCTTTCAGACTACTTGCAGATAATACCACTGGTATGTATGTAGCAAACATACATACTTTTAAAAGACCAGTACTTTCCTTGCAGTGCAAATCTGGGGTTTAGCTGTGTGTGGGAAACACATAGTACACCACCATTTCAGTGCCTGCTTGCTGTGTAACTTCATGAGGAGGAAATTGGGGAAAACCTTTTACAAAATCTCTCTGCACATAGAGTTGTCCCTGCAATGTCAGTAAACCTTGGTTTCTTTGTAGAATGTATACAAGTCGGATCTGGAATGGCTGCGGGGCATTGGCTGGTTGACAGAAGGTTCTGTGGATGTGGTGAAAGCAAAGAAAGCCCAGGAACTCCTGAATGAGAGGTTATACCGCACACGTCCGGATGAGATGAAATTCACCAGCATTACTGACTCACCAGACGTTGTCCAGGCTAAGATCAATGCTTTGCAGATCAGTGACGTAAGCTTACCTTTCACTTGCCTTTCACTTATCTTTCATTTATGTGATGACATTTCTTTTCTTTGTGGTACAGACTAGAATTTGTTCTATGGGAATGACTAATTGGAAAATACTGCAAATCAGAATTACCAAGTAATTCCTCTGGGAGGGATTCTTCAATGTTCAGACCATAGTGAAATGTCATTACGCTTTTCTCCTTAGCGTCTGTATCGTGAAAACTGGGATAGAGATAAGACACAGGTTTCCATACCTTCTGATACTCCTGTAATGCTGCAGTCCAAAGTCAACGCTCTCAACATCAGCAATGTAAGAGAATAAAATTATTCTGCATGTGAAGAATTAGTAGAGTATGACAATTAAATTTCCAGAATAGCTTTTAAGAAAAGGCATTGCTACAAGTCTTGACTGTTTGTAACAAGGTTGATTAATTTTATTTGCAGAAACATTACCAGAAGGCCTGGGATGAGGCCAAGGCAAAAAGTTATGACCTGAGAGCTGATGCCATTCCCATCAAACACGCCAAGGCTTCCAGAGACATTGCTAGTGAGGTACAGTCTTCTCTTAATGTTGTAGCTATGCCTGTCTTTCTGTGTCCAGCTCAACTGACTGAAGTTCAGCTCAAAGGATTTACAGCTTAGAAGCTGAAAGCCTTGTGAGTCATGTTGGGGTGAGCAATGTGTGACTGCTTATGTTCTTTCTGCATGTCTAGTACAAGTACAAAGAAACACATGAGAAGCAGAAAGGCCACTACATTGGGTGCAAAACTGCCCAGGAGGATCCCAAACTGTCATGGGCTGCGCGTGCTATGCAGCTGCAGAATGACCGAATTTACAGGAAGGCGTACCATGATTCAAAGTCCCAGGTCCACATACCAGTCGATGCAATGTCAGTGCAGGCAGCCAAGGATTGCCAGACGCTAGTCAGTGATATTGACTATCGTCAGTACCTTCACCAGTGGACGTGTCTGCCTGACCAGAATGATGTGATCCATGCCAGGAAGGCTTACGATCTACAGAGTGATGTGAGTATGTCCAGGGATGTGTTAGTAATTGCTGTTGATATTTGTTATATTACCGTCTGATTTTGATGGTTTGATACTACAGTCTCCAAGGATGTATCTTCCGAATTTTATTTTTTTAATTTTTTCATGTCAGTGCTATTATCTGCTCTTTTTCATAATTTTAAAAGTATATGTCTAAATTGTATCGAAGCTTTACTTGGCATCTGTTACACACACTGTAACAGCAATCTGAAGAGGATGAAGTATTTGTCTCTCTTATTTTGATGGAATAACATCTGTTTGTCTCTTTGGAATCACATGTCTTTTTTTACTCCTCTTTATCTGAGTCGACTTGGAAATTTTTTTAGTTTCAAGAAACCTGTGTAAGATAGCAGGTAAGATCTTTAAGTGGCTAATTTCAAAACAGGAGGAGTCAGTACAGCTAATGTCCTGACTTGGCTGCTTATTAGGCAACATAGGTCTCTCTTCTTCTGTTTCAATTACGAGTTTCAAAAGTGAGATTCATGTTCCTTGCTGAAAGATTTTCTCAATTAATACTGAAATAATAGTGCCTGATATCACTTCGGGAATTACACTGTTTAGCTCTAGTCCCCATTAACTCTGTAACATTATTTTTCCTCCTTTTTGTTGAATTTTCCTGGTGGGCATCTTGTGGTTTTTTTTGACTTGTAAGTTGTTGAAATGACTAGAGGAATAAATGTTTTGGAGGGGATCAGAAGTCTTTTTTTAAGACCTTAGTACTCATCATCATTAATGGCACTTGGTTCTGTTATGTTGTTTCCTCTCTATTTAACTTCACCAGGTTTAGAATGTGTTGTTTAAGAAACAAGCTACTTAAAAGCTAGTTCCCAAGTTGTATTTTACTTATGACACTGAAAACGCAACGTTTTCCTTTTCTGACCGCATCTGATGCAGGCTGTCTATAAGTCAGACCTGGAGTGGCTCCGTGGAATTGGCTGGTTGCCTAATGACTCTCCAGTTGTTAAGAGAGTGAAGCATGCCCAGGATCTTCTGAGTGATAATGTCTATCGTACACCTATTGAAAGCCTGAAATATACCAGTGTTGTTGATTCTCCAGATGTTCTTCTCGCTAAAGCAAATGCCGAACAAGTCAGCATTGTACGTTGCAATGTTTTTAAAGTTGTTTCGAAGCTATAAACAGTTAAAGAGAAATCTTGCTGCTAAAACGTAAAATTGATCAGTAGTATTGTAAGTCAAGTTTAACACATTTCCAGACATTTTATTTTTTAGAGATGATAATTTGGGGGGGGGATTTATGGGATTTTGTTATTGACAAGTGAAATTCCATAATTACAATATCAGAAAATGGACTATTTTAACAGCCAAAATACAAAGAAGCCTGGGAAAAGGACAAGACTATGATCCATATTATGGCAGACACACCTGAAATCAACCTAGCCAAGACTAATGCTGTTAATTATAGTAAGGTATGCTTACCATTCTGTTTTCTACATTTCTATAGAGTAGCATGTGTATCCTGTGAATTTTAACATTCTAAGATGTTACTTACAAAGTTGAAGATTAAGTCACATGAATCTCATTGAAGTCATACAGAGCTTGCAAAATTCCCTTCCCTCTGATGGCTGTTCTTAAAGTAATTAGACATTTTAACATAAATGCTTGCATTGCATGCAACTGTTAAAAAATTATTAATTACATTTACCATTGAGGTAATATTTTCTGGAAATGGATGAGAGCCCGAAGTATATAAATATTTTCTAAACTTTTACAAACACCCTTCTATGCAGTATAGGTTGCAAAAGTTGTGTTGCAGGCACTGTATATGTGTGAAAGGCAGTAAGATTTACATCAGTATTTATGACTGAGAGCAGAAATAATGCACAAAAAATAGTTACAATATTTCAGCAAATGAATAGCAGTAAACTATGTGTTTCTTTAATGGCAAATGCCAGAATGTTTAACATATATGGGACATTTTGCTGTCTTTTCAGAAACTGTATAAAGAAGCTTGGGATGAGGTGAAGACAAATTATGATTTGAGAGCAGATGCAATCCCAATCAAGGCAGCCAAAGCTTCTAGAGAAATTGCTAGTGATGTAAGTGCTAGCAAAGACATCTAACGTTTCACATCCTTTAAGAGCTTTTTTATGATAACAGTAAGTAATGGTGATCTTTGCTCTTTACCCAGTATAAATACAAACTGGATCATGAGAAGCAGAAAGGACATTATGTTGGAGTTCCAAATGCAAAAGCAGATTCGAAAATGCAGTTTGCCCTTGGCATAGGCAAAGTTCAGAGTGAACTGGAATACAAGAGACACTTTGCCAAATGGAAGACACAGTGCCACCTACCAGTAGACATGCTATCTATTGTATCAGCTAAACAGGGTCAGTCTTTGGTCAGTGATGTTGATTACCGTCAATACTTGCATCAGTGGATCTGTCTTCCAGATCAAAATGACGTCGTACAGGCTAGGAAGGCCTATGATCTTCAGAGTGATGTAAGTGAAAACTTAGCTTAAATTATCACTGTATTGTCTCTTCTTAGTCTGCTTCAGCTCTAAGTAGGAGGGACCTTCTGCCGAATTCAATGAATTGACTTTGCTGTTTATTAGGAATGCAAAGTATATGCCACTGTTATTTATTGCCAAGTCTGAAGTGTAATAAATTCAGATATGGTGCTCATATTAGAATTACTGCTGCCCTTTTAGCCAGTAGAAGTGCTATTATTTATGAATCTTGCTGGATTGTAGCTAACAAGATGGACCCTCTTTGTTTTGCCAGGCTGTTTACAAATCTGATTTAGAATGGCTACGGGGAATTGGGTGGTTGCCAAATGATTCACTTGGAATCAACCATGTCAAATATGCTGGAGATCTCTTGAATGAGGTAACACATTGTTTTTCAAAACTGAAATTTTCTTGGGGGCATTTGCAATTTAAAGAACTGTTAATGGTTAAATGCTTTTTATTTAAAAAAAAAAAAAAAGATACAACTGGAGCATTTCCACAGCATTAATTGTGCATGGAGAGTTTTTCTTTCCGTATAAACTTTGTCTTGTCTAGGTATTCAGAATTGCTTTCTTAGCTATTCCTGTGTAATCTGATTTGTGATCTTTTCTCTTGTATAGAAAAAGTACCGTACGAAACCTGAAACTCTTTCCTTTACTCCAGTGGCGGACCGAGTTGATTATATCACAGCAAAGAATAGTGGTGAAATTCGTAGTGACGTAAGTTTTGCCAGCATTTTTATGGGCTGTTAAACTGGTCTGCATGTTTAAATGGTAGGATTTTATCTTTAAAAGGATATTTAAAAAATGCTAAAAAATTCTGGGAATTCTGTGAATATATGACATAAAGATGAATAGGTCTTCACAAGCTCATCTCCATCACTTATTGTAGGGAAGAAGCTCCTTAAGCAGAATAACATCTTTCCTACACATTTTGAAAAGCCAGTGCTAGTTCTGCAACCAGTTTCTTATAGAATTATAGAATAGTTTGGGTTGGAAAGGACCTTAAGATCATCTAGTTCCAACCCCCCACCTATGGGCAGGGACACCTCACACTAAATCATGCCACCCAAGGCTTCATCCAGCCTGGCCTTGAGCATGCCAGGGATGGAGCATTCACAATCTCCCTGGGCAACCTATTCCAGTGCCTCACCACCCTTACAGTAAAGAATTTCTTGCTTATATCCAATCTAAACTTCCCCTGTTTAAGTTTGAACCCATTACCCCTTGTCCTGTCACTACAGTGCCTGATGAAGAGTCCCTCCCCAGCATCCCTATAGGCCCCCTTCAGATACTGGAAGGCTGCTATGAGGTCTCCACACAGCCTTCTCTTCTCCAGGCTGAACAGCCCCAACTTTCTCAGCCTATCTTCATTTGGGAGGTGCTCCAGTCCCCTGATCATCCTCATGGCCCTCTTCTGGACTTGTTCCAACAGTTCTATGTCCTTTTTATGTTGAGGACACCAGAACTGCACACAATACTCCAGGTGAGGTCTCAGGAGAGCAGAGTAGAGGGGCAGGATCACCTCCTTCGACCTGCTGGTCACACTCCTTTTGATGCAGCCCAGGATACGGTTGGCTTTCTGGGCTGCAAGCGCACACTGAAGCCGGCTCATGTTCATTTTCTCATTGCCCAACACCCCCAAGTCCTTCTCTGCAGGGCTGCTCTGAATCTCTTCTTTGCCCAACCTGCAGCTGTGCCTGGGATTGCTCCAACCCAGGTGTAGGACCTTACACTTGTCATGGTTAAACTTCATAAGGTTGGCATCAGCCCACCTCACAAGCCTGTCGAGGTCCCTCTGGATGTCATTCTTCTTTCAGTCTTGGCTAATATCATTTATTGTCACTGACAACATGAACATAAATAGCCACTTGCAGTCTGGCAACCATAATCGCAGAATTACATCATGGTTTGAGTTGGAAGGGACCTTAAAGATCATTGAGTTCCAACCCCCTGCCAGAGGTAGGGGCACCTTCCATTATACCAGGTTGCTCAAAGCCCCGTCCATCCTGATCTTGAACACTGTCAGGGATGGGGCAGCCACAGCTTCTCTGGGCAACCTGTGCCAGTGCTTCACCACCCTCTCAGTAAGGAAATTCTTCCTCATATCTGATTGAAATCTACTCTTTTTCACTTTAAAGCCGTACCCCTTTCTGCTATCACTACATGCCCTTGTAAATATTGGACTTTTTATCTTTTATTCATGACAGTTTCTGCATGCAGTAGCTTTGGACAAGAGCATAATCACTGAATCACAGAATCATTAGGGTTGGAAGGGACCTCTGAGATCATTTAATTCAACCCCCCTGCAAAGGCAGGGCCACCTGGAGCATGTTACACAGGAGCATGTCCAGGTGGTTTTGAATGCCTCCAGAGAAAGCGTCACTCTTCCTAGTACATCCTAGGCACTCCTAGGTGCAAGGGCGCACTGCTGGCTCACAGTCAACTTACCATCTACCAGGTCCTTCTCAGCTGAACTGTGTTCAAGCAGGTCAGCCCCCAACCTGTACTGGTGCTTGGGGTTCTTCCTCCCCACATGCAGTACCATACACTTGCCCTTGTTGAACCTCATTAGGTTTCTCTCTGCCCAGTTCAGCCTCTCAAGGTCCCACTTTGTTTAATTCTTCTCACTTTTGCCGGTATACATGTACAAAACTGATGTGCTTTCAGCTTGCCATTCTTTACATGTTTTTGGAGGCTAGTCTGTGAGGAGCTGGTCTGTAAACATGAAGTGACAAGCCCCATTTTAGTTCACTGGTAAAAGGTTGGCAATAACAGTGATACGTTTGAATTGAATGACATACTGCCATGCAACCACATACACACATTCAGGCATGTCCTGTGCTTGGAAACATGACTTGATGTAGATATCTGTGGTTGAGATGTGCTAGAATGCTACATTTACGGAGAGATCATGCTGACTAAAGGGATTTGCTCTTAAAAAGTTTAAAATCTATTGCCCTGGTTCAGATACTTCTTGCTTGGTTATTGGCCATACATCCCTGTAGACCAAACAAGTAACATAACTTCTGAAGATACCCTGTCCACCCAGCTGCCTTGGAACATATTTTCAAAATTATCCCTGAGAAATTTTGTTATTTCTTCTCTTGTACAATTTTCTTTTTAAAAACCCACATATTTGTATGTATATTTAACGTGTCATGTCTAACAGCTTTGAAAATTCGGGGTTTTATGCACTATTTCATGCATAAAATACGGGTCTTGGTATTATATTTTCACAGTTCTGATGTGATGATGCTGCAAGGCAGTAATTTCTTTCTCTTTTCTAGATTAAATACCACAAAGCATGGAATGAGGTCAAGTCAAATTATACTCTAACAGATACACCACAACTAGATATGGCCCGAGAAGCAGCCAGAATTCTTAATCAGGTACGTGATCACTCCCTGACAGTTTCTACTCACATTAATAATTCTTGTGAGGAATTTAGAAAACTTGCTTTATTAAAAATATCCTAAAGGAAGGATTTGTTATCCTTGTACTTCAATAAAGGTTACATACATATGGTAATAATTATCATGGTAGTAGTGTTGAATTCCTCCTTTTATTTTCCACAGAATTTATACAAGGAAAACTGGGAGAAAGAAAAAGCCACTGGTTACCTCTTACCTCCAGACACTGTGCAAATCTGTCATGCCAAACACTCAAATGATGTCCAAAGTGAGGTAATAATTTTTCTCATTAGGAACGCAACTGCTTGGAAGTCTGGAAACGCTGAAAGGCCTTGCGAATTTAGCAACAGACATAGAAAGCTTTCCCTTAGGGGTAACATACAGTAGACTTTTCAGGACCCAAAAAGTCCACTGTCCTCCAGATAAGTCATCTTTGTTATTATGGGTTTTACAGTCATCAGTGCTGAAAGATCAGGTTCTCCTTTCTACTTTCACTTTCTCCAGAAATGGTCCTTTCAAAATCAACATTTTAGATCAATAGTTCAATTAGTTCAATAATTGAAGTGGTATTATTATTTTTACCTATAGCTCTTATTTCACTGATTGGCTGGAGGTTTCCTCCTTGAACAGCTATAAGATGGTATGCACATTACCTTTTAAACTTTTTCGTAATGAATATTGCAATTACTACATGACTCAGTTTGAATAAACATTTTATCAAAACAGTGAGTTATAAATAACTCAAACACCCACTCTTCAGACACTTTCAAATAATTAGTTACAAAATGAGGCTAAATCCACTAAATAACTATTAGTAAACATTTTCTAACAAATCATTCCTCTTGTGCTGAAAATACTGTTTATGAGAAATGGCAGCATATTTGTCTAGAAAACTCCATGTGTTTGTCATGGAGGACTATACAAAATAACTTTACTGTTTGTTTTGTAGTTTTATCTGGTCATATACTGAAAACCTAAGACTGCAGTTCACAACTCCCTGTCTCATCTGTTCTTTGTGTTGACAAAACCATAGCTGTTTGCAGGTTAAAAGTAGAACAGATATAATCAGTGCTGATTTTATACATATTTCTCCTCTCTTCCATCAGCTTAAATACAAAGCTGAATATGTCAAACAAAAAGGTCACTATGTTGGAGTTGCCAGCATGAGAGATGATCCAAAACTGGTGTGGTTTGAGCATGCGGGCGAGATCCAGAATGACAGACTGTACAAATCAGAATATCACAAGACAAAATCCAAAATTCACCTCCCTCCAGATATGGTTTCAGTTGTAGCAGCAAAGGAATGTCAGACCTTGGTCAGCGATATTGACTACCGCCAGTACCTGCATGAATGGACATGCCATCCTGACCAGAATGACTGTATTCAGGCAAGGAAGGCCTATGATCTCCAAAGTGATGTAAGTGATACCACATACATATGTAATTTCTACTTAGTTTGGTCTAACTCTATTGCCCATATTATAGAATCATAGAATCGTAGCATGGCTAGGGTTGGAAAGGACCTTAAGATCATCTAGTTCCAACCCCCCTGCCATGGGCAGGGATGCCTCACAATAGGCCGTGTCCCCCAAGGCTCTGTCCATCCTGGTCTTGAACGCTGTCCAGGGATGGAGCATTTACCACTTCTTTGGGCAACCCGTTCCAGTGCCTCACCACCCTCACAGTAAAGAACTTCATAAGAATGGACATGTCACCCTGAATTAAATAATTTCTTTTCTTTTGTACTGTCTTTTATCATTCAGAATATTTATAAGTCTGATTTGGAATGGCTTCGTGGCTGTGGTTGGATTCCTCTGGATTCAGTGGAACACAAGAAAGTTAAGAATGCACAAGAACTGATAAATAAGGTAAAAGAAAATATTTCAGCAGTTACGCAATTAGCTCTTTTTCATGCTCAGTGTTTAAGAAAATATTTCATCTCTTTGCAGAGAGCATATACAAAAGAAGCCCTTGATAACTTTTCCAATTATACCAGTGTGGTTGACACTCCCGACATTGTTTTGGCGAAGATGAACTCCGTCAATCAGAGTGATGTATGTACTTTTTTTTTAATAGAAACTGTTATATTACTAGAATTAGTAGATGGCTGAATTGCTTTTGTTAAGCTGTACTGTTTATGCATGTACTTACATATGCGTGTGTATACATGTGGATGCTTTATTAATAATAGACTTCTACCGGGGTAAAAAAGTTTCATAAGAAGTGATATAAATGAACAACACGGTATAGCCAAAATAATTGAGCATTTTTCTGTTGAAGAATATAGCATGCCTCTTATTTAGAGTTTACAGGTTTTGCATGTAGTAGTTTAAAATTGAGTCCTGTTCTGGGTGAACAGCACTTAGTTGTATAGTACTAGTGGAGTTCTGGTGTTGCTACTAAGCTGTATTGCTGATCAGCCAGTTGAATTTTGTTACAATACTGTGTGGATTTTGTGGTGTGATGTACTGATGGCATTTGACTGTGTACTATAGTAGTTGGAACTACAAACATTACTGAAAATATGATAACAGAAAATTAATGTCTACTTCCAAGAAATGACACATTGGGATAATTTATTTCTCCCATGGAATTAACATTGTGTTTGTCATCTTTTTTAGATAAAATACAAAGAAACGTTTAACCTTGAGAAAGGCCAGTATATTGGGTCTGATGATACTCCTGTGTTGAACCATGCCAAAGACATGTCCTTGCTATACAGTGATGTAAGATTCTATAAATATCTAACTAAGCTTTAATTTGTTTTGAAATGAACAGAATGTGAGGTGGACTTCAGAAAACTGTTCATTTTTGTCATTAGTCTACTGGGGCACTGTGAAAGTTATTTAATCTCTTTTTTATTCATTTTTTCTCGGTTTGGATCATTGCGATAAGGCTAATTTCTTTCCTTATTGAAGTGATCTCAAAGCACTGCTGTTGGGTGTTTGGAAGCAGTAATAGCAGTAGTAGAGTGTGTGACAGCAGTTTATCATTCATCCAATGATATATTCTGAGACTACTAATGAAATTTACATTTTCTTTTCTAAGAAAGAAAAACTGTAGATTGTTTACATTCATAAGTTAATTTTTATTGGAAATCTCTATTTTTTAAAAATGTGGCTACTCATTCATAGGAGTAGGTGCTTCATAAGTTAGTCTGAAAGTAAATATATTTAATTTTTTTTTTAAATATGATGTATTAGAAAAGTGCCACTGACACAGTTAATGCTTTTAAAATATACAGTGGTTACTGGAAGATTTTTCACCATATTGAAGAGGTATCTATAAAATTACCAATGTCTGTTCTATGCTGCCCTTTTAAACAAGAGTTCGTATCTACATGTTGGATACTTGTATTACTCTGAGGAGAAATGCTGAACTCCAAATATACTAAAGAAAGCGGAGATCATCTTAAATTTGTGCTCAAGTACTTTCCTGAATCGGAACACTAATTCTGTTTGCCTTCGTCACACTGAATATGTATTCAAAATTAACATTCCTCATTTACTTTACTGGGACAATTCAGTGACTATAAATTATATTCCATGTGTGTATAAATGTCAACGTCAGGTTTCTTTGAAGGTAATAATGGATTTTTACCCAAAACGTCTATTTGTTTTGGTTTTGTTTTTGTCTAGAAACGTTACAAAAATGCTTGGGAGATTAGCAAGCCCATTGGTTATTCTTTGGATGAGAAATATATTCCACTTGTTGGAGCAAAGCATGCAAACTACATAAATAGTGAGGTTAGTATAAATTCTCCTTTCTTTTCCTTTATTTTCCATATACATTGTTAGAATGAATTTTAAAATTTCCACATGGATATTTTGCAGCTTAAATATAAGGAAATATATGAGAAGCTGAAAGGCCATTACCTGGCTGGGAAGGAGATTGAGGATTTCCCCAGTGTCATTCATTCACTAGCATTCCAGAAAATGAGGAGCGCGGTAAGGAGAGAATTAGCCTCACTGTAGTATTTTCCCATTTTCTTTATTTTAGCATGGCATCTTTAATTATAAGTAATACAATACTTAATAACATCATTAAAAGTTTTTTCAACATGTTTATGTTTCCTGCATGGTTATTTTGTTACATGGGTTGAATAATTGAACTTGAAATTATTCAGGAGGTTAAGAAGGGATTTGTTTAGCTATTAGACATATTAGAATAAATAAAATAAAAAAACATTTTTTCTATTTCAGTTAAGGAATCTGAACAGTAAGAAACAGTATATGACTTGGGATTCTTTTGCTTTACATATCTATATTAAAGAAGTGTTGATTTTTAATTGAAATGGGAATATAAGAACTGGAAAAGTGAAACACACATTTGGTGTTTTCTTACCATGGCCCATACAACGTATCATGCAGGACATAAAGTCAGTATAATACCAAATATTCTGCCTTCATTTGGACAAGGAGATTTAACTAGATTACAAGCATGTTTTGTAGCATGTGACTTTTTTTAATCTTGAATTCATGTTAATTTTTTCACCAGCTGTTAAATCTGTAAGTGAATAAGGTCGTTCTTGTCCTTCTAGAATATCATCAGAATAAACGGTTATTAATTTATGATTTCATTCTGTTGAATCCCGTGGGTGTTTAACTACTAAATATAGAAAGCATGCCTCGGATTATGCCATAACCTGTAACCTGTTAGAGTCAAAATTGTGCAGAAAACCACTATTCTCTCTTCTTGCCTTTTCCCCAATCTTTCCTTTTTAGTTGGCCTACAGAAAGAATTATGAAGACACCAAAACGAATGTCCATATTCCAAGTGACATGATGAATCATGTGCTAGCTAAGAAGTGCCAGTATATCCTCAGTGATCTCGAATACAAAACTTACTTCCATCAGTGGAATTGTTCACCTGAAGAAAATGATGTTATTCAAGCCAAAAGAGCCCAGGAAATTTTGAGTGATGTATGTGTTTAATTTATTTGTTTGATATTTTAGTAGCCTTTCATGTATTTTTTGCATGGTATTTAAATATAAAATACTTTAAAATGTCTTCCATGGTGTACAAATAGGAAATTAATAACCGTGGTCTTAGATTGCTTGGTAGCATAGTACCAAAAATTAATGTTTTTACAGGGTTTGAGGGGAACATTTTACTGGTCTGGTTATTTATTACTCATTCGTAAACTGGGAAAAAAGCCCAAACAAAAGTTAACATTATGAAACCTTCTCAAAGGTCACTGCTATCAACACTTTATCTCTCTTTGACTGGATGAGATTGTATAGCAAGCTTAGAGTCTGGTCCATGCACATCGGTACAATCAGAATTTTGCTGTACTGCAGTGATCATTAAGTATTGTAATTGGGGTTGTTGTGATTTGCACATGGGCCAGGACAGCATCCGTAATCCTTCTGGATCCAGTGGGTCTGGAAAAGACTTTATTCATTTGGCTTGTTTTGGTGCACAGGGTCTGAGCTGAGTGGCGCAATAAATCAACACTTCTTCGTGTTACATAGCCAACAGTATCTCAGCTTGGGCCAGCCAACCTTCCTAATAAAATGCAATGATGTGTTGCTTAGCCCATTGCTGTGCTGCATTATTTGGTTTAATATCCCTTGCAAATCCTGTGGTTAAAAATCATTCAGTCAAACTGAGAGATAGGCCAGTCTTCTCTGTGCTCACATTTAAGCTTCCAAATAGATTGGAATTACTGAGTGAGCCTGGTTCAGATTCAGTGCTAACCTTCAGCAGTTTGTACAAGCGGAAGATACTGAATATAGAGAAGAAAAACAAATACTACTGCCTCCAAGCAGAAGGCAGATTTCTTCCTAACTTAACAGTCTGTTTTCTTCCATACAGGTGGTGTATAAAGATGACTTAAACTGGCTGAAGGGACTTGGGTGTTATGTCTGGGATACTCCACAAATCCTGCAAGCTAAAAAATCATATGACCTCCAGAGCCAAGTAAGCTTGTTTTCCTCAAAAGTAAATATTGATAAGATTTTTTTCCTTCCATTTGTGATTCACTGGGACTGACACCTGTCTTAGCCCAGAGCAGAATGGAGTAATTTCTATTACATCAGAATATTTTTTTTACAAACTATTATAATACACTCTTTCAGTTTTATCTGTAAAGACATGATCTCTTGTGTTACTGAAGGAGAAGAAAACAGGAGAATGGAAGGACAGCAAGATTGTGGGTTGTAACAGTGAGAAAATAACATTTTGTCTTTCCGTGTGCCATTGCGTGCGCAAGATACCTCAGTGAGACATTTATGTTGGGAAAATGGTGTCTCTTGACTTGCTGATTGCACCTTTAGCCTACTAGATGCTATACAGTGATGTGCAATTTTCATTATTCCTTAGTTCATACTGGCTATAAGGTATTTCTTCTCTATGGTCTGTCACTGTTGAAGTTGGTCTTAACTGGGCCAGAATCTTGGGTTTCAGTTGTCCAGAACTGATTTTAAAGGAAGCTGAAAGGGAATTTCCTGGTCATTTTCAGCATTAATGTTTTGTTTTGTTTTATTTCCTTAGATAAAATACACAGCTGCAGGAAAAGAGAATTTTCAGAACTTTGGAGTTGTTACTGACACACCTCTCTATGTGACTGCAGTGCAGAGTGCTATAAATGCCAGTGATGTGAGTCTCCCCACTTTTTCTACTCAGGCTTTCCCCGTGCTCCTTCTGAGGATTGAAACAATTAAATCTGTCTTTCGTCTTACAGGTGAAATACAAAGAAGATTTCCACAAGACTAAGGACAAGTATACAACTGTGACTGAAACAGTAGATTCTGAAAGAGTTAATAATTTGAAAAATCTCTTTAGCAATGTAAGAGTTTCTATTTATTTATTCATTTCTTTCTTAAGGTGCTACTATGTGGGATTTTTGTTTATTTTGTTCATTCAATCTGTTTGAAGATAAAAGTCCAAACATGAAATTTATCAAAGCTAGTGGTAGCCCTCTGCATTTCTTGAATGTGTAGAGAAGCTGTATTTCAGGCAGAGGACATATTTTTCTAATTATAGTTCCAGTCTTGTCAAAATAGAATCATTAATAAATGGATTACCTGAAGAAAATTCCACCTGAACAAAATTCAGACCTTGTATGAGAAGGGTCATGAATAGTTAGAAAGCATTTTTGTCATCCTTTTTGTGCACTGTGAAGATTAAACTAGTGCACAGCCTCTTGATAGTAATGGTTACAGTGTATATATAAAAACTGAAGTGGTTTTGATTTCTATGGTTTGTTGGTTGTTACTCAGGAGAAGAATTTTTCCACTCACAGATACTTTCTATTTCCCCACAGAATCTCTACAAGAAAGCTTGGGAAAAAGTGAAAGCAACTAGCTATGCAATGCCCTCTGATGCTGTATCCCTAGCACGTGCAAAAGAACTGAAGCATAATGCTAGTATTGTAAGTGAATAAAATACTTTCTTCATGCCTTGCAAATACTATAGGTTATCATTAAAAAAAAAAGCCAAAAAAACAAACCAAATCATAACTTCTATTTTTGATTTAGATATAGCATGTAACTGTAAATAATCAGTTTTCTGTGCTAATTGTTTACCTTAAAAGTTAGTCATTTGCTTCTTTTCTTAGAAAATAATGCCATATTTTATAGTAATAGAAATGTTTTCTTGATTTTTTTTTTTATAATTTAAATTTCATAATCATCCAGGTCAGAAAAACACCAAAAGTCTTTAAGTCATGCTTTACCAAGTATAGAAGGACATAATCTTTTGCTTTACTGAACTGAGGCTCATGAGTGATCACTCTATTCATGAATCTTTAAATGAAACAGCTGGAACAATAAATTAGTAGCTTATTCTGCATCTATTTATTTTTAAAATCTTCTAGTCAGCTTTTGTTATTTTTGCAACATGATAGTTACATGCTTTCTTTGCCATTTAAAATAAGATTAAAAACCAAGATCCTGCTTTAAAGGCTTTCTCTGCTTGTTGGACTTAACTAAATATTTTGCTTAGTGGTAAATTTTGTTTCAAAAATACAGTTGACTCATTGGGGTGAGTTATTTGTCACCTTTATTTGCATCTGCTTAGGTAAAATACCGGGAAGAATATGACAAGTTTAAAGCACTGTACACGTTACCCAGGGGTGTTGAGGATGATCCCAATACAGCAAGGTGCCTTAGAGTTGGAAAGCTTAATATTGATGTAAGTGTTGTTTTCTGATGTGTCTTTTCCTGATAAAACCATACTTATCTCAGAAGAGGCTACTCAAAGAATCCACGTGCCTTCATTCAGATGCCATATTTCCACATGCATTTGGCAGTGTTCAGTATTTGCTGAATTCTGTCATAAATTTATGAATGTCTTTTCAAGCCGGTGTCTCAACTGTTAAATTTCCTGCATGGATAAACCTTTAGTGTGACAGTTTATGTATAAAATGCAGCACTACATGGTCTGCTTCCTTTTAACATGTGTGTACAATGAATATTTGATAAAGCATTGTGAAATTGTTAAGATACTGTGAATTATTTTTAGAGTACACGCAATGTTAATTTTAGTCATAGCCATAGCGTGATTGCTCTCCCACTAACATTCCATGAAAATAATAATTTTCAAATTTATCAGCACTTAATACTGCAGATTATTTGTCAGCATTATTAATGTACTGGTTTAACTCTGCAGCGTCTGTACAAGGAAGTCTATGAAAAGACTAAAGCCAAAGTCCACATTATTCCAGACATGGTAGACATAATTTCTGCTAAGGATGCACAGAAGAAAATCAGTGAAATCGATTACCGCACACATCTCCACGACTGGATCTGTCTACCAGATCTTCAAATCAATTCCCATGTTCGGAAAGTAACAGATCAAGTCAGTGATGTAAGTTCACAAATCATATGTTTGTGGCTCACTTTTAAAAGAGATTCTTGCATTTATACTATCTTGGAGGAAATGACTTAGCAGAAACTTACTTGGAGTACTCTGAAGTTGCCATTTGAATCTGTTACATTATGCACTGCTAAACAGCATCTGTATCATGTTTTTGTAACACCTAAGTGCATAGTTGGTGTGGCTTAATATGCAAAATTTCAGTGTTGTCAGTGTAGGCATTGGGTCATAACATTGCAGTTCTACAGGTTCAGCCATCCCTGTCTGTAAATTGTCCTTTATTGTTTAGTTGCATAAGGTGTGGAAACTTTGGAACTTTGAGAAAATCCTGGTGGTGCGACGCTTCCATGCACTTGCCTTGCATAGGTCAGCACTGTATATCAGCAGTGATCTATCAGTAAATCATTGCCCAGTAGGATATGCAAGTATGATTTTTAATAATTATAGGGTTTTATTTATTGGCCAAATTGAAGAAATGAAGAAAAAATTATTTACATGCCAAATGAAATTGTTTTGATTTTCTCAAACAAACAAAAGTAAAAATACTGGATGTTTTACTTGCCATCTTTTGACAGTTGTGTTTTGGACTGATTTAGCAATAAGAAATTAGATCTTAGTGGAAGTCTTACAGACTGTTGCTTTGCTCTGATACCGTAGGTGATATACAAGGATGATCTTAACTGGCTGAAAGGTATTGGCTGCTTTGTTTGGGATACTCCAGAAATTCTCCATGCCAAACATGCCTACGATCTTCGCAGTGATGTGAGTGGATACACTGGTTTTACTTCTAGGTTTTTTCACTGCACTGTATTAAAAGGATGGAGTAGCTTTATTCTGCCCCAGATATAGTCTGGAAAATGTTCTCTATCCTTGTCTACTGATCTATTCATTAAATAAACATCAATGGTTATTTAAACCTTACTGCTCTAGAAGTATGTATTGTCAGCATACATCTCATTCAAGAAGGAATATATTTTAATACTTCTCGGAAAAGGTGAAATAAAAAAGAAATACTGTTTTAAGTACAACTTAAAATATTAATACTTCATTCAGAACCCTTGAAGTAAAGCAGAAGTGATGAAATTTTTATTTTTTTAAAAATGTCTTTTGATGTTGATTTTATGATTTTTTTTCTTTTCCCCTCCTCTCAAGATCTTAGGACACATCCTTAGTTTATGATTAAGCCATTTGAATGGGAGAATAACTATTCTGGGTTTTGAGAATGTATGTCCTTTCCCAAACCCTGTATCAGAAGTGTGTTGGATATTTGTCACATGGTACATATGCCCATTCTATGAATGAATATTGACATTTTCTAGTATTCCTTGATAAAACTTTTCTGCTGTTCTTATCCGGTGAGGTGCCATGTTCATTTATTTAGCCAGAATTTCAATACACTTTCTCTTTAAATGCTGGTTCACTAATAGAATAGTTCATTAATAAAATAAATAGCAAATATAACAAATATAATAATATATTACATTCCATTAGCAATGACTAGCCATACTAATTAAAGCTCTTGAATTTCTCTTTGCAGATTAAGTACAAATCTAAGGCAGAAAAGATGAAGAATGACTACACTGTGGTCACAGACACTCCTGTCTATGTCCAGAATGTTCTCAGTGGCTTGAATTTAAGTGAAGTAAGTCTTTGTATCACCCTTCAACCCCAATATTGTGTATGCCATTACCTCACAAGTTCTAGAAATGGGATTTTTATCCCATTTTTTAAATAATTTAATTTTAATAATTTAATCATTGTTGGTTATATATAACTCATTGCCTATGCCTTTATTCAGATATGAGAACACAATCACTAAAATCATTAATTGCCTGAATCAAAAAAACTAATCCATTTTTTTAGGAGAAATTCCTGTATGTGTGCAAACAATACATACTGAGAGAATATATCACAGTTAGGACTCTCCTCTAATTGCTTTTTCTTTTTTCTCAGGCTGTTTATCGTAGTGAATATCTGCACAACGTTAAAGGCAAAATGATTCCCACTGATAAAACAGTAGATTTGGAGCGGGCGTATCATGCAAACAAAATACAGAGTGAAGTAAGTATAAAACTTTTGGGTCCACAGGGTTTCTGATATCCAAAATGAAATTCTTTGAAAGTTAATGCCTGTCTTCAGCTTTTCAGATAAAGAAGCTAGATTTCATTGGTCTAAATGAAAGTGGGGAAATGTCCTCATTTAACCTACAAGTATGTGTTATAATGCAGACATGGGGGAAATCACTTGCCAGTTGCAATGACAAGATTTCCTATGCAGCCAATGAACGGTTGTCACAAACTCTCTCTCTTCTGTTGCAGAATTTGTATCGCTGGGCTGGTGTGAATGCTCTGCCCACTGGATACAGCCTTCCCACAGACACCCCCAGCTTTCAGCATGCTAAACATGTCCAATACATTGGAAGTGATGTAAGTCATGTACTAAGCCCTTCCACAACATGAATTGCAAGGGAATATTTGATGCCTGTCATCTATGAGCACACAACTGTGACACTTATTTCTCAGATATGAGACTGCTTTTCAGAGAGCAGCAAGAGTGGGGTAGTTTCATGTGGATGCCTGAGCCAGGAACTGAAGGTGACCATGACATAGGCAATGACCTCATCAGCTGGGGAGAGGTCCCACTATACCTGAATGGGGTGAGCAGATCAGGGTGCTGGTAACACATTGCATCAGTAGTTTCAGACAAGGGGAGGAACCAGGTCTAAGGTCCACCCTTGGGTCCAGTCAGGAGCTTTGGGAAACAGGGCAAACATTGGAGACAAGCTACCTACCACATAGGTCCAAGGTAAATCCAAGAGACAGGGCTAGGACCAAGTTACTGGCAACTTAGGACCAATAATATTTGCCTTAGCAGAATTTAAATGTTACCAAACCGCATAATTACCTGAAGTAATTACTATCAAAATACAGATTTTCTCAAGCAGAATCAAATATCTTATTAGATGTAAGAGAAATTTAAAACATTATTAATCTTGGGCTGCATGATAAAAATGATGATGTGTATTTAACTCTGATATAGCTATATCTCACTTGCTTATCTCTAAGTCTGACTCTTTATCCTGCACAAATTCCTAGCAAAACTGCACTGTAAGTAGAATCATGATCAAATTTAGTTTCTGTATGTTTTGTTCCTTTTTCCACTTTATAGTTGAAATATAAAGAAGCCTATGAACACATGAAAGCTAAAGGCTATACTCTGGGTCCTAAAGATGTTGGGTTTGAAAATGTGAAGAAAGTGAATCAAGTCATTAATGAGGTATGGTAAATATGTTTATTTGCTTATGTTGCATTTGTAGTGACCAAAGTATGAGTAAGGAGAGTTGTAGGATCCCTGTTCTTCGAGGCTTTTAAGAGCTGTGTAGGCAACTATCCATCAAGAAGGGTAAGGGATCATTGATCCCGGCTTGGAGTCAGGCTGTATGGGTTTTTAAGGTATTTTATAGCTCTAACTTTACGTAATTATGTAAAACTGTTACCACAATATAAAATCAGTTGCAGCCTTATTTTATTAACTGATCTGCTGCTACTTAAAGTTGCATAGAAATTATTATATCCGTATGACACTGGGTCTCGATAGTTCTAGATTTTTATGTATATGTACTCATTGGCTTTAATAGGATGAAAATTAAACATCAAAGAATTAAAGTGTCAGATTCTCTGCGTATTAGAGATGCTGCTATCTAAAACAATTGTGGAAAATCTGCCTGTTAGGAAATAGTATGCTTGCTCCCTTTCCTCTAGTAGTTATGCAATACCCAGCAAAAACCCCTTCCCTTATAAAGAAGGTCTTTACTCTGCCAAAGTGCTTGCCATTTTAAGTTTTTAAAATGTAGAATGCTGTCTTCTTTGATACAGAGGTTGTATCGGGCAACATACCACAAGTACAAGGATAAGATTCATACCACTCCAGACACGCCAGAAATCCGTCAAGTCAGAGCAACACAGGAAGCTGTCAGTGATGTATGTATCTTTCTAACATAACCAGAAGAGATTTAGAATATTCAGCATGACCAAACATGAAATGCTGTTTTTCCTTTGTCTTTCAGCTGATCTACAAGTCAGATTTCTTTAAGATGCAGGGACACTTGATTTCCTTGCCATACACTCCTCAGGTGTTGCACTGCCGCTACGTTGGGGACATCACAAGTGATGTAAGCAACATCTTTTAAGATACCTGCTATTTGAATGAAGCACACCTAATGCTTTTATACTGAGAGTGGAGTTTGTCTTCTATCATTTGTATTCTGTTCTGTAATCGATAAATGCTTTGTCGCTGTGTTTAGAGACTGATTAAGGAAATTATCCCAAAAGTTAACTTTGGAGTTTTCTTTTTGTAATTGCCTCAGAATAAATACAAAGAAGATCTGAAGTGGTTGAAGGGCTTGGGCTGCTTCCTGTATGATACTCCCGATATGGTCCGTGCTCGTCAGCTGCGTAAGCTTTGGGTAAGGTTTTATTTCTGAGAACCATGTATAACAAGTTGATTTATTTACATGCATGCTATGTACTTCCAGGAAGTTAAGTACATGAAAATGAGTAAAGGCTTATAACAGAATTTCCTACCATAAAGCTAATTAGTTATTTCAAAGCACCGTTAGGTTACACTGTAAAATTTTCTTTACTACCAAGAATAATAAAAGCTTCCTAAGTAATAGTGTTGTTTTTTTTCCAGTCCAATTATATATACACTGATACTGCAAAGAAGATGTGGGCTAAATGCAACTTAGTATTGGATACTCCTGGATACAGAGCTGTTCAGGAACTAAAAACTCATTTGAGTGAAGTAAGTTCTGTATTCCTTTTGCGCATCTTTGTTAGCTATAATTAAGCTTGGCCCCTCCCACTGTTTTTTTGTTAGGTGTTATAATTGCAAAGCTGTGATTGTTCAGCTGCTGAATGACCATATGCAACAAGAAATAATGCATGGACCTATCTCTTTCCAGCTGGTTTATAGAGCTGCAGGCAAGGAGCTGAAGACAAAATACACTTCCATCCTTGATACACCTGACTTCTTGAGAGCCAAGCAAGGACAGAAAATACAGAGCCAGGTGAAAAATTTGTTCTGATTTAAAAAAAACAAACAATAAACCAAACCAAAACAGTCAGGGTATCCCTCTTAATATACTGTTAAAGTACAGCAAAATCTTTCCAGGCCATTTCAAAGCCATGTAGAATTAGGACATCTATAATGACTGTTGCTCATTGTTATGTGGCTATGAATTTTTGTGTTGACCATGTCTCTATAATGGACATGTTCAGCTTTGTTTATGTGAAATAGAGCACTGAACTCTGGTTCAAATTCTCTAAACCTCTGACTTCATTAAAGGCATAAATATTTTTTATTGATCTGCCTTTATTCATCATATTTTTTTTTCATTCATATTCTAGCTCGTTATCTGAATTCATGGCTACAAATATTGTGGAATTTTTAAAGTTGTAGAACAAAGTGAATATGCTCATGAGAGAAAAGCAGACCTTATGGATGCTTTTATTTAAACCTAGGAATGCATGTAGGGCAGAGAGGTCATTAATGTCACATGTATCTGACTTCTTGGTTTGTAAACATGTTACTGGCAGTTACATAGCATCAAGAGTACTGCTAGAGAAAGGTGAATTGAGATAGCATGGAAAAGGAAAGGGCACAATATTTTTTCCTGGAATAAATTGTGTGGTCATGTACACATTGTGAATTTACAGGCATTTTTCGGAGAGATAAGGTAAAACTTAGCTAAAATGTAATATTTTTTTTCTTTTTTTTTGTTTTTTTCTTGCTGCAGTACTTGTATGTGGAACTTGCCACAAAAGAGAGACCCCATCATCATGCTGATGGTCAGACACCAGCCTTTACGCATGCTAGGAATATAAAGGACATGGTCAGTGAGGTAAGATATCTGGATTTGTTTTTGTTTGGTACCACTATGCTCAACTGTTTGAAAGTTCTATTTCTAATTTCAAGGCTTAAATCTGTTTATCCTTCATTTAGTTTTCTGTCTCTTATGCTTAAATTCCACATTTCTTTTTTAAGTTGTGGTAAGACATTACTCTTTTTAAATATGTTTTAGTATTTTATAAGATACCTGCTTGTAGGTGCTTTTTCGCAGAATCTGAGGTACATTGGCTGCAAGACCAGGAACCTAGAAAGAGCTGACCCACTAAGCTTGTTTCCCAGAGTTTTGACAGAAACGCTTTGCAAGAGTAACTTTGTGCACCCAGTGTAGCACCCCTGCGTGTTACTGTAACATCAGATTAGGAAATGCTTCTAATATTAAAGGTATATCTTTTTCCTTTTGCTGTCTTCCTTAGAAAAAGTATAAAACCCAGTATGAGAAGATGAAGGACAAATACACGCCTGTTCCTGACACACCAGTCTTGATCAGAGCCAAGAGAGCGTACCTGAATGCCAGTGATGTACGTAGTCCACGAACACTTCCACTGCTGTTTGGTTTTGTTTTTTTTCTTTACAAAAAGCACAGAAAAAAGATCAAAGGGAAACAATTATGCAGAGCCTAGGCTATCTCACTGTGTGTCATCAACTAGGTCACCCCGTTTGCATGTGCATTTCCATTTGATATTACAGAGATTATTATATTTTTACTTGATGTCACTGAAATGCTTTTTTGTCATTTATTGTAATTATTTTTCATTTTCTGTTGCACTGCAGTGTGGTTTACAAAAAGAAGGAATATATTTAAAGTAATACACATACAATCTCTGAATAGTGCAGACTGGATTGAAATGATTGATGCTAGAGCTAGGATAGAATGTCTTTTGTCAGGTATTTTCCTCTCAGATTTGTGTTAGAAGTTGCACATCACTGAGAGTGTGCTCATTTTTAAATTTAGAAAAATGATCTGCACGTTAGGTTACTAAGGTGAAATTGATCTTTCCTTCAAACGTGTAGTAATGGTCTGTGATTTAAGGCAATAGCTAAATGTACTCAACTCGTTCATGCGGTCTTTGCTATGTATTTCAGACTACATGTTGTATTCTGAAAGCGTATGTGCTAGGCTGGTGTTTTGTTCTAGTGATAAGTCTTACTGCTCTCTTAAGAATGATTTTTAAATAATGCACAGGGGCATCCCAGTTCTTTTGCACGCCTGAATTTCTCCTCCAAGAAAGTCTTTCTCCAAAGTGGGATACATAGGAAAGTAGGTTTTTTATGCCAAAAGTGGCACTTTCGCTGTTCTTGAAAATAGTCCCGTGATACATGGAGAATTTTTTTCTTGGTCTTCAGTCTGAAAGTGAAATGCATGAAGTGTTGCTTTAGATGTACTGACTCTTTTTTCCTCAAATTTTCACCATAAATCTTGTTCAAATTAAAATTGATAGTAGGCAATTGGAGCTTCTTAACAATATAATGTATTATTTTCTATGTCATTTTTCTTAACAGTTGCGATACAAAGAAACCTTTGAGAATACTAAGGGCAAATACCACACAGTGAAAGATGCTTTGAATATAGTCTATCATCGAAAGGTCACCGATGATATTAGCAGTGTATGTATCCAACATTCTCATTCCTAATTAGTGTTTGTCATTTAATAACCTAGAATATGCCAGGTGTGGCAAATAATTATAAAATATGGTCAGCATTGTTAATACTGACTTCTTTCCTTTCTTGAAATGTGTACTTGATTGCCTTTGATATTACAAAGGTGAATGTAAGTTAATCTCATTTCCACTGGTTTAGTTCTGCTGTTTTAGAAAAAGAATTGTCTTGAAACTGCATGGTCTGGAGTGCTCTCTCCGCAAATCATTTTTCCTTCATTCTTCAATTTTCTTTGTAGGTGAAATATAAGGAAAATTACATGAGCCAGTTAGGAATTTGGAGATCGATCCCAGACCGACCAGAGCACTTCCATCATCGCATAGTCACGGATGCTATTAGTGATGTGAGTTCACTTACTTCTCAGATGAGAAATGTTGAAAGTTATAAGCAGGTTCCCAAAATGAAAGCCAACTCTTATTTCTTAAGAAAGAGAAGGCAGCTGAAATTTTTTAAATGATTCACAATTTCACCAGGTGGATCTGTGAAATGAAGTAGCAAATCAGATGGCCCATCTGCTTTTGAAATTACCTGAATAGTCTTAATGCATTTCATTTGTGTTTGCTTAGATTTGTTTGTTAACCCTTTAACAATTGTACACATCTGTGCATGCACAATAACTCTTTAATTGTACAAGAACAAATGTTTTTTAATTCGCACAGGAACTCCAGTAGCTAGTGATAGGTTAGGAATGTGAATAATCTGAGTCCATCAGAAAAGTATGAGTAACTGTAATGTATTTTACAATGCAATAATTATGGATGTAGCTCTGTTTGCTGCACCTTGTGTTGAGGTGCCATTTCAGCATTGTTCAGCTGTAACTTAGTGCTGCTTAAAACTGAATAATTTTATTTCTTTTCTAAAGGTTAAGTACAAGGAAGACTTATCATGGCTCAGAGGCATTGGCTGTTATGCATGGGATACTCCAAGTTTTGCTCTGGCAGAGCAGAATAAGGTGCTCTACAGTGGGGTAAGTAAACAAAGTCCAAATTGTTACTAAATGTTTTGTGATGTTTGCTTATATTGTAGATACAATTTTTCACAGGAGAATCCACTTCTGACCTAGATGTTGATATGTTGTATTTATGATAGAACTTAATATATAGCATCAATAATTTCAGTAAATGAAAACAGTAGAAAAGAAAACAGAGGCAAAATGATCTTTTACTTACCCCCTCTGTTCATTGCAAGGCTGTCAGTTCCACAGTAATTTTTCTAGTGATTCTAAGTCTAGCTTTAAAATTATGAAGACGTGGCATTCCCATTGCTTTCTTGATGTAATAGTTCCATTCTGCAAAATACTACAGTTACAACTAATTTTTGTTTGTAGATATGGAAAACGCACTTATGCGATAATTCTGCCATAGTTTTGCTGCAGGTTGTTTCTAAGTTGTACATTTTCATTGCTTTTCCCTTCTTTGGATTAACACTGGAATGGGTTTTTATGTGTGGTTTTTTTGTTTTTCTTCCAGTGTAAGTACAAGGAGATGTTTGAGAAGACTAAGTCTCATTTTAAGTATGTAGCTGATTCTCCAATTAATGAGCACTTTAAATATGCAACTCAGTTGAGGGATATGGTAAGTGTTGAAGATTCCCATAAAGTCTCATACTGACATAGGAAGTGGGTATATGTCAATACCAAGCTAAAGGTTGATATTCCTTATGAAATTTTATATAAAATATATTCAGGTTTAAGGCTGTTTTAAGGTCAGACTAAATCCATGAAAAGGTTGTTCTTAGTGTCTGTCTGAGTGTTAGGACTGGGCAGGTTTACAGTCCCTAAAAACTGAAATCCTAACCCCTGTTCCATTATTTTATCATTGCAAAGAAACTTCTCCTTTGCTGACAGGTAAATAAATGGTAATGTAAATAATGCTGCTTGCCTAGTAACACTGATTGTCATGTGAAAAAGGTGTGGAGAGAATTACAACTTTTCTGAAACACTGGAAAAAAAGAACTTCATTAGTGTTGGGAAGGTAATATGCCTGAAGTTACCACATCTCTCATTTCAGATATTTTGTGTTGAATTCTCCCACTCTACTACTTACTTTTGCTTACTTTTCTCCTGCAGTGCTAAAGAAACAATGAACACAACATAGTAGCAAAAGGGGTTAATTAATGCCCCTGTGTTTAAAATCAGCAATGGAGTTTCTAGGAGTATTGTGGTACTCCCACAGGACAAAGTCCATTGAAAAGCATGGTGTTCTAGATGAATTCTCATCAGCTTGGTGTTGGCATACCATACTGATACTTTTCATTGAAGTAGTGTATAATTAGACTCTCGCATCTTGAGATGTGATCTTGATACGTTATTCTTTTTCACCAAATATTGTGTTAAATTGTTTACCGGTCAGTGAATGCATTACGGTATACCTGTTCTAGGTCAGAAAAACTGTTTCACAACAGATACCATTCCAGTACCATTGCTATAATTTCATACTCAATTTGATAAGTAGTGAACTGGAGTTTCGTATGGAAGATTATTAATATTCAGTTTTTCCTTATTTGCTCTACCAAACAATAAGAAAACTTAATATGAAAAACATAAATGAGTAAAATTTTAGCAATGGGGGGCTCCATAAATTGAGAGGAACTTACCTTAATGTCTTCTGTTATGTAGTGATGTTTTTTGTGATGAGGGATTACAGGTTTTTCTTACAAAACGTCTGATGATAGTATAAGATTATATTTTACTCTTTTATCTCATTGTGTTCTCTTTGTACTCAAATCAAGAATCTAGTTCTATACAGGGTTGCTTCTGTAATTATTTTTCCTGGAAAAGTAAGTCATAAAATGGCTTATTGAAGAGTGGCAGAGTTAGAATATAGGTATCCTTAAACTGTAGATGGGGTCTTCCAGTGGAAATAGAGAAATGCATGTACTATTTGCAGATACTTCCTCTTTTTGCTGTTGGGTTGGTTTGTTTGTTTTATGTACATATATATATTTCTCTTTTGGATATGAACTTCAATTGCAGCCTTTAAACAGTTCATATAAAGAGATTTCAATGGATAGAACTGTAATCTTTTTGGGTCTTCACTTCTGATTTGTTACAACATATTATATTATTCTGAGCAGAAGTTATATAAAGCTACCTATGAGAAGCTCAAGGATAAGTACAGTGTTATTGTGGATGATCCTAAGAACCTCCTGGCCAAGTGGGCGACTACATTGAGCAGTCAGGTACTGTAGGAGCACTAGCCAGTGCTACCATAATGTGCTGGGTTCACTCACAGCTGTTCTGTGTGGTATGTCTATGGCTAGCAGTATCATAGGTTTCACCTGTGATGTTGTGATGTTTTAGTTCATTTGAACAGACAATCTTTCTTTGCTACCCAAAAAGAATTAGTACTTTTTGAGTGAGCTGATTTCTACCGTATGTACTTTGATATGTTGTGCATCAATTGACGTCAGGAATGTAATGCCTCTTAAAGTCATTGGAGAGGTTTTAAAAAACAAATACACTATCATGCATCTATTTTTTATTACCTCTCTTTTAATGAGTTTTACAAGCATTATCTTCTTACTCATATCTAGATGAAGCAACAGTGACATATTTGGCTTTTGAGTGCCCTCACATTAATCTAAAATTTACTCTTTTCTCCCCAAAATAACTTTTGTAATTTCCTTAATGGTATAGTATGCAAATCTTATAATATATACTCTTGACATTAATTACATAGATGTAACCTGTATGCACATCTGTAGTACATACATATATACAGAACCTTGCCTAACTCCTTCCACTCTCGAGGTGTCTGGGATCTAGAGCTTTGTTGCTGTTCATGGTGTTCACAAGTCTCTCTTGTGCTTCATTGCTGTTTGCACTCTGCCTGACCTGCATGTTCATCTGGATTGATTTCATGTGTTGCTTGTATGTAATTATATACAGTTTTATGTTTTTTCTGTCACAGTCCTGTTTCAAAAGCAGGGTTTTATTTTTTGATGCAAGATAGAGCATGAAAGTTCTTTATTAAAAATGTGTTCTACCATCTTCCACCTGCCATCAGGCTGTCTATGGTGTATTTCCGTTCTCGCTGTACAGTTTGTTCTCACTGAATTCTGTGAAAACAGGCTTAGAGTCCTGAGTAGCGCAAGATGATATTTAAGAATGACATTATCAAGACAAAAATCCTCTTACCAAAGCCTTTAAAATATCCTAGCATTATGATATATTCAGTGAATGTTTTTATCTTCTGTTTTGTAAGATCTTTTACATTTCTCCTCATTATAATTAATATTTTTAAATGAGATATTGTCCAGTTAATAATTTTAAAAATCAGTGGTCTGCTGAGATTGCTTTTTTAGCTCAATCCTGGAGATAAAGAATAGAAGTGAAGCAGCTTGAAATAAACATAAAATTAATCACGTGAATAGATAAGCAGCCTCTTAAGGAAAAAAGGGGGTTGCAAAGTTTCAGTTATTGTGCATATTCAGCTTTCATTGGCTTTGGCGGAAGGATTTTGCAATTTTTTGTATTAATATAAATGTATCTCCTGAAGATGTTTTGTCTTGGTTTGTGTGGTTAACATACAATCTTTCCCCATCACCAGGTTCAATACAAAAAGGACTATGAAAAGAAGAAAGACAAGTACACTATCGTTGTAGATACTCCAGAACACTTAAGGACTACAAAAGTCAACAAACAGATTAGTGATGTAAGTGTAGTCAGTCCCTCTCAAGCATACCTCCTTCTCTCATACCTTTGAAGAGGGATAATTAACAAGATGGCATTTACAGTAGTCCATTATCAGATGTTTCTTCTCTTAATTTTTTTCAATCTTGATGCAAAGACTGTCAACAAATAATATAATCTATAATTAATGTCTTCAGATTATCTATAAATTGGAATACAACAAAGCGAAGCCAAGAGGCTATACTACAATCCATGATACACCTATGTTACTGCATGTGCGCAAGGTGAAGGACAGAATAAGTGATGTAAGTAAATCATCTGTGTCGGTGGTGTCAAAAAGACATAATTAACTTTTTACTTTGATCTGAAATGTTTATAACTCATAAGTAACAATGTAATTAAAAAATAGCTTCTTGTTAGAGTGTAGTTAATTTTATTTTCATGAAAGCTGTCTATGCATTCAATGCTTTTTCAAAATACACAGCAGAATATGAAAGTATTCAGGAAGTTTTTCATGTAATGTTCTTTGGTGAATCTTGAAACATTTTTGGTGGGGTAGAACAGTTCTCACTAGTAATAAAAGCCATGAGCTAGAGCTGGTATCTAATTAAAGCATGAATTCAGGGAGTTTGTTTTTAGGTTTTCTTCCTCTATTGGCCAGTGGCTTTTGTGGAGCCTTGTATAAGGTTCTTAATACATTACTGTGTTTATTAATTTCTTCTATGGATACTATGGATATGTAAGGTAAATATTCTGATCTAAAATAAATATGTGTTTTGATTATGGGGCAGTGGAAGGCTAAGAAGAGAGAGAAAGGAACATGAAGTGGAGAGAATATCACAGGATTTGGGAGTCCTGGTCCTAAATCCTCCTGCTACCCAGGCTTTCTCTCTGACATTTGTGGTGTTGTTTCTCGGATATCCGTAAATAAAATGAGGATACTAGCAATTCTGTAACTCAAAATAGTACCACGACAATATATACTACAATAAGCGTGAAAGTTATTCACATGCTACGTGGATGATCTATATGAGTCAATCTAGGAGGAAAAAATAACATATTGTCCAGCTACTAAGGTGGATCAATAAGAGACAAAGGTGTCCAAAAGTGATCTGTGAATTGACATACATTTTTTCTGTTCCAAACTGAATGCTGAATTTGATATTCTATACAGGAGTTTTCAAAAAGCAACGATTGCGCCTATCAGAAGATAAGTTTTTTTAAAGCATTTCTGTTAGGTGCCAAAAATTAGAAAAGGGCAGAATTACTGTTCATGTGCAGGTTTTGCCAAATCTGTGTGCTTCATAGTGAGTTATACCTGCTACAGTTTCTATTAAGAGAGAACTGCAGCTGAAGAGGACCCTTCTTTCATGCAAATGGTTCATACTAAGTTGTATTGTTATAATTCTTTTTTCTTTTGTTAGGATTTTATCTTGTCATGAGCAGTTTTTAATATTATGGTTTTCATATTCGGATGCTTTTCTTGTTTATGATATTATGTCTGTGAACATTTTTTGTTTGTCTTTTTTTAGCTGAAATACAAAGAAATGTATGAGAGGAATAAATCTCACTGCAATGTCGTAGCAGATTCAGTTCATATTAAGACTCCCAGGCATGCTTACAAGCTAAACAGCAATGTGAGTTCAGCTTTATTAATACTTTAATTTTATTTTGGGTAGTTTTTGATACTGGCAACGGAGACCATAAGAAATTATTTTCAGTTCTGTTGAATTTTTTTGAGCTTGGACATCGCTTCTAATTCTTACGCTGCTTGAATAAAATACATTTTATTTTATTTCATACTAAAGGGTGCACTCATTCAAGTTGTTCCTTGAGGTCGCTTGAGGTCTTTGTATGTCACACATCTATTGTTCTCCTGACAGACTTAACCGTCCCAGAAATTCTCTGTGATCTTGTTTTGTAGACTAAGTAAGCTCTTCATGGGAAGCTCTCCGATGTTTTCCATTATTGATGGCCCAACATCCACTTCAGTCGGCAAGGAATTGAAAACACTAGCTTTCTTCAAAGTCTTGACATCTTTTCAGTCGTTCATATTCCTTTCTTAACTTCACAGTGGAAAAACTGTAGTAAATGGACTCCCCCTAGATTGTAAATGATTCAGAGGAAAGCCTTAGTTTGATGTAGATGCATTTTCTTACCTCTTCTCTCTTTAATTGGTAGAGACTGAAAGAGAATTTGCATATATATGAATGTCATGTGTAAGTACACAACTTCCAATTAACTTCCTTTTTTCTTGTTGTTTCACTATAAACAGCTGGATTATAAAAAGAAATATGAAGCAGCCAAGGCTCATTGGCACTGGATTGCTGATAGGCCTGACTTTGTTCAAGCAGCCAAGTCGTCTCTGCAACAGAGTGATGTAAGAAAATCAGAGCAAACTGAATACTCCCTTTCTCCACATTTCTCATGTTCATAATAATAATAATAAAAGTAGAAGATTTGAGACTCTGCTTTATATTTTATTTTTTCTTCCTGCAGTATGAGTACAAACTGGACCGGGAAATCCTAAAGGGATGTAAACTCTCTGTCACAGATGATAAAAACACAGTATTGGCCTTAAATAATGCCATCTTGGCGAGTGATGTAAGTACTTGAAACACTCTGGTTTTTGTTCTACTAGAACTTTACTTACTATCTGAACTACTTTATTGGAAATATGATTGGATTAAGAATGAAGCTTTAAGAAGTTGTTTTTAGTCTCACTTCATTATTTGATTTGACTTATTTCATTAACCATTTGGCAAAATCTGAAAAAATTTGGTCCTGTAAATGTCACTGGCCTAGTTCATGGATTAAATAAGTACTCTAAGTTAGCATTGCCTGAACACCCTAGACCTCTGGCATATCTCTGCATTCCTGTTATTTAAATGCAAATACTGTGAAGAAAACAAGAAAAGCTGCACGTGTAACTTATGCATAACACAAAGTATCTGTAAGAATTCCTAACAATATATGAAAAGTCAATATTCAGTATATAAATATTAATAAAATTCTAAGGGAGAGCTATAGGAATATATAGACTGGAATGAATTTATCCTGGAAAACATCAGAATATGGGATTTTCTGCAAATTTTTGCACTAACAAGCAGGCACAAGTATCAGAATTTCTTTTTCAATTGACAGAAGACAAAATGCACATTGCTTAAAATATCTTTTCTTCTCACTAGATAAAATACAAAGAGAAGCACAACAAAGCTCGAGGGTCATACCTTGTGGTTCCAGATACACCTCAGATCCTCCTGGCTAAGAATGTCAGCTCTCTTGTATCTGAGGTAAAATACCAGGGAGTTATTTGTTCATATTAAGTATATCCTTTTAATATGGGGGGCAGGAGAGCAGGACTTGCAATGTTGTGGGGGTTTTTTAACCTATTTTTATTCTATGCTTTCAGAACAAATACAAAGAACACAGCAAGAAGCAACTTCCACATGGGTCTTACACAACCCTGCCCGAGACACGAGACACTGCTCATGTGAAAGAGGTGACCAAGAATGTCAGTGAGGTAAGTAACTACTGTGATAACAATTTGTGGTGAGATTATTACCTGCTGCCTGTAAATGATTAGACACTTGCATGGTTTAGTATGCATGCAATACATTCAGAGTCTCATCATAAAATGCCAAGAAGTCAGAAAAGATGAATTCTGACTAGAATGAGACTTTAATTTTAGAGCTAAACACATTTATTGGGTTTCTGTTGAAATACTCTGGAGAAAAGTAGTGGGTTGGAGTGCTAGTGGGTGCCCTTCATTCAGATTATATTTTTCGTAGGACTGAATTTAAGTACAAATCATTATCTCCAAATAGCAAGCTTTTGTAATCTAAAGTGCAAATTATGACCAACATAAAAGAAGCTGAGGACCATACATTTTGAGACTTGAGGAGGCTGTATTTTGTCTGTCTTAACAATTTCAGTGTGTTTATTTCCAAGTTTTAGTAGCATTTGCCTCCATGTGAAATTAAAAAAATCATACCTGACTCTTATTATTCTTAACAGACAAACTATAAAAAGAAGTTTGTGAAGGAGAAAGGCAAATCTAATTATTCTGTCATGCTGGAGCCTCCTGAAGTGAAACATGCTATGGAAGTTGCTAAAAAACAGAGTACAGTAAGTTTGTCTTGTCTTTTCATAAATTAAGTAGCGCGTGTAAGAAAATTTAGTCAACATCAGCTGGCAAATCTGAAGTTCACATACTCCTGATTTCCTTCCAGCCTCCACGTTCAGGTGTAATTTTGACAGATAATGGTGCAACTATTTACAAATCTAAAATTGCACTGAAATAAAGGATTTCTTCTCAAATCATATTTCTACTTAATCACATGGTAGTATTTAAAACAATCAAGTGCAAATCACATCTGATTTTTTTTTTTTATTCCTTCAGACAGAATTGTGTATGCTTAATTCTTTGTTTCTAGGCAGCTTGTGAAAAAGTTTCCAAAATCCATTCCTTGTGAAATTATTTAAAAATAAACAAACCACAAACATACAAACCCCATGCACTTTACTAGCAACATTGCTGTGTCCTTAATAGACATATTCTTCATGAGCAAGCCTCAGTAATTTTCTTTCCTTTTTCTATCTTCAACGGATTAGATTGAATACAAGAAAGATGCCAAGTCAAAGCTCCACTATACACCTATTGCAGATCGACCAGATATTAAGAAAGCAACTCAGGCTGCCAAGTTAATTAGTGATGTAAGTGTTTTTTAAGTCTTCTGTATTTCTTATCAGTAATTTTACTGCTAAAACCAGTGTCAGTGAAACAATTAAAAGGGAAAGTCATCAAGACTAAACTATACTTTTTTTCTTTGTTAGATTGAATATAAAAAGCGTGGAGAAGCTGGCATTGGTGTAAGCATGCTAGGACGTCCAGATATTGAACTGGCAAAGGAGGTGTCCAAGCTAACTAGCCAGGTAATAATAAAAAGTTAGTTAAACTTTGAAGCAATGAGAGAAATGTGACATGCTATTAGTTTACAGAGTAATGGTAATATTATAGATGAAATTATTTCTGAGTTAGGGAATAAAGGAATATTTCAAAGGGAATAAGTTAAACAAAAAATTTAATTCCAATACTAAGTATTTCTTTGTTAAATAAACTTTTCTACTGACTTAGTAAATACCAGTAGTAGAGTTATAGAATCTCCTTAAAAAGATGCTGTGACGAGGTCTTTTAAATACTAAGGCTGAAGTGTTAGCCATGTTATCTTTGTTTTTTAGTTTTTCTGTTTATTGGCTTTAGAAGAATCAGCCTTTTCCCTAACTCTTAATATCTATCCTTTATGAGATGGACATTAACCCTCATTCCTTTTACTTTGTGCCTTTAAAAGAATCTTCTAGCTTCTGAAGTTAATATGTTACGTTAACAGGAACTTGCTCACTTCTATACAATGGTCACGTTCTCCAGGCAGTCCAAAGTACATGCTTGTAATTTTTTGTGACAATTTTTTCTGCCAGGACTTCAGTTCAACTTCGTTCTTTCTCAACCCTTCATGTTTTAAAACCTGTAGTTGTTTGCATTTCTGATCTTGCTTTCTTGCTACACATTATAGGCAGAATACCTCAAACGACATATGAGAGGGCATGGAGCTGCATCTTATGATACCCCATGGATGAGAACCTTTAAGAAAGCTAATATGCTAAGTAGTCATGTAAGATCATTTTAAATGACAGATCTGGGACTGCCGTTTTTATGCATCTGTCTCTTGCTTGCATATTATCTTACAATTCCAACTTGTTAAAGGGTTTATGATGCACCAGTTGAATGGATCTTTTTGCGTCAAAGGTGTTGAATGTAGCAGAACTCGTGAGACTGCTTGGTTAGGTATAACCTTTTGGTTTTCCCTCTGGAATGTTGGATGGTGAATAGGAATTCTGTGGGTGAGGAATTTGCCTGTTTCAGAAACACCACATGAAGCTTGAGACATTATTATGCCCTTTGTAATTGTTTAGGAACTTCCAGTAATTTTAATGAAATTTTCTGATGCACTTACGCAATGTTAAAACTCACCTTTTTCACCCTCAAAACCACTAAAACCAGACTTACAAGCTTGAGCTGGTTTTCCTGAAACTGTGCAAAAAATGGAAATATATGTGTATGAAAATCCCAACCAGTGGTGCTGGTAATTTCCAGTAACTAGTCATAACATATGCATAAGATTCACACTAGAACTTCATTTTGACTATTCAGACTTCAAGTGTCTATTTAAACTATTCTGTTCACATTATGTTGGACATGGCATAAAAAAATTAAAGCATAGTGTATGAATCAGCTCCATGGCCTCTGAGAAGTGTACCTTGTAGTGATTTTGGGGCACATAGTTTCTTATATTTCTTGCCATGACAAAACCTTTGGAAAATAGAAAAATAGTGGCTGCATAGCAGTTTTTAAAGTGGCAACAGATAGGTCTGTGCCATTTCAGTTTTACACATGTATTTCCAAATGAAAAGAAAGGGGGATTATGTTTTTTCCATGTCTAGCCAAGACTGCTGCATGTAACTGTCGCATGTTTGAATGTCAGCCACTCGGTGTGTCAGGATAAGCAAGAATCTTTTCAGTAGAACCAACGATTCTTAAGCTGAACATTTGAACTACAAGAAAAAGAAGAAAGTATGTATATTCCCATTCGGTGATAACGAGGTCTTACTTTTCCATACTTCTGTTCCACTAGCTGGTTCTCCTCTTAGTCTTATAAATGTGCTTTGCTGAGATCATTTTGGTTCTCAGAGAAATTAACTATTGTAGGGGCAGTAAGGGAGCAAAGAAAAATTGGAGCAATCTTTTTTTTTTCTTTGAAGCATTTCTTCTGATAAACTTCTCTTAATATAAAGGATTATGTCCGGTTTGTTTGTCTTGTTTGCCATTTTTTAGTTGGATTCAGTTGGACCTATCTGGCATGCTTCCTTTTAATTTTGCAGAATAATTGTTTCTTCTGGGCTTAAAGAAAGCAAACTCTTTGGCATGATGGTCTGATCTTGATAATATGTTGCATAGCTTGCAAAACCTAACAGATTCAAGTATACTTCTGCTTGGTTTTATTTTTTCTGAGGTCAGAACCAATACTAATTCCTTTCAGAATATTAGTATTATTTGTTTTGTTACAGCAGCTATATAATTTGTGGATTTGGCTATTTCACTATGAGTTTTATCTGAATGTGGCATATTTTGTCAAGCAAAACCACAAAAGTAGTATGCACCATGAGCTATATGGTTCTATATGAACAAGAATATGACAATGAATTCAAAGTGTAAAGTGTGATTGTGGAACATGATTTAATTCTGCAATCATATTTCTTTCTTAACTAATACAGAATTATCTGTTTATCTTTCTGTAATTGTCATTACATCCAGTAAATCATGAGTCATCTCTTCTTCAACTTCCTTACCAGTTCTTCAATATTTTACTTCTTTATTTATTTTACTTGGAGTTTCTCTTGCACTCTTCAGTAGCTCTTCTGAAAAAAAAATTATGCATCTCTGATAGCAAAAAAAAAAAAAAAGCAAGCAATAAACCCAAAGTATTCCTATTGGAACCATCCCTTTTCTAGGTTTACAAGCAATAGTGAGGAATTAGCATTTATCTGCACCTGCAGCAATGGAATAGCACAAGTCATGATGGAAGAAGACCTTGCCCTCGTTTAAGTCATTAGCAAAACTCTCATTCCTACCAACACTTCTGTGCCTCCAGCTGGATTATCATGGTTTACATCACTATGCTTTCCCTTAGTGATGTTAATGTGGTTTGGAAGTGTTACTAACCCTCTTGCATAACCTAATTCCTAGTAATTAATTGTATCGCTATTCTGTTTGTGATAATTAGCATCCTTCTTCATCTCTGATTTATGCAGAACATGCTATATGTGCATAACATATATAAATGTATTTGATATATTGCTACTGTCAGTGCTTGTATGTCTTGAGGTAGTTTTTAAAGCTGTCATTTCTCCAAGAAGGACATAAAAATACTTTTGAATACTCTTTAAATTATTTTTATAGTCTTTAAATTCTTTTAGTACTCTTCAAGAGTCAGCTCTTGTCTCTGTGAAATAAGGGTATCTTTTATCTATGCACAGTTCCATCAAGTGAAGTATTCTTCATCTCCAGAATTTAGCTGTATTTTATCTCCATAAATCTCTTGACTACGTCCGTGATTTTTACCATGAGGAGACGTAAGCTGTGCACTGAATGAAAAATTGCAAGTGGTATTTTGTAAGTAGAGATGTAGATTTCTTCCCATGTCAAGTCATCTTTAAAATAGCCTTTATTCCAGTGGATATCTTCAAGTTGCTAAAGTTTTGTTCTTCTGCTTACTATCAGTACTGAAGTAGGGACTCTGCCTTCTGCAGCCGACGTGAGCACTTAAGATCAATTGTAATATCCGTTTGTTTTTAATTTAGGTGAAATACAAGGAGAATTTTTCCAAAGAGATGGGTAAAAAGCCAAAGTATGATTTAAAGGAGGCTAAAATCTACAAGACCATGAAAGATGCTCACAACTTGGCTAGTGAGGTATGTTTACTTACGCTTTTCCCTTAGGGAAATTAAAAGTTTCAAATTTTTTTAACGAAGACCTCCTTTATGTTCTTAATGCATCCAACATCACCAGTTTTACTAGCAGTTGTCTTTTCTGATGATGTTTGTCCTTTCTTACCGGCAGGTGAAATACAAGGCAGATTTAAAGAAACTTCATAAGCCTGTCACTGACATGTCTGAATCGCTGATCATGAACCATGTCCTGAGTACAAGCCAGCTCGCCAGTGCTGTAAGCTCGTTAATTAATCCCAGACTTGTTTGTTTTTTCCATTACTGTTGATTCTATTCTGAAATGATCTCTGCTAAATACTTCTGTAACAGTTACTCCCTCTGCTATTGTTCATGGGATGTCACCTGGTAGTGATCTCTTCCTCTACTTTCTAATGATTATTTCCTGTTAACTAGCAATTTTGCCACATTTGTCCTCTGGGAAGTCAAATATTTACCAGCTGCGGAACTGCTAATATTTTAAATCCTCTTTATTACATTTTAACTGATTGCATTACACTAACAAATACCATCTTCTTCTCTTTTTTTTTTGATTTTTTTGTCTTATTTACTGCTTGCTATATTTAATTTTTTTATTTTTGTCTATTTTTTTCATTTCATATTTATGCTTAACATCCCCCTGGTGTAGACGTACAGAATCATGCCTAACAAAATACTCGATAATTTTACTGAGAAAAGTAAAAAAATCATTATTGCCTAATGCAGCTTTTTCATGTATCCACTGTGTTTTCTTTTTTTCTTTTCTTTTTTTCTTTAATTCTGGTTTTGAAAAAATCTTTGTTTCAATCAAAATGGTCAAAAAAAAGTAACTGTTTACCTACATCTTTAGAAGTTTTATCTGATACTGGGAATTAAACATCTTGCTTTTGTTTTACTTTTCGCATTTCTAATTTCTCTTGATGTTCCATTGAAGTGTTGCTTTGATTGGACCTAACAAATAAATTTGCTGGGGGATAATTTTTTTTGTTATTGAGATGATTTTTGACACCTTCCCCTCAGTACCAGTACAAGAAGCAATATGAGAAGAGTAAGGGTCACTACCTTGTGGTGCCAGATAATCTTGAACAGGTTCATCTAAGGGAGGCATCAGAACTACAGAGCCACGTAAGTTGGTCAGCTGTTTCTCATTAACCCTACTCACTGAGTATCAGTCTCCATCACTGAAGTTGTCCTAGCAAATTCTCCAAAATGTAATAACCTCTCTGCCTATCCACTTTATGAGCACTGCACACCTGAGTAAACACATCAATGAGAAATATTTGCACATTTGCAAGTTTAGAAAAAACAAAATATCTGAATGATATCTTCATCCTAGAGTAGATCTCAGAGTTACTTATGACTGTTGTATATGCATCTTTTTACACAGTAAAATATATTAATTTGGGTGATTTTGTCTGTAAAAAAATGACTTGGTAATCACAGAAAATGGAAATTGAAAGAAGTAGGGTTGTTGCTGACAGTATATTTTCAACTGCTTTATCCATTCTAGCCTCATTCTGCATCCAAAATCGCTTTAACCAAAACAATAGCTACAACTGCTATTAAATGTGTCCAACATTTTTCCCCTCTGGAATACAGCAAATGGTGGATTATTCCAGAGGAATTCATACTCTGATTTGGTCTCTATTCCTCTTTATTCCAGGTTCTATTCCAGGTATTTATTGACTGTAAAGCAAAGAGAGAAATTACTGCTAGAATGCAAAGGGCTATAGTTACTGTTCTGCTGCATGGCATGGAAGAACAAAAACCTTACATAGCAAAGGACTATAAGGAAATGGTTGTGAATAGGTTTGTAGTTAAAGTCACTACTTGTTGCTCCAGTTTGAGATCAGGATGTATCTCAGGCAAAGACATAGCATAAGCTCATGCAGGAGTCTGAAAATTGATGCCCTAGAGGCTGATACTGTAACTTGAAGCAAGAATATCTTCATCCTTGTGAACATTTTAGTTAGCAAGTTACTAAACTACATCTTTTCATTCCTGCTGCTAACACTCCAGCAATCTGTATAATACTTGGTTGTTTACACAGCAATCTATATAATACCTAACATGTAACTGGCTGAACTCAGCCAGGGCCATGAGCAGTCTGAGTGCTTGCAAGTTAGATTTTTATAGCTACCTGTCTTCTTGAAATCTGAGCTAACACTGCTTATTCTTTGCAACAAAAGTCAGTAGAATTTTAGGCCACACATGTTGCTGCAAGCCTGACCTTTGTTTTTTACATTTTATTGACAATAATACAGATTTCAGTATTAAACATTAATCTTTTCATAGAATCATAGAATCACAGAGTCACAGAATGGTTTGGGTTAGAAGGGACAATAAATACTATCTAGTTTCAACCCCCGTGCCACAGGGCAGGTTCCATCTTTCCACTAGAGCAAGTTGCTCAAAGCCCTGTCCAGCCTAGCCTTGAACATTTCCAGGGATGGCACAGCTTTTCTGGGCAACCTGTGCCAGAGCCTCACCACCCTCACAGTGAAGAACTTCTTCCTACTATCTAATTTAAATCTACCCTCTTTCAGTTTAAAGCCATTTACCACGGATCTGTTGACTATAGTAGAAACATACTAGTTGATAAGTTGGTTCTTTAATTGAGGGTAATATTTTTATTTTCTTCTCAGGTGAAATACAGAGAAAAGTATGAGAAGGAAAAAGGAAAACCTATGTTGGACTTTGAAACACCAACATACCTTACTGCAAAGGAATCTCAGCTCATGCAGAGTGAGGTATGGTTAAAATCAATACCGACAGACTAAAAAACTTCTTTTTTTTTTTTCTGGGTTAAACTTTTACAGTGACTTAGGCAATTATCCTTGCATCTCGTGCATGCTGATAGACTGAAAAAATATAGCTGTATCACATTTCTTTATATTGGTTAAGAAATACTACATTCAAAATCCATGAAGCTTTCCCATGTCATGCTGAAGTATCATCTGTAATTTTTCATCAAGAAGCTGTCAGTAAATGAAGCTTAAGCAAGTCTTCAAGTCTTTAGAAGAAATGTAATATGAAATTCATTTCACTTAAAATATGCAACAAGAGTATGTGTGTCAGTTATCATCATAGTCCACAGAAAGTACCCTGGTTATTTTTTTCACCTTAGATCTCTGTCTTTGAGAAACCTATTTATTTCGTCTTTGTTTCTGGTGTCATAGTGTTCTTCACTGACTTGTAATTCTATTTCCTCAAGCAGTTGTTTTCTGTTTGCAGTCTTGTTCTGTGACAGATGAAGGCTTGCACATGCTGAGAAACAGTTGTATACAGCCAAAAGTCATTATGTTTGAGTGTTTCCATTGAACATTTTCTTGGCATGTACAACTAAGTAGAAAAAGATTAAAAAAAAAAGCAGGGTCAGGTCATATTTCCATTGAAAGTCATGAGCTGGTTCATTGGCTTTAGTAGAAACAGGATTTATTGCTCTACATGCCCACGGCATTGACTGTGACATTAATACAAAACCACTGCTCCATCCTCCCAGTAGTTTCTTGTGTAACTAAAAATAATATAAGAAATATTTGCAATTTGGGATTTTGTGTGGTTTTTTTGTTTTGGCTTTTTTTTACTCTCATTAGAAAGAATATAAGAAGGACTTTGAAGAGAACATTAAGGGCAGAAACCTTACTGGCTTGGAGGTTACACCATCCTTATTACACGTCAAATACGCAACCAAAATAGCAAGCGAGGTAGCAGTTATTCTGTGCTTCTTTCCTCTGTCAAGTTAAATAATTCCACTAAGCAGTTCTTCACTGCTTTCTTTTTCCTAACCATTCACATTAAGCATGATTCCATATATTTTGTGATCTAATTTGTTACTGTTCAGTAACTGTATTTGTATTTGCTGCATCCTTTCTGGCATTCATCAGTCTAACTGTTACATGGCGGGGTGTATATGTGTGTGCGCCTTTGCAATTTATCTTAAACAATAATTACCACACTCTATTCTGTTGTAGTAGTTGTTATATAACCCTATGGGATATTCTTTTTTGTTTCAAAAAATTTTTTTTCATTTGAAATTTTTGGTGGTTTTGTTTTTGTTTGCTGAAATTTTTTTTGCAACAAAGTTGTGGAATATAGAACTCTTTTTAGTCTGGTTTTGCAGTTTTCATGTTCTTTCTTCTGCAGAAAGAGTACAGGAAGGATCTGGAGGAAGGTGTCAAAGGCAAAGGACTAACCTCTTTAGAAGAGACTCCAGACATGCTAAGAGCAAAGAATGCAACTCAAATCCTGAACGAGGTATTCCAAAAGCTATTTAGAAAATAACTGAATGGATGTAATAACCTCCAACTGACAAACGCTTATGGCTGTGTAACACCAGTATGAACTTTATAACTCCCTAGAAACTCTTGGGGAAAAAAAAAAAGAAAAAGTATGTGGTTGACTAAGGATAAAGCTGTGAGCCTGAACTTTTACGTGAGTACTTTTTTAGCTTTGTAGTTCCTATCAGGAATATAGGTGGGAAATAGGTGCTGTGATCAATTGTCAAGGGATGGACAAAGCCAGCACTGTGATGCAGCAGGGCTAAGCATAAGAATCAGAGGTATCAGTTTGTCAGTTGTGTAAACTTAAGCATCTTGGGTCAGGAGCGCTTAACCAAGGATTAGAAACTAAGGACCAGGGCTGTGGAAACAAGAAGCAAAAGTGAGAGATCAGAAAAGGACTACAGTGACAGAACCAGACTGGCATGCTCCTGCTTTGGGAGGTATGCTGTGCAGGAAAGAGCTATTTTTTTATCATGCTTTATGCTTGATGAGCATGTCAGAAACACCAGCCATTCTCATGAGCTCTTCCCCCTGCCCAGAATTGATGCCCAGTTGGCAGCTGTTGGGCTGATGGCTGAGGCAGTCTTCCCCACTTTGACACAGAAAGGTGGCCAGCAGTCAGGATGCAAACCTAACAGCTGCTTTATTTGTATGGTGGACTGGTATAATAAGTATTTCAGGGTGATTGCCTTCGTGGGATAAGACTAGTTCATATTTTAGGAGCCTTATCATCATCATCAGCCTGAAAGGTGAAAAAAAGTAACTTTTTAGTGTTACTTCTGATTTTGCTTCTTAACAAAATACTTTGAAGACAAACATCCTTACAACAGCATTTTGTACTCAGTAGTGCAGAGGTTTTGAGTTATTCAAGGAGCCTGTATTTTGTTACCAGAATATTACAGATGTATTCAGCTAAATTCAGCAGAGTTGGCATAGAGAGATATGAATCGTAGAATTATAGAATACTACGCTGGAAGAGACCTCAAAGATCATCTAGTCCAACCTTTCTAGGCAACTTGACCTAGACTAGATGTCTCAGCACCCTGTCCAGTATGAATTATACCAATCTGTACAATATTAATCTTTTAGACCTTACTGGAAGATCTGTTTGGGAAGGGTGGCTGCTACAGCACTGAGTTTTTAAGGAGGGTATCCATTCCAAAGGGCCCCAAATGTCACAGAGAATCCTGACACCTTGCATTTTTTTCGACATGCTCAGTTTGAAACATCTGGGACCACTCTTCACTACTACATGCATTTCATACACTGCTCGTTCTCTGTTGCTTCTCCTCTGTTCAAGTTACAGTTTTGCATGAATTGCTGATCACCTAAAGGAAATCACACTTTGAGATTACTGGTGTTGGAAGAGTGACCTTAATACAGCTGGCCTGTAGTGTGCACCATTTACTGCTGAAGTGGGGCTGTTTGTTCTTAAGATTTCAGTCATAAAGTAGACACTTTAGTGACATCATTTATGTGTTTAATTGTGAGTTTGTATTAGTAGTATTCCTGGTTTTTGTGTGGCCATTAAACTAGCTGAGGTGCTAAAGGTATTTGGTTCGTATTGACAAGGTATCTATTTACTGTCTTCATCTGCAGAAAGAGTACAAAAAAGCCTTGGAATTAGAAATCAGAGGGAAAGGTCTGACAGAACTGGCTTTGGAGACACCAGATTTTGTGAGAGCAAAGAATGCCACTGACATTGCCAGCCAGGTCTGTGTGAATACCGCATGTATCATATCTGATGACTTTTTTAAAGGAAAATTTATTAACAGTTTTTTTCTGATTAAGCCAAATGAAAATTGTTGTCAAAATATGATAAAGGCACCTAAATGTGAGCTTTCCCCAACAGATCAAATACAAACAGTTGGCAGAAATGGAGAAAGCCAACTACACCAGTGTTGTCGATACTCCGGAGATTATTCATGCCCAGCAGGTCAAGAACCTTTCAAGCCAGGTATCTTGAATGAAGCAATTTAATCATTGTTCATGTGGGAACCTTGAGGGGATACTAATTTGGAGCACTTGAATGACTACCTGTCCCGATGTTCAGGAGATGCACCAGAAAACAGATTTCTCTAGAGCTGTGATGTGACATCTCTTACTCTAGAATTCCATTTTGATAATGAAAATAATTTATTTTAATACTGTATAAAAGGAAACAATAATTTATATTGCTTTTGCAATACCAAAGCTAATTTGGTTCTAAGTAGATTTAGCTTAGTTTTCATACTCCTTAGTAACTTAATGTTTAAAATAAATCTTACACAGAGACATAATCTGAATTTGTATCAGACACAGAGGTACTCACTTTTCCATAAAGATGGACATTATGCAACAATAAGTAATGCCAGATTGTTTATTACTATTTTTGTATTAATGGAATGTATTTTGTATTTACCATCAGAAAAAGTATAAAGAAGACGCAGAAAAGAGCATGCCTTACTATGTGCCTGTAGCAGACACACCAGAAATACAGAGAGTCCGTGAGAATCAGAAGAACTTCAGCACAGTATGTATATAAATAAAAAAACCACTGTTACTGTCAAATCGTGAAAAATCTGTTTTTTTCTTTTCATTTAATCAGGTCCCGATATCACTCTGTAATCCCAACTAGGCTGCTTCCTATTTTCAGGAATCTTCAATTAGAGGGTCTGTTGTGTATGCAGCACCCCACATATGCATTACAAAGGGAACCAAAATGATGCTGTTAACAGTTTTGAAGAAAACTTTCTTCTGCAGCCTCTGACAATTCCTTTGCAAGTGATAGAGAATTATGCTTACAGAATTTGTCCTTTGTTGTCAATCGGGCTACTTCCAAGACTCTGTGGTCAGTAATAGAACTCCACAACCTGAGTTGAAATCTTTGATTTGCATTGTTGAGACAGTCTGGCGCCTTTCAAAATTTTTCAGTTAAGGATCTGCTACTGCTAATTTAAATGAGAATACCTTTAAGTGTAGTACCACTAATGGTGGTGTTAAAATGACCTTATGAGGTGTACCTTTTTTTCCTCATCTTCAAAGAAAACTCTGTAAGTAAATTTTTAAGGCATGGAGTCAACATTTGACATTTTATTTTAACTTTTTCAACAGCTTCAGTACCAGTGGGACCTTCAGAACAGTAAAGGAAAAGTTACAGTTGTACAAGACACACCAGAAATGCTGCGTGTGAAAGAAAACCAGAAGAATTTCAGCTCGGTATAGTTACCTTCTGTTTTCAGTTCTCATTGCAAAAAATACAGTTTAATGTACTTAATAAATTAACCATTTTGGGCTCTTATCTTACAGGTGTTTATGTTCTTGATCAGCTTGAATGCTTATAAGAACTTTTTCAAACAAAACTAATCATACTTTAAGTAGATTTAGCTGGCGTTTGCTGCCCCTTTTTAACTACTGTTTTTTGTAGAGTGCCCTGATTGCGCATATTCACATATTCACAGCTGTGATATAGTTAGTCAATCCTGTATTTAAATTGATGTTACTAGTATCCACCTTTCTTTTGTCCTGTTACCATGTGAGTACTGTATTGTTCTGTGGCAGTTGCCTTCTTTCAGTGATAAGTGAGCTGTCTGCCTGGCCTGTTTTACATTTCATGTGTTACCATGAAGTGCTTGAAGTCTGCTGTATTGTTTTGCCACTAGCTCCATTAGCATAGTGAATAACTAAGTGGAAGACATTTGTGTAAAACATACTAAAGCAAATTAGAAAAGGAAAAAAATAGAGCAAATACTAGTCTTCAGTCCTAAAATTAGCCTACAAATATTTTGATACTCTACTTGAAAATGTGCTACAAATACAAATGCTCAGCCCCTTTTTGCACAAAGGGCAGTTGTATAGTAAGACAGTCTGCAGATATGTAGTAAGGCAGTAACTAAAGATGAGGCTCCAAGTTGGCTTTAATGGTCTGCACTGTTGTGTTCAAATCACTGTCATGAGCCTGTATTCATGTGCTATTAGAAAGAATGTTGTGTTTTGTACGCTTAACCTTGTTGTCTTCATTCTAAATATTAAGATTTTATATAAAGAAGATATTGGAACTGGAACTACTATTGAAAAGACACCAGAGATGCAGAGAGTTAAACGAACCCAGGATGCAATCAGCTCGGTACAAAGAATTGATTTTTAATACTCTACCAGTGCTAATTCAACTTGAAATAATATATTCCTCCCTCCCCCCCCCCTTATTTCTTGAAATGTTGCTAACAGTGGTTTGGCAATAATCCATCCAGCTGAGGGATACTTTCTAAAAGTTTTTCCCTATTCTTGTTACTTAAACAGTAATCTTTCTGATAATTAACATTTAATTTGTTACTTACAATTCATTTCTAAAACTTGAAAGCTCTTGGCATGGTTTTAATCTCATCCCAAACATAGTATATTTAGCACAGAATCAAATAATTATTTAGGGTTGAAGTGACTCTTAAGATTGTCTACTCAAAACCCTTCAAGCAGAATCAGCTAGGGAAGGTTGTCTGGGACCACGTCCATTTGAGTTTTGACTATCTCAAAGGATGAAGACTCCACAACCTCTCTGGGCAACCTGTTCCAGTGACTGACCACCCTCCCAGTAAAGAAGTGTTTTCCTGTGTCCAGACTGAATTTTCTATTTTTTAATTTGTGCCTATTACCTCTTGTCCTGTCACTGAACACTTCCAGGAAAAGTAGCTCTCTCTTCTTCATTTCTTCTCACTAGGTATTTCATAGAATCACCACAGAATGGTTTGGGCTGCAAGTGATCTTAAAGATCATCTAGTTCCAATCCCCCTGCATAGGCAGGAATACCTTCCACTAGACCATGTTGCTCAAAGCCTTGTCCAACCTGGCCTCGAACACTGCCAGGGATGGGGCAGGCACAGCTTTTCTGGGCAGCCTCTGCCAGTGCCTCACCACCTGCATAGAAAAGAGCTTCTTCCTAAGATCTAATCTAAATCTACCCTTTTTCAGTTTAAAGCCATTCCCCCTTGTCCTATCCCTACATGCCCTTGTAATGTGTAGTGTTATACACATTGATAATTTCCCCCTGCGCATACTCTTCTTCAGGCTGAAGAGTCCCAGCCCTCTAGGCCTCTTCCCATATCAAAGATGCTCCTGTCTCTTACTCATCTTTGTAGTTCCATGCTGCACTTGCTCCATTAAGTCTTTCTTGTACTGGCAAGCCCAGAACTGGAGACAGAATTCCAGATATGGCCTCACCATTGCTGAGTAAAGGGGAAGGATCCGCTTGGTTAACCTGCTGGCAGTGCCTGTCTTAATGCAGCCAGGGATGCTGTTGGCCTTTGCCAAGAGGGTACATTGCTGGCTAACGGTCAGCTAGTTGTCTGCCAGGTTCCCAAGATCCTTCTCTGCAAAGGTGCTTCCCAGGCAGTTAGCCCTCAGCATGTACTCCAGCCCGGGGCTATTCCTCCCCCATTGCAGGACTTTGCATTTCCCCCCACTGAACGTCACAAGATGCCTCTCAGCTCATTTCTCCAGCCTGTTGAAGTCCCTCTGGGTGGCACCACAACCCTTGGATGCATCAGCCAATCCTCACAGCTTGGTGTCATTTTCAAACTTGCTGAGGGTGCACTCTGGGCATTCAGGTCTCTCGTGAGGATGTTAAACAGTATTGGCCCCAGTACTGACCCGGGGTACACCATTGGTGACTTGCCTACGACTGGCCCTTGAGCCACTGGTCAAAATGCTCTGGACCTGGCTGTTCAGGCTGTTTGCACTTACTTGTAACCCATTCATTGTTAGCTTGTCTGTGAAGATGCTAGGCAAACAGTGTCAAGAGCCTTACTAAAGCATGTCTTGGAAAACTTTCATACTCTGTAAAAAATTGTAGCACACTACAGTTGGAATAATTGTATGTATTTTCTTTCGAAACTTGTAAATCTTTTTCATGGTTTTTTGAATGCTCAGTATAAAAGATGCTAACATTTCGGCCAATTTGCTTCATGCTAAAGTTCTTGTGAAATATTTTTTTTTTTTTTTTTTTGTTATGCTGAAGTAGAAATGCACTGCAGTTGTTAAAATCTTATATGATGACTCTTGTTTTTGTTGAAGGTAGAAAGACCAAATGGTATCAGGTGCAAAGTTATTTACACCTGGTGTTAGGAAACTCTTTTAGTGAAGAGCTCTTCACAGTGACGTCTTGTCAACAGCTAACATTGCCTTCTGACACATGGCTTGTAAAGACGATGGGAAGCCGCACTGCTCATCGTAAAGCCAAGGAGATCTTTTAAATTCTCAGTCTTTATGAGATCAGTACAATGCTCTTTATGTATCCACATGTGCATTTAGGTGCTCTTTTCAATGCCATTATGCTAAAATTTTCAGAAATTATGTTAAATTTTTAATATCACAGTTTTTTGGAACTCTGTGTAAGAAATCTTGAAATGATTCAGTTGGTTTGGATCAGGGGGTGGTTCTTGCTGAAATGAAGCTCCTGGGAGACAGATACCCAAATTTTAAGCTTCAGTTGAAAAATTCTGCCTCAAACAAGTTGCTGCTTTTTTACGCTAGTGGTTGTTAAAGTGCTTTGTAGAGGTGTGGCAGAGTTACCTATTAGGTAACTGGAATAGAAGGTTCCTTGATTATTTCTTTCTATCGAAATACATTTAGTACCTGAGATCTGAAGGAGTTTAAGTGTAAAAGACTTAAGTTTCTTTATTCATGTAACTTGTTATGCATACGCGTGTCAGCTGTCCTTTAATCTAAATCCTTTTACCTTTCTCTAATGTCTTTGCCTTCGCAGGTTAAATACAAGGAGAGTATTGGGAAAGGAACTCCAATTCCTGATCTTCCAGAAGTGAAGCGTGTCAAGGAGACACAGAAGCACATCAGTTCGGTAATAGCCGATATTTTCTATTAACCTATATACTCGGAGAGCTCAAGCTCCAGCCTTTGGTGGTGTTTGTGGGTATTTTTTTCTGAAAAAAAGAACAGCTCTCTTAAATCCCTATATTCAGCAGCAGATAGTTTAAATATATGAATTTTTGCAGGAATCATTACAATCAGCCATTTCCTGTATTACTTTTCTGACCTTTTCTAAACACAGAACTAGAAACAAAAAATACCAAGATGTCTTACAAATTAGTCTGAAAAAATGGATCAGCTAGACAGAACTTTGTGGAAAAAATAATGGGAACCTTTTTTGTAGTCGCAAAACCCTAGTGACCGTTGTAAGTGAAAGCAGTATTGGCTCTTCCCTTACCTAGGGGAGTGTGGATTTGAAAGCACAACATGCTTCCCTCATTTGGCACCATGGCTGCTTTACTTTGATCTCTGCATACAGAATTGAGTCAGGATATGGTCTTGCAATTATTGGTACTTTCTGCACAATGTTTTTTTCAAAAGATTCTTCATTTTTTGAACCTTTTACATAATTTTTTTTCTCATGCTGTGATTGATTTATTTTTGTATTTTTTCATTGTTTCAATCATAGCAAACAGTGTTCTTCTGAGGTTTTTTCTTTTGGGTTTTGGTTTTTGTTAACCTTTTTTTTAGCACTGCCTATGTGACTCTTAATGAAAAATGCACTTTTTTTTTTAATCAAACAATTACAAAACAAAGCTAATAATATGACAGCTAAAACTCTATTGTTTTTTCTTACTAGAGACCTAGACTGAAGTAAAATAGTACTGTTTGAAACAAACAGTCACAAAAAGCAAAAAGAGATAGAGCCCACTACAGAGTATTTTTGTATTAAACATGTCTATAAAAGGTTGAACTATTTGTTAACACCATAAAAATAGCTTCCATTAGTGCTGACTGCCTGAAAAGTAATACTGTTACATTTCCTAAACTAAGATGGAAAGAAGAGCCTACCTACCTTTCATGCCAGGTTAGCAGAAGATTTAAACTTGTGTCCTACTGAAATGAAGTATTCCATTGACTTCAGTGGGTTCAGGCATTGAACACAGACATTAAGTTCTTTGCTGAGCTCACACAGCAGACATTAATTTCTTTGCTGAGCTGTTGGCTGTGCTTATAAAGATGTACACTGAGTAAAATAAATTGTGCATATATTTATGTATAATCGCAGATTATTATTTACCTGTAAACCAGGTAAATTATCTGTCCAAATATACTGTGGTTGTTATGGCAGGAATGTGATCTTCTCACCTTGCTGGGTGCTTGTGTTCTGCAGGTGTTGTACAAAGAGGACCTAGGGACAGGTATCCCAACACCTGTCACTCCAGAAATAGAGAGAGTCAAACGCAATCAAGAACACATTAGCTCGGTATTTAAAAAAATCATAACGGCTTATTTTTGCATAACACCCTAACATATAATCTGTTTTTCTTCAGCGGGTTGGAATCTCACCCTTCTTCTGTCTTTTCCTTGGCAACATTTTTAACTCCTTTGTATTCCACCTGTTTGTGTTTGAACTTTTTTTGATGATTTACAACTTTACATGTTTCTTTTAAGAACCAACCTGGAAGTAGCTGTGAAATTAACATGGTGTTTTTCTCCATGTTTGGTTTTCTTAACTCTTTATCTTCTACTGTCTGTAGTCATATATAGAATAATCAACCATCAGCCTCTTCCTTAATATTTGCCTCTAGAGCAAGTGTGAATTAACTAAGAAGTGACCCTAATGCTAAACATAACTCACAAAATAGTCAGATTTAATGGGTTTGCCTATGTAGAGTGTTTTGGGGGTTTTGTTTGGTTTTTTTCTTTTTCTTGTTTTTGTGGAAACTTTCTTGTACCTCACAGGTGTTATACAAAGAGGGCTTAGGGACTGGCATCCCAACATCGGTTACTCCAGAGATGGAGAGAGTCAAACGTAATCAAGAGAACATTAGCTCGGTATTGCTCAATAAAACAAACCCTACCATTTCCAATGCAAATCAAGTCCCTTTAACTCCTCCATATTACGTTTTTGTTTCAATTATTTGTTGAACTTTGAACAACCCTTTTTTAATCAAATCACTAAACCTCTGTCAGTATCCTTATGTTTTTTCACTCAATCTAACTTAGTGGTCATTAGATTGTACCAGCTGTGAGATCCTAACCTTGTTTACTTAAAGCAGTTAAGCAGTACCTTATTTTTCTTCCGAGTGAAATAGTAGTAGTCTGAGTGATATCATTCTCCTCTTCAATAATAAAGTCAATCCTTCTAACAGTCTTCAGACTCCCCACACTGGGTGCACTGCAAACGAAAAATGAACTCTTAACCCTTCCTGAAGCAAAGCAACCTAATGTAACTTGTGTGTGCTGTCTCTTTTCCTGGTTTTGCTGGGGTGGGTGCTTTAAGTATCCTACAGGTCTTTGTAAGAAAACCTGGGTGGCATCATCGTATCACTGCAGTATGAAAAAAAGAAGACTAAAGTTGCATATATAAGAAAAGACTACCGTAGTAATGAATTCTGTCCAAACTGTTTCTACTCCTAACACATTCCAGTCAAATGACCATTATGTCATTATTTTGTTCTGTATTTGTTTCAATTAGAGTGACTTTCAAGTCAGTTTGACTCACTGTGACCCAATTCAGTCATGACAGATAGGAAATTCAGTCCTGACTTGAAATTAATAGGAGAGTTCAGACAAGCCACTGTTGTTAAATGTTTTGCTATGTTAATTGTCTCTGAGGTCGTGGCAGCTCTCTGTTATGCTGGTGAGCTTATTTAGAAGTCTTAGAGGCAAAGCTGCTTATGCCAGATCTTTTGTTTGAGTAAAAAACCTCCTTTGCAAGTGAGTTTTCAGGTAACAGAAAACTCCTGCAGTTCTTGCTGGCATTCCTTGTGTGCCCCCAAGTGAGATGACAACAAACTTCACAGTAATATTAGCAGATTATTTTCATTGAGGTTTTTTGCTAGCCTTTGAACAGGGCTGACAAAGCTCTATTTTTCATATTTTGAAGTTTCACTATGTTAAATTACTTGTCTTCTCTCTCTGTCCTCCTCTTTCCCTTTCCTTTCTTTCCCTTTCCTTTCCTTTCCTTTCCTTTCCTTTCCTTTCCTTTCCTTTCCTTTCCTTTCCTTTCCTTTCCTTTCCTTTCCTTTCCTTTCCTTTCCTTTCCTTTCCTTTCCTTTCCTTTCCTTTCCTTTCCTTTCCTTTCCTTTCCTTTCCTTTCCTTTCCTTTCCTTTCCTTTCCTTTCCTTTCCTGTTGTGCTTTTTTGTTTTACTTTTTAACGCTCCCTGTTGTGGCACAGGTGTTGTACAAAGAGGGGCTGGGCATTGGAACCCCAGTACCTGTCACTCCTGAGATGGAAAGGGTCAAACGCAACCAAGAAAACTTTAGCTCGGTATTTTTTTCCTCATTTAAGAAAAAAAAAGTTCCCTGTAACTATTTAACACTTGTGGATTTTCCGCTTCCTCCAATTAACCTATAAACATAGAAACATCCCCTTTCTGCTGTTATATATTTTAGTCATTGTATTTTATATACTTATTTTTTTAAATATTTTTGTTATAACACTTGATGCTTCATGTCCTTGAATTTCTTTTTGGTGAAGCTTAAGGCGTTTTGCATTTTTAAAAAGCACTGGGGTTTTTATTTGCTTAATTCCATTCCTCTAATGCTTTCTTATTCTGTGGAAGCATATCTAAGGATTAGGATACAGGTTTCTAGCTATGAGAAGACTTCCTCTAAATTTACCATACTTGCTAACTGGTTTATACTTCCTAATTTTTCCTGCTTTCTGGTATATTTATTTGGCATAAAAAGGATGTGTGTTACCTCCGTCAAGTACAGTTGGGATTTTTTTGGACTTAACTTTATTTGAACTCCCATGTTACCCTGCAGGTGTTGTACAAAGAGGATCTGGGGACAGGAACCCCAACACCTGTCACTCCTGAGATTGAGAGAGTCAAACGCAATCAAGAGAACTTTAGCTCGGTATTTTTTTTAATTTGAAAAGCAGCATTTTCCCTTTTAATCTATTTGCAAATAATTTTAACACACACACAAAAAAAACCAACCCCTCTTGTATTTCCCTGTAACCAGTTTACACAAGAAAGAATACCCTGTTCCCCGTGTTTTGACATTTTTTTGCCTCTGTAGTTTGTTACTTTGTTTTGATTGGATCATCTTACTAATAACTTTTAGATTCCATTTTCCCATCTTCCTTTTTACTCTGAACATATTTATTTCTCTTTAATATCTGCTTTTGCTTTTGTTAATCACTTCAATCCTTGGTTGTTGGGTTTTTCCCCACCCTGGTTTTACCGCATATAAAAACTAAACTATTTATTGCCTGATACAAATCAGTGGACATGACCTCAGGATAACAGTGCTCTGATACATGCCAGTGTAACCTGTGCTGATGTTTATGGAACTGGTAAATGTAATGAAATTGATGTCTTTATTCCTTCTGCATTGTATTTGATGCCGCCTTCTTTTCTTGAGTCTTTCATGTTGTTGCACAGAGAGAGTGGCCCAAATCTGCAGCTGCTGTAAACCGCTCTAGATTTGTTGGGACCACAGGTTTGCAGGGTAAAAAAAATGAGTTAGTAACATTAGCCTGTTTGTCTGGGTGATAAAAGTGTCATGTATGATAGGAAAGCAGTAGCAATTACGATTTCTAAGGTACTATTTTCACACATATACCTTTATTATGATCATGTCTCTGTATCCTTCCTGTAATATGCAAGCTAGATTCTGTGATGATAAACTCTGGATGACGAGTACTGTTTCACTCAGGGAATGGATGACTTTTTGTTGAAGGGTGGGTGCATGTGTGTACAGAAAAGCTTCTAGGAAGGTGGACTACGACCTAGTTTTCCAATGGCTCAAGTACAGTCAGGAAAAGTTTTGCCTCACTGCTGGGGAAGAGATGATAATATACTTCATTATCATTTATATAAGACTTCAGTCTTCTAATTATTCACCAGTTTTAAATGTCCACCTTGAGAAGCACTTCAGTCAGGAAGGTATTCTAGCATTCTAGTAGAAGTCATACTGATTTATCAGTGTGTAACTCTGTCTTCAGAGTTTTAAACTAGTTTATTATTTTTATGGATCTTTTTAATCCCTGTATTTATTCTGGGCATCTCAGAAAAGCATCTCTCATGTTCTGCGTGTTCTCTCAGCAAACAGAGTGGTACTGTGGTTTGCTTGTTCCTTTTTCTTTTTTTTAATGCAGCCATGTTGCCCCGCAGGTGTTGTACAAAGAGGATCTGGGGACAGGAACCCCAACACCTGTCACTCCTGAGATTGAAAGAGTCAAACGCAATCAAGAACACATTAGCTCGGTATTTTTTAATTTGAAAAGCAGAAAATTCCCTTTTAATCTATTTAAAAATAATTTTAACACAACAAAAAATTTTTTTTCTTTCTCCTATAATCAACTTACACCAAAAATAATATCTGGTCCCTTTGAGATCTTTTTTCCTCCGTAATTGTTACTTACATCTTTCTTGTTCCTCTTTTTTATGACATCCTCTTAATAACTTTTAATTCTACCTTTCCTTTCAGCTTGATTATAATTTTTTTCTTCTTAAAAATACACTGTTTTCCTTTTCTTAATCACAACAATCCTTACTTTTGTTTCGTGTGATGCTGTTTTGGTTCTTTTTCCCTGATTTTACTTACTTTCTATATGAGAACTAAATAGTTCTGTGCCCGGTACAAATCCATGGCTGTGACCTCAGTATAACAGTGCTCTAATACACACGCTAGCGTCATCTGCTGTGATGTTTATGGAATGAGTAAATGAAAGAGAATTGATTTCTTTGTTCCTTTTGTGTTGCATTTGATAACTTCTTCCTTTAGGAGGTCTTTACTGGTCTACTGTTACACAGACAGTTTTTCTATATAGCTCCTGAGAAGCAAAGAGAGAAGGTATTCTAGGTTCCGCCCAAAAGGCATTGTGGAGTGTTAGCATTTAGCTTTATAGTGTTGAAAAGCATTTTAATTTTTCTCTTTTATTCCAAGCTTTGGCTAGGAGCAACTTTGAAAAACATTCAGTTGGTTTTCTCACAAGCTGCGTGTTATTGTCGTTTCCTTGTTCCTCTTTTTGTTTTTTAATACAGCCGTGTTACTCCACAGGTGTTGTACAAAGAGGATCTGGGGACAGGAACCCCAATACCTGTCACTCCTGAGCTTGAGAGAGTCAAACGCAATCAAGAACACATTAGCTCGGTATTTTGTGGAGGAAAAGTAGATTCCCTTTAACTCCACTTAAATGGAACTTCTTAACATTTATTAAAAATGAACAATTCCACTCCTTACTTCCATTTAATCAACTCATAAAACATCCTTTCTTCTTCCCTATATTTTCCAATGTTACTGACTTACCACTTCATCATATATGTGATTATTTACATTATCCTAAGTATTTTTAACCATTTTGCTCCCTCTTCCAACTTTTATATGTGTTTTTTTGTTTGTTTGTTTTCTTAAATCCCATAATTTTCCTTTTTTAATGCTGTTATAGATGGAAGGGGGTGGTGGTGTGTGTCTGACTTTCTGGCAGGTTTCAGTGGTGGCTAAAAGCCCTCCTCCGCCATGAAAATGTATTTGATGTTAGAGGCTTTTGTGTTGGATTTGTGGCATCTGCTAGGATAAAACCATAGATCTTTTTGCCTCCAGACCCTCAAGGTGCAATCCAGCCTTCATTGCTTTCAGGGGTAGCTTTGGAGCGCATTAGAGCAGACTGAGCTACCACAGTTTCAAATATTTGACTTCATGTTGGATGTAATTATTATTGAGTTGTGATTATGTTCTTGGATGCTTCTTGTTGCTACACAGGTGTTGTACAAAGAGAGCGTGGGGACTGGGACCCCCACTCCTATCACTCCAGAGATGGAGAGGGTCAAACGCAATCAAGAAATCTGTAGCTCGGTACTTTGCTAAGAAAAAAAAAGTTCCCTTTATTTAAAAGAACATTTTAACAGTTTTAATAAATGGACGCTGTAACGCTAGTTCCAAAATAATGTCAGCCATAGCTCTAAAGCAGCTTACAGAAGTGCTTATTTCTTACTCACATCTTGTGTGGTTTACAGTGGTGACTTTAACTTGGTAAGAGTTTTTATTGTTTTCCAAGAGTGATTTTAATATCCTGTTCTAATCCTAAAATCACTTAACAAACTCCACTCATTTTCTCTGCAGTACTGACATTCTTTTAAAAAGAAAAATTGTAATTTACATGTTCATGGAATCCTCAACACGTCCATATGGTATTTTTGTGGTCTCATTTATGCAGTACTTATACAAGTGTGTGTATATATATATACTTACATACGTATATGAGTGATCTTATGTTAAAAAGCCAGTATGCTAAACCCTACTTCTCTAGCAAAATACTGCTAAGTACCTTCTTTAAAAATATATGCACTGCGTAGGTCCTGAGAAAATAAATACAAGAAAAATATGCCTTGGGCTTGAATTTTTTCTATGGATAGCTTTTTATTTATTGTTGCTTTCTTTGGCTCCTTTCTTATGTCTCATAGGTGTTGTATAAAGAGAACATAGGGAAAGCAACCCCAACACCTGTCACTCCCGAGATGGAAAGAGTTAAACGCAATCAAGAAATCATTAGCTCGGTATTTTTAACAGGAAACCAGTTCCTAAGGATGTGAATGACGTGTTTAATATTGTAACTGCAGCATTTAGTAAGCTGTGCTTTCTAACTTCAGAAGACAAATCTGTCGTGTAGCATAAACCTCCTACCTTCTGTGCTGACAAACAAGTGATACCTTCTTTTTAATCATGTCTTCTATTTAACACCGTCTGAAGCAGGATTTTACTAGAACTAGGTTTGCCTTTTTTTTTTTATGGATATAATCTATGTGCAAATTTTTTTAACCCTTTCTTACTACAAGTAGACAGTGTTGACTCCGTGCAGGGTCCACTTCTGCATTCAAGTGGATTGATGGCAAAGCTCCCATTGCTTCTTTTGGGAGAAGCATTATGCCCCACGCCTAACCCTTTCTTAAGTGTAATGATTCAAAAGCCATGTTGTATGTTGGTTTGGTCTTGTTTTAGTTTTTGGGTTTGGGTGGTGTTTTGTTTTTTTTTGTGATGGTACCTTTTAAATCACATTTGGATACTCCCTTGTATCCTGTAGGTTTTGTACAAAGAAAATGTGGGGAAAGTGACCCCAACACCAATCACTCCAGAGATGGAGAGAGTGAAACGGAACCAAGAAATCATTAGCTCGGTACCTTAAAATAGATATATTTCTTTTTTTATCTTCATGCTTATATCTTAATAAAGTAACACGCTAACTATCTACTGAAGATTGATTCTAATTTAAAAGATAGGTATATTTCTTTCTGCCATTTAATTGCTCCTCTCCTAAAACAAAATTACTTTAGTGTTAACAGTTTGATCCAGAAATTTAGGCCTTTTCTGCAATGTAGTTTATGTACCTGTGGGCTCTATCCAGACAATATTAAAAGCTTAGCAACCTTTGTTGAAGATATTCAGGTTGATCTGTCTGTGCACAGTGTTTGAGCTTTCATTGGCTTCTCAGGGATATTTGACTTCAGCAAACACAGACTAACAGGAAACCAGTACTCCACCCTAAAACCCCCATGTCTCAGAGCCATGTGAGACTGCATTGCTCTGACATGTGACTTGGGATGCCTTGACCAGAATGACACAAAAGGAACAAGGCTGTTAACTGTTCTGGGTGGTGTATCAGCAAGGGCTTTTAGGTGGCCTCGTGGTTGGGGGAGATAGGTAGGTGTAATTGTGCAGCGATACCAGACACCCATCCTCAACACCCTTCTGTATTTGTCTGCCCAATATAAGTGTGACAAGACGACTCCCTCCCAAAAGGTCACAGATTGCTTCACATACAGGCAAAACATCAGGTAAAGCATTTCTTCACTAGTTCTCTAGGTCCATGGGCAGCTTCCCCAGGCCATTGTCAAAGTTATAGCTGGATAGAGCCTGTCTTTGTTAACCAAAAAAATAACAAGCTTTCCTTTTACAGTTTATTTTTCTTACCCTTCCTTACAGCAGTAGATGTTTGCCTTTTGTGCAGTGCTGTGTATCATAATCAGTTGTGACTTCTTTTGAAATTTGATAACAAAGTAATAATTTGTGTTCAAATCCTTTTGATTGGGGGGTGTGTGTGTGCAGGGTTAAGATACTGGATACATCTTCTGTATCCCACAGGTGTTGTACAAAGAAAACCTGGGGAGAGCAACCCCCACCCCTCTGACTCCAGAGATGGAGAGAGTCAAACGCAATCAAGAACACATTAGCTCGGTATTGTCTGAAAGATGTAAAAAAGGATATGATAGAGCATTTTTTTTCTAAATAACTTAAGTCTGCCTGGTTTTAACCAACCCTCTAGTTTTCTTCCCTCAAACATAGAAAGTAATTTCTTAAAATTATATTATTTAAGCAATTTTTTTGTGAATTAACTTTTTAATACTATTTTCCCTATGACCCTTTTATTTTTTTCTGTCATAATGAATGGTGTTTACTCTAAACCCAGTAATGTTACAGCTTTTAATTTGTACATTTGTGACTTTGAGTTACTTTGTGCTCTGTAGGTTGTATACAAAGAAGGCTTAGGGAAGGCAACCCCCACTCCGGTTACTCCAGAGATGGAGAGAGTCAAACGCAATCAAGAACAGATTAGCTCGGTATTGAAAGAAGACAGACAAGCACCTTATATTAAAAATAACCACTCTGAACAAAACCTCCACTTCTAACTTAGCCTTATTTTCTCAGTTTTCCTTACTTTCGCCTATTTTTCCCTTTGGTTTTTACCTTTTGCTCTAGCAAATAACTTTTTTAGATGCTTTATTTCCCAAGATCTTTTCTATCCCTGCAGTGATGAGTATGCTTAATCAATAACACCATTTACAGAATGAGCTATGACTTACTCCAGTCTGATTTGTGGACACCTTTTTGCACACTGTAGGTTTTGTACAAGGAACATCTGGCAAAAGGAACTCCAACACCAATGACTCCAGAGATGGAGAGAGCTAAACGCAATCAGGAAAACATCAGCTCGGTATGTTCTATTCAGTCAATACATGACAATATTTTTAAAAGTAACATTTCAATCCTTGAAATCCTTACTCAGATGAACAATGCAGATGTTAACATGACTACCTAGCTACCTAGTTTGGAAGTATGAAGTAACCATACTAAAATAAAATCATTTAATGCTTGCTTTTTACTTTCCACAGCAGCTGAGCAAGTCTTTCTGTGTGATTAGCTGCTTTAGTTTGGAGGGTATTTTTAAACAACAGTTGAATTTCAAATAACATATATTACCTTCAAGTCTTGCAAATATGTTCTGGTTTTATTGTCTTACACTGCATGGCATATAAAATGATTGCTCTTCAGTAACAGTATGCTATGTTAGATTGCTGATGTTCTGTATTAACACATGATGAATCTGGAAATGGCCTTTAGGCCCTGTTTTACTAACCTGTTACTCCAGAGGCAAATCCTGAAATACCCCATTGTAAATGTTTATATACATAAGATCATAGGAACTTAGGTTTGGGTTGGAAAGAACCTTAAAGACCATATAGTTCCAATCCCCTGCCATGGGCAGGAGACACCTTCCACTAGACCTGGTTGCTCAAAGCTCCATCCAGCCTGGCCTTTAATTTTGTCATGGCTTGATAAATCCAGTAATAAAGTATCTGCAGATGTGTAAAGAAGTATGATGTGACTGTTGTAACAAAAAAAAAGAAACCCTACAAACCCAGTAAAAATTATGGCATATCAGTGAAAAATGCAGGTCTAATTATGTTGTATGTTCCACACTGGTAACTGCCAGTGAGGTGCAGGTCAAATATATGAAAATAGTACCTGGACCACTATTACTGCATTATAAACTCTACCTGTTCTTACAAGGTTAAAAAGACAAGGCTCTTTTAATAAGAAAAAAGGAATGTTTGGCATCAAGGCCAGAGCTGTCCATATCTCATATAATTATGAAGAATAATTTTGTTTTGCATTCTAATGTTATTCACCAGTATAGATCCTGCTGCTTTCCCCTGCCCCTTCTTTGCGAGGTTGCTTCAGTACAGCTCATTCCTCATGACGCAGTAGTTTGGTGCCTTGTTCTCACTTCCCTTTTCTCATTTGGCAGGTTCTTTATTCAGACAGTTTCCGAAAACAAGTACAAGGCAAAGCTGCATATGTACTGGATACACCTGAGATGCGGCGGGTGCGAGAGACCCAGAAAAACATCTCTACAGTAAGACCATTTCTAACTTGGCAAGTGATGTAAATAAGAACATAACCTTGTTGCTGAGACATTCTGGGGTTGGCAGCCTGAGCACAATGTACAGATACCAAGCCTAGTTACCCAAGTAGATTAAGTGCTAAAGAGTGACTACAGGAGAGGGGTGTTTGGGGTTAGGCTCTCTCATTGTTCCTGGACTGGAGAAAACAGAAGTTCTAAACAGCAGTGCACTTCTCTACTAGAAATTTACCTGAGGTGAGCAGGAATAAAAACTACTCATCTAAGCTACAGAGAACAGACACTTCATTTTAAATTGCAGGTGAAATACCATGAAGAGTTTGAGAAAAGCAAAGGTAGTTTCACACCTGTAGTTACTGACCCCATTACAGAACGCGTGAAGAAGAACATGCAGGACTTCAGTGACATTAGCTACAGGGGCATCCAACGGCGAGTAGTGGAAATGGAGCGAAAGCGCGTGGACCAGGATCAAGAGACTCTCACAGGTAAGCAGAACCTAGGTTTTATAACAATTCAGGTACTTCATTTACACAAAGCACAAGCTGACCGGGATGAGTTGTAGCATTTAAGATTAGCCGCACCAAATCAAACTTATCATTAGTTGAAGATGATGTTTTTATCAGTCCATTGCAAAAATAGCAGCTGTAAATCGTCTGTCATCTGCCTGTCCCATTCTGCCCAAATATATTAACGTAATGCTGGATTTACATCTCTTACATTTTTAGTTTCCATCACCATGCATACTAGAGAAATACCTCACTGATGTAGATTATGTAATAAATAAATTAAGAATAATCTGTGCTATAGGTTTGAGATTTATGATGACATATACTGCTTGCCCTTTTCTGATATGCTTTTACTCCTTTTTGGGACAGATGTGCTGCTCAAGTTCTGAAAGCTGCTTGAGCTACAGCATCTCCTCAGAAGATGCCCTTTTTCTTGCAGGTCTTCGTGTGTGGCGCACTAATCCCGGGTCAGTCTTTGACTATGACCCAGCAGAAGACAATATTCAGTCCAGAAGCTTACATATGATCTCTGGTTTGTTCCATAGGCTGTAGTGCTGTTTGTGCAAAATAGGTTTTGTACTTGTGCAAATCCAACCAAGTAAAGCCGACAGCTTGGGGACACTAAAGTACAGGTTCACGCTCCACCTGTGCAAGAATGCAAGTGTAGTGTTGTGTGCTGACTTAAACAGAGACAAGATTTCAAATGTTATAGAGGGACACAGTTCTTGTGAGAACTGTTAACTAGAGGAAAAATTGTCTATGGCTCCTCCTCAGCAGTATACATATATTTGTGCTAGCTCCATGAATGCAGCTAGCTGTTTAATGTAGCTCATTTCTCAAAAACTATGTTAATCTTATATATAAGTGATCTAACACAGGCATGGAGAGGGGTGTTCGATCCACAGATAGCATGATGCAGTGGCTTACCTGTAACGTGCGCTTCCTTTTTAAATAACTAAAAATACTGTTCCTCAGTTACCTTTTCGGTTTGTTTAAGCTCCTTTCTTGCTAATTATTTGAAGTGCATCCTGAATGATAGAAACCACAGTCTTCGACATGGCTCAGCTCTGTCAGCTGATAAGGAAAGCATGGGATAATTGAAATAAAAATTCTGGAAGCAGCTACCACTAAAGGGAAGGAAGTGGGAGAAAGAAAAAAAAACCTGAATATTAACAAGGACATAACTGTGCCTTTCTGAGTAGAACTTCAGCATGTTGCCCATAGACTTTTAGAATGGCAAATACCACTGAGTAACCATAAAAATACTGTGATTAACTCACATGCTCTTTTCCATGAACTTCGTACAATACACTAACCAATCCTGCTTAGCGTGTGGGCCTGTGTCAGTTTTCTACTCTAAGCACAACTTCGGCAGCAACAGTGGAGAGCTTTGGGTATTTCTACAGAATATGCGTGTGTGTATATACAAAGTAACCTATGTATATGTTTGTGTGTGCATGCATGTACATATTTATATCCACATGTATTTTTACGTGTGCATCTCCTTACAAAACGAAGATGTAAATTGGTTCCCCCTGCTTCCTCCTTGCAGTCCAAGCCCAGCGCCGAAGCCGGGAGCACTCCCGCTCTGCCAGTGCCTTGAGCCTCAGTGGTGGCGATGAGAAGTCTGAACCCTCAGATGGTGTGGATCAACATTTATCCTACTACAGCAGTGGGGGCCTCTTTGCCACTACAACAGGTAGGAGGAGAACAAACTTGCTACGTACTTACTGCCCTATGGGGACACATAGTATCCAGGACATCTGGTGGGGAAATGCTGGACATTGGCTCATGTTGAGTAATCCCTTTAGCCAGGGAATAGCACGTAAGTACACCTGCAAAATGTGGAGCTATGGAAACAACCAACAGCTGCAAAATTGTGTTTCAGATTTGACCCACCTAATGACCCACCCATGGTCTTTATTCAGAGCAACTCTGACCTTACTGCCAACTGTGTAATAAACAATACAAACTTTATTTTCCTTTTGTAGTGGGCTACAAGCACACTAAAACCATAGAGTTGCCGCAACAACGGTCATCGTCAGTTGCTACCCAGCAAACGACAGTATCATCCGTTCCCTCTCACCCATCTACTGCTGGGGTAAGTAACACTGTTCGGTTGTATTAAGACACACATTCCCGGCTTACTGCAGAAGTTCATACGAGTACCTGCCAAAAGCGCACAGCCCCGGAGGTCTTCAAGAGCTGATGGCGTATTCTCCACATCATGCCTCAGACCATGCTTCCAAGACCAAGTTGGCCACAGGCTACTCACTGGGCCGAAGCTTGGTACAAACCCCAGTGAAGGTGTAAAGTCATTGGAGTGGGATAGACCCTCCCCTGTTCTTGAAAACTTTAACACTTCTTCCTACTCTTGAGATTGAGTCTTGGAGAAGCTACATGAAGATAGGTATAGCATTGTCTCCCCACAAGATCTGCTGGGAGGCAATAACTTAAAAGTTATGGCTGGAGCTACCTGGAGCCAATAGCTGCTCAAATACACTACAGACATGTTCAGCCTCAGTGTTGCCAAAACACAAAGGCTGTAACCCAAGGTACTGTGAGACCTGGATAATTGAGGTATTTATTTAGCTATTGAGAAGAAATGTTTTGTGATCTGAAGACAGGAGATTTTGGCCAGGCAGATGCTGCCATCAGAAATACTGTTAAGAGTACTGAAATAAGTTGAAGCATAACTTGCCCTTAGCCTGCTTTTACATTTTTCTCACCAACAATGTCCATCAGTGCTGACAGCAGGACTATAAACATGTCTCCTTTTTTTGCCCTCTTTTCTGCCCCCTTTCTTACACCTGACAGAAGACCTACCGGGCCATGTATGACTATATGGCAGCTGATTCTGATGAAGTTTCCTTCAAAGATGGTGACACAATTGTAAATGTACAATCCATTGATGAAGGCTGGATGTATGGCACCGTCCAGAGAACAGGCAAGACTGGCATGCTGCCAGCCAACTACGTAGAAGCTGTCTAAACCCAACCGTATCTTCCCATAAAGCGCATCAGCATGGTATGGACTCACCGGCTCTGCTCAAGACAAGAGCCTTAGGAAAGGGTTTGTAAAGCTTTCTCCAGAGTGCCTTAATGTCTTCCATGTTGATAGCGCCTTATGAACTGTGTGGGGGAAAAAAGTAACTGCAGAGCAAAATACTCTTGAAACATCCTTCCAAAACGTATTTGAAAATTACCTGTAAGCACACTACCAGGCACTGCTCAGAACAGTATTTCTTCCAATGCCAAAAAACCCCACAACTACATTTCTAAAATATTGCCTGGATCTTTCAAGCACCACACACCATCATGCATTTAACTATGCCAGAACACAATCCAGCTCAGTGTCTCCAAAGTTTTCCACACGTACTTATGACTAAGATTACCAAATATTACTTTATTCATTCTCTATAGAGAGTATTTTCTTGAGCTATTCTAAAATGTTTGAATTTGTTCACTTCTTTTCCATATAAGCAATATTTAAGCTTAGTATCTCAAGGGGGGTAACCAAACCCCAACCTGAAAGCCTCTCCTTCTGCTTGCTGAGCTCTTGTGCATGTGATTTTCATGCAACTGTTCTGGGGTCAAAAGCTGTTATTACCTGTAAATTAGTGCCTAAATAAAGCTAACATTTCTGCAGTGTGCGTGCTTTATTCACTCATGCTGTAGAGTGGGAATCAATCTCACAGCAAACTGGCTTTGTTCAGAAAACTATTAAAGGAAAGAACCCAGGAGGCGGTGGAGGATACAACAGCCACAAGAAACTGAGGGTCTCTGGATGAAGCCAGACAAGTTGTATCGTATCATATCTGAACACAATGGTTATTGGCTTCCTCTACTGAAGCAGCTGGTGCCAGCTGGTTGCCAAGAAAGAAGGAAGTAAGAAATCACTGTATACTGTGTCCAGGATAGACTAAAGATTAAGAACAGGTCAGCAGCAGAAGGAACTGCAACATGAACTCTGAGGAATTCAGAGTTCAAAGGGAATTCATGGCATGTCATGGTATACGCAGCCAACTTGAGAGGGAAACGTCCTTCCTCGATGTGGGATTCAGGATTGCTGCCAATGCTGAAGGAAGTTTGTTAGTTAAACAAAGATGTTTGTTAACACCCTTTCGAGATATGTTAGGAAGATCCTTATCTGTGCAGAGCACTAGGCACTAGAGTTGAACAAGCCTGAGGAGACAGAGCTGGAATCAAAATAACATTTTCAAGAAACCAAGAGAACCTGCCGACAACTCATCTCTGGCACTGTTCATGTCACAGCCCCAAGGCACCTCTTTGTCCCATTTGCTGTCTTCATGAGGTGCATGAACAGGGCAAAGAATATTGAGAGTTCTGATGACAAGACACTGCCAGGTCCTCAAGGACCTGCTCCTACCTTAACGCAGTTCAGCTCTCCCAGCTTGTGGATCCAAAGCAATGCTCAGGGAGGGCTAAACACAACGAAGGGAAAAAACAACAAACCAAAACCATACCATTAACAAGTTTGGGAACCATCTGCTCTTTTATTTGTCCATGTGTAAATTCTAAAACCAGTTGCAGCAATTCCTTTCAATAAACATTCATTTTGATAGCTACGGAACACTATATACAAATCAGATTTCCAGAGTAAAAACCGAGAACTCTCTCTGAAGGTCTCTGAGAAGCAGCAATGCATTCCACGCAATTAAAACTCAACATCATAAATTATTAACCAACATTTGCTGTAAGTCTGTACACAATATACAAAGAGATCTTGTCAAATTTATCCATTTCCAAAAGAAAGTCTTCTCTACAAAAGGAGAACTGCTGCAAACAAAGAATATGGGGAAAAGCCTGAGAGATTCTGCAAAGTCTCTTGCCTGTAAGGGCACATTCCATTATCAGCTTCTTAGTGTGATTCTTAGAAAAATACATGCAAAAATAGACATCCCCTGGCTGTCAAATGCCAGGCTCCTGGACTGTTGCTGGGGTATGGAATTAAGCACATATTATCTCTATACAAAATGGTGTGCTGAGAGATTGCTGCTCTCTGTCAGGGTTTCAACAGCTTCAGAGGAAGCCAAGAGGGGTAGCAGGCGAGTGGAGCCATGAGATCAACCTCTTACCGAGTACCACGAGTTTGTAGCAGTAAGAACACTTCAGATTTGAAAAAAGTAACTACTCTGTTGGTTTGGTTTCACAGTCTTTGCTATTGCACAACTTTGTCAAGTTTTCTTTCACTACCCGAAAGAAATATGCATAGCAATACAATACAAATACCTCTAATAAGGAATAAGCAATCCCACAAATTACAACAACGAATAAAAAAAAACCCAAAACCCTAAAAGCAAACAACCCACAAAAAAAAAAAAAAAAGGGGGGGGGGAAATCCCCCAACATGATATATTTTTCTGACATAAACGTTAAAAAATCTTTTATAGTACAAAATACACAGTTTAAGAAATAATTCACCAGTAAGAGAAGGGTTTGGGCAAAATTGTTGTAACAAAAGCCTCCTTATTTAGGAATGATATGCACCTAATCCGAACTTTCATGGGGTGGCGACTTCCAGCGAGACTGCAAATTCTTCATGATACAGTTTGTCATGCCAACAAGTTTTTCTTGCATCTCAAAAAGCTGGCTGCCTGAATAGCTGTGAAGGTCTTCAGTGCTCAGCTGAGCAGCAAGTGCATCAATCCGGCTCATCAGATCTGCTGCGGGATGGTCATTTGTATTCACGACAATGGGTTCAATCAAATCTGAAAAGGAAGGACAGCAGGGCAGGGCAGTCTGCTAGTCTGCATTTAAACCTAGGCAGAGTTACGTTACAGCTTCTTTTGTACTAAATAATATATTCAAGCAGTCTATAAAGTATTTGTCCCACACAAGAGCTTCTGACAGATGCAGCCCTCAGGACTCCACCCTACCCTTCTTTACCCTATGTACAATAAAACTAAGGATAGACATGAAAGTATTTGATTCAGATACTGCCAGTGCCAGACGAGTTATCCCAAGGGCCAACTCTGAAATAGGCAGCTGAGAAGTTACCGATCAGTTCTGTTTTCTAGGTAAACAAATGGTTCAGGTATCTTGTAGGAAGCACAAATGTCGGTTTCCTCTGAGCTACCAGGTCAAACTCCAAAAATACATGGGAGAATTCAAATGAAAAGCTAGGCAACCAACTCCAAACTGGGTATCCAGGGAATTAACCCCCTCCTCTTCCACTCCCTCCAGATGAGACACCACTGAACTACCTCTGCTTCATCTTGCTTGTTTTTGTGCATGCCCAGAAGCATAGCAGTTACTACACCATTAAACAGCTCAGGACAGAACATGCTGGATTCAGAAACTTAAGTACTTAGAGCCCTGCCTAATTGGTTCTTTTCATGCTTATGCAAGCTTATTTAGAGAAAACCAGCATCCTTCCCTCAAAATATGTAGCAGGCTTTAAAAAGCCATTGCCACAGCATGTCATAAAGTGGCTACCTCAAACACCCATCTAAGGTGCTAATATCTGTAACAGTTAAAAAAAAATCAAATGGTCCCATTAGGAGAATGAAAGCAGCAATACAGCGGAAACACCCCAATCCTAAGCAAAACCTGGCAATATGTACCTGTTGCAAGTTTTTCTTCATCTACAGAAAGAGATTTATCTTCTATGTTATTTATGGCCTTTTCTGTGTCTTCAAGCACTGCCATTTCCTCAAATCCTCGAGATTTTACCTGAAGAACAAAAAATGCATTTTCAAGGAAAAAAAAATACATGGTGGGGCATGTTTTAACCTCATAATAAATACAATCATTATTCCTGTTAATAATATTGTAGCCAAGTCTTCTGTACCTTAAATTCCCAGGTGACTGTGACAGGTAGAGGTTAACGTTTTAAAGTGCTATTTCTAATGGGGAAAAAAGCCTGTTATTCCTCATGATGGATTAGCAGTTCATTAGGCCAATACTTGCTTTTTGTGTACTAAAATTAAACTTTACCTGTTGCTCGTGATAGCCTTTCAGAGCTCTTTTAACATTGGAAATTTTCGGAGAGCGGATGGGAAGAGTTTTGATTTCTGATGCTGTCAAAGTACTCAGATCACCCACTGTCTTAATGTTCTTTGCTCGAATAAGCTGCCCCAAGCCTCTGGCACTGCAGCAGGGGAGAAGGAAAAATGGATTATTATCTGGAATTCAAGTTCTTTCTGCCTGGCATGGTGGGGAGGAAGGAATCTTATATGAATGCTGGTTCACATTCACATAAGTGAAGGAAAAAACAAGATGCAAACGATGTCCTGGCTGCAGAGGCACACCCTTCTGCAGCTTATCCTACATCCACCAGTGACTAGCATTCTAAAGCCAACTCGCATTTAACAGGAGTGAAATGAAAAGGAGCTGAACACCCTAGCCACAGCCGTTCTGAGCAACTCCCACTGCATGTCTATAATTTGTCATGATAAATTACCAAAATTCAGGCTGTAACTCAAACTAGCTGAGCACCCAGCCTTTCTGCATTTGAAATGTAGGGCTTTTTCCAAAATCTTGCTTCTCCTTCAGGACACAGAAAGCTCCAGCTGCTTTGCTGCAGATGATCACTAAGATCGGTCTGCTCTGTCATGTGAAGTGGAGAAAGCTTCTGGTGTGCCTGGGTATCAGCTTTTCATATTCTTACAAAAAAGATGACCTGAATAATTCCAAAACAGTTAAGTCTCTCCTCCACAGAAATAACCTCTCTCCTTTAAAAAAAAAACCTGGCAAAAAGATGTCTCCAAGTTATCACATTTTGCATCAGAAAATTTGGCTTTGTAGGTTTGGTAAGAATTCTGTTTCTACTGAACTGTCATCTTCAAAACCAACAATCCACTTACCATATGTTTGATGTAATCTGAGGTAAAATTACATCCACTGGTGCTTTGCAGCCAACTAAGGCAGGATACATGCGTTCCATGGGGCCAGGCAGTGACTCCTTCGTCATTTCTGTGATCTTGAATAATACAGAAAAAACATTGAATTGGCTATCACACAACTGAATATGGGAAAAAAATAGAAGAATACATGAACCAAAGCACATCTTACTAAACACTTCTTTGAGCTCTTAAATTTAGGGTTACGAGATCCTGGGGACAGAAATCCTTTGGTTGGAGTGGTAATATGCTGGGTAGAAAAAGAGGAAAAAGTATCTCTCAGGATCGCAGGAATTCAGTTAATTGTAAGATCCTAGCTATCTAGACCTCAGAGTGCCCTTGTCTTCAGAGAGTAACAGGAAGAATCATGCTAAATCAGTTACAGCTAAACCTTACATCATCAAGGTTTCTTACCCATACTGATTCCCTGCTCTTACAACTGTAACACACACTAAGGCAACATTACCAATGACAAACAAGAACTGTGAGTACTTGCGATATACAAGAGTAATACAATTTACCTTGGCGTGAATATTAGATAAAATTTTAAGACTTCGGGAAGATGGTGAAGAATGGGATCTAATGACTGGGCTTCTTCTATCTATGTCATCTGCCAGTCCTTCTTGATAAATTGGA